ATGCTCTATGCCTACAGATCTAGAGTTTGGTTGTCCCTGCTTTCTTCGAAAGGCGGGGGACAATAAGCATACACACCAATTTTGAACATTTTAACTCAATTCGAAGGAGTGTGACGGACAGACAGACAAACAGACGACGGACGAACCCATTTTAATAGTCCCCTGCTTTCTTCGAAAGGCGGGGGACAATAAGCATACACACCAATTTTGAACATTTTAACTCAATTCGAAGGAGAGTTATTGTGTTCCAAAGTCTCAGCAAATCAAATTGCTTATCGCTCTGCTTAATCTGAGCAGAAAATGCTCATTATCGATCTTAGTCAAGGTATTACTGTAATGAAACTATACACCAAGTTTCATCACTCTCACTTAATTAGAACTAAAGTTATAGTGTCCCAAAGCATCAACCAATCAAATTGTTTATCTACTTAATTAGAACTAAAGTTATAGTGTCCCAAAGCATCAACCAATCAAATTGTTTATCTCTGCTTACCCTAAGCGGAACGGACAGACAAACAGACAGACGGACGAACCCATTTTAATAGTTCCCTTCTTTCTTCGAAAGGCGGGGGACAATAAGCATGAACATTTACTCAATTCGAAGATCAACCAATCAAATTGTTTATCTCTGCTTACCATAAGCGGAACGGACAGACAGACAAACAGACGAACCCATTTTAATAGTTCCCTGCTTTCTTCGAAAGGCGGGGGACAATCAAAGTAGGAGAGTTATTGTTTTCCAAAGTCTCGACCAATCAAATTGCGTATCGCTCTGCTTACCCTGAGCAGAAAATGCTCATTATCAAACTTAGTCAAGGTATTACTGTAATGAAACTATACACCAAGTTTCATCAATCTCACTTAATTAGAACTAAAGTTATCGTGTCCCAAAGCATCAACCAATCAAATTGCTTATCTCTGCTTACCCTAAGCGGAAAATGCTCATCTTCGAACTCCATCAAGGCATTGACCTAATCAACACATACACCAAGTTTGAACATTCTAGCTCAATTAGGAAGAGAGTTATCGTGCCCCAAAGTATCAACCAATCAAATTGCTTATCTCTGCTTACCCTAAGCGGAAAATGCTCATCTTCGAACTCCATCAAGGCATTGACCTAATAAACACATACACCAAGTTTGAACATTCTAGCTCAATTAAAAGTTATCGTGTCCCAAAGCATCAACCAATCAAATTGCTTATCTCTGCTTACCCTAAGCGGAAAATGCTCATCTTCGAACTCCATCAAGGCATTGACCTAATCAACACATACACCAAGTTTGAACATTCTAGCCCAATTAGGAAGAGAGTTATCGTGTCCCAAAGCATCAACCAATCAAATTGCTTATCTCTGCTTACCCTAAGCGGAAAATGCTCATCTTCGAACTCCATCAAGGCATTGACCTAATAAACACATACACCAAGTTTGAACATTCTAGCTCAATTAGGAAGAGAGTTATCATGCCCCAAAGTATCAACCAATCAAATTGCTTATCTCTGCTTACCCTAAGCGGAAAATGCTCATCTTCGAACTCCATCAAGGCATTGACCTAATAAACACATACACCAAGTTTGAACATTCTAGCTCAATTAAAAGTTATCGTGTCCCAAAGCATCAACCAATCAAATTGCTTATCTCTGCTTACCCTAAGCGGAAAATGCTCATCTTCGAACTCCATCAAGGCATTGACCTAATCAACACATACACCAAGTTTGAACATTCTAGCCCAATTAGGAAGAGAGTTATCGTGTCCCAAAGCATCAACCAATCAAATTGCTTATCTCTGCTCACCCTAAGCGGAAAATGCTCATCTTCGAACTCCATCAAGGCATTGACCTAATAAACACATACACCAAGTTTGAACATTCTAGCTCAATTAGGAAGAGAGTTATTGTGTCCCAAAAAGTGTGACGGACAGACAGACGGACAGACAGACGGACAGACGGACAGACAGACAGACAGACGGACGAACCCATTTTAATAGTCCCCTGCTTTCTTCGAAAGGCGGGGGACAATAAAATTAACTGTACAAATTTTCATGTTAAGTGCATGTTCATGTAAACTTACATTAAAGATGCATTAATTTATGTAAGAGCTGACCGTTCTTGCTACAATGTTATTGTACATGTATAATAATTAAGTAAAAAAATAGATAATGAAGTTGTAGTAAGTGTAAATTGTATATTCTCGTAGTAGTAGTAGTAGTAGTAACAATACTTGACTATCCATTTAACCGTTAAATCTTTTGGGTGTTTTAATCCATTTAAATCTCAGCCGTCCAATGTTCTACAAAGTTCTAGCAAGTTTTTTTTATAGGCTTGTCACATGAACAAATGTCTAAATAATAGTTTACTTAACATTTGAAGCCAAAATAAAGACCTGCAATAGGCAGATGTAGCTCTTGTGCATGTAATGCATCTTTTAAAAAAATATTGTTTTTCTACATGCTCAAACTCAATGCCATATTGCATTAGTGTAATCATGAGTAATATATGTAGGGCCTACAATGTACATGTACTGTAACTTCTGCTTAGTCACAAATTTTAATTCTACTTACTTCCAACATGACACAATTTAACCACAAAGTTAAATGTGATTTGTACATCATCAATTTTAGGCTGAATTTTGTGGGGACAATAGTGTTTTGGCAAACCCCTCAATCAAATGGTCAATTTTAAAAACATGTTTTGAATATATTTTTATATGCATGCTTATGTATGTCTGCACCTTTTTCATCCTATCCAAATGACTAAACACTTTCCTTGTTAGCACTGCCACTGACATGTGGGAACTGGGCTTGAAAATTTATGAACGATATAAATGTTCAACTACAAATACATGTACATATAAACCTACTTGTCCCTGTGCTGCTAAAATTAACATACATGTACATGTATATGTACAATGTATCCAAGAGGAGCAATGTAGCATGTGCCATTGTGTCTTTCTACCAGAATGAATACAAACATGTACATAAATATGGTGGCTGAAAGCGTCCATTTAGATCGGCGGGTTTCTAGATACAACGCGAGAGTCGGCGTTAAGCCAGCACGACGAAAAAAGCGCCGATCGGCGACTTTTTCGTCGTACTACCTTATCGGCGACCCGCGACTTTCACAACACGGGAGTCGCCATTAAGCCATGCGCCGAAAAAGTTGCCTCGGAAGTTTATAGTTAGTTACATGCGCAATGGCTACATTTTACGCACACAGATCACCAAATATTTCTACGCCGTAATGTAGGGCGAAAGTTATTTTTAGTCTTTCTCTCCCTTTCCCTTTTCCCCCTTTTGAATGGCGATTTTTGGTGTAGAATCGAAGAAAGGGGTTCGATAATACATTTTCTGTCAGGTTTTGGTGAATATTCATGATTTTGAGAGGTCGGTTAGGTTGAAATGTAGGGCCGAAAATTGCACGTTTACTTGTCCCTACTTCCAGCTTGTGTATTTCAAGTTTTTCATGGTAAACCTCATACATGCTTTTGTGCAAGAGTTTGCCACATGCTGCTCCATCTGTGGCAGAAAGTAGGCTAGCCTACAAGTCCTAACTCATCCAAAAGCTCCTCCATTTTATATACAAGAAGTAAAATGTAGCCATTGCGCATGTAACTAACTATAAACTTCCGAGGCGAGAGTCGCCGTTGAGCAAGTCGCCGAAAAAGGCGCCGATTTTTTCGGCGACTTGCTTAACGGCGACTCTCGTGTTGTGAAAGTCGCGGGTCGCCGATAAGGTAGTACGACGATTTCGTCATGCTGGCTTAACGGCGACTCTCGCGTTGTATCTAGAAACACGCCGATCTAAATGGACGCTTTCAGTCACCATACATAAACCTGTACTGACATCTTTGTGAACTTGAAAATTGTAACTTTTATAAACACACATCATTTTTATTGCATCACACTGTGTTTGCCCTTTAAACTGTATGCACATGTACAATGTTCATGTACATGAATATACATTTACATGTAGTAGCCGGGCATAAAAATATTTACTGTGTGGAATGTGTACAATTCACTGGTTCTTGTTTGGCAGGTTTATTTCTGATGTGCATACAATGTGATTCTTTGATTTAGATCAACTGCAATTGTGTGCAATTTAGTATTTATTTTTTTAAACTATATTCAGTGGTTTTTTTTAAGGTTCAATACATTTGAAATGTACATGTACTGAATTAAAGATACCTTATGTAAGATTTAGGTAAAGAGGTAGCCATTCTTGCTAATGTATAATAGTTCGAAAATAGATAATGTAAAATGAATAATTTGAAAATTTCATTCAAATTCCTCTATTGCGAGCGAAGACATTAGCCTTTGAAGGTTTGACAAGACGTATGCAATAATTTCAACCACTGTACTGGTTGTTCGAAGTTAAGTCTCGCTCCTCCATTTTTAGCTTAAATCAAAATATGGCTGAATTGTTCTAATCTATTTAATATCGGAGAAATCCGATGCCATCGAGAGTTGATTATGGCCTGGATAAGTTAATTAATGTCTAATTAATAATTTAGAAAACATTTCAGGCCTAAAGCGGTGGACACACTAGCCGAATGATTCGGCTGAATCAATCGGCGTCGAAATTCGCCTAGTGTGTCCACTGTCATTCGGCCGAATGATTCCCTGAATCGAACAGGTTTGATATTCATTCGGCCGAATTATATTCGCCTGGTGTGTCCGCTTCGCCGTAGCATTCGGCCGAATGTAGAATTCATTGGCCAATCATCACTCATAGCGAGAAGTCACGTGATAGTTTGAAGACATAGACGCCGCCATGTTTAATCATGTGACATGAAAGGTGATGAAATCGACTGGTGAATCAGGCGAAGCATTCGGCTAGTGTGTCCACCCATTCGGCCGAATAAAATCTGGCGCTGATTGATTCGGTTGAATGATTCGGCTAATGTGTCCACTGCTTAAAGAAAAACCTGCAATAGGCAGATTTAGCTCTTGCATAATGTATGTTTAAGAATATCATATTTAGTTATGAAACATTAAACCACTTACATGTACTAGGACCTGCATCTGTTATCTTGGCAGAAGGTAGTGGATGTTTACGAGGACGACCCACTTTACGTTTTTCAGGGGTTCGGGCAGCTCCATCTGGCTGATCTAGTTCCAGAACAGGCATTGGGGGCGATGAAATAAACATTTTGTGGCGTTTCTTTGGTGGTAAACATTGTTGGTTAATACAAGGTTGAACATCTGCAGATTCATCATGGATTATACCTGAAGTATCTTCAGACACACTGCACAATTTCTTTCTACCTGGTTTACCCCTCTCTTTAAACATTGGTTCCAACAGTATTTCTTTAGGTACATGTTGTTTGGGTTTTTTTGGTTTTTCGATCACCAGTTTCTCTTTTTTCTTTTTCTTCACATTGATTTTTGTCAACCTGAAGATACTTGGTAGTAACACCTCACCAGGTCGTACACGAATATATGTCTCGCCTGGTTTCTCCGATATAGCTAGTTTATCCATACCACTCATTATCTCACTAAAGTTTGCATTCAAAACTGGGTCAATAATATTCCGATGTTTCGATTTAAAATAAAGTAATTTTTTATTGCGTTTTTTCTTCTTGTCCAGGTCACTGTCTTGTTGTCCATAAGCAAAAGAAAAGGCATTAGTTGGACTGGGTTCTACAATTGTGTCTGATGTTGGTGCTCTAAATTTTGTCATGGAGTCGAACATGGAAAATTGGCTAGATTGGCTAGAATGGCTAGTCGTAGCCTTGGCCATTCGACCGGGTTTGATTTTGGCAAATGTAGGACTTGAATTTTTTGCAGGGAAGCCACCAAAGCCTCCCATGTTTTGTTTGGGGAATTTCTTTTTTCTCCCTTTCTTTTTATGCCGTCGCATCATGACATGTAACTTTGGTTTACGTATCTTTGGGGTTGGTTTTGGTACAGGTTTAGCGGGGCTGGCAGTAAACAGTTGATGATTGCTAGAACAGTCACCCATTTCAAAATCATTCTGATCATCTTTACTATCAAATTGGGAGATATTTCTAGCCACACTTTGAAGTATAGAATCAAATTCTGTGTTATTAGATAGTCTTTTTTCTACAGAATTTGATTCAAATGTATTAGAAACAGGAAGGGGGTGTTTCCGAGGCCTGCCCGGTTTTCTTTTAACAGTTGGTTCACCATTGTTTGTGTTTGGGGGAGTTTTCAAATTATTATTCTTAAGAATTTTTGGTCGTCCTGGTTTCCGACCTTTAGTTTTTTGTTGACCTTTTCGGGAAAGAACCGATACAGCCTTCTTTTTGGCTGATGGAGCTTTGTTACGAGAACCTTTAGGCCTACCAGGTCCACGTTTTTTAACAGGAGGCTCAATAACACCCCCATCCACATTCGTCCTTGAGAAAATTTGTGAATTTTCAGATGTCAGAAACTGACTTTTTCCTTCATTTGATATCCTTGAATTCGAGCTATCCAAATTGTTTGAATAAAGAGAACTCTGTTTGTATTTGCTTAAATATTCAAATTTTTTTCTTTTCGGTGGTCTACCCACAGTTCGCTTAACTTCAATAGGTTGAGTTTCATTTTTACTTTGTTCTTCACAACCGACACTACCAATACTCTTCATATAAACACTTTCTGCAAACACATTTGTCTCTTTAGACTTGGATGTTGTCATTTCTGCATCATTTGCAGATGATTTTTTATAATCAGTACTGATATTGTTTTTATTAATGCAAGATTCTACCATTTGATGTTGTTCATTAAGAAGAATACCACTACCACTGTCCCCATGACTGACAGAATTAGGAGAGTCATTTCCAGATGGTGACCCTCCTATAGATTGTATGCCACTATCCGGAGACACATTAGGCATGGAATCTAATTTTAATATGTGTTCTGTCCCATCTAAAGGGCGAGAATGTTTTGAGAGTTTCAAATGTCGATCATCTCCATCCTCGTCAGTTGATATGTAGCTACATGTAGGAATTGAACCTGGGGCTATGATACCATCACTTATTTTAGAAGACGTTTCAGTGTCAGTAGCACAATCTCCTGAATATTCACGATCAGATTCAGAACCACTTTTAGCTGACAAGTCACATCTTTTATTCTGTTTTAACACATTTAAACGATGATTAGATCTGGATGGTGGATTAGGAAACCTTGTGTCTTGAGATGGTGGCGATAACCAGCTTGCACTTGTATCAAATACATTGCGGCTCTGGGAGGATTTACCTTTTACCAAATTAGGATCCATTGGAACAGCTGATTCATCATCTCCACCACAAGATAAAAACTTTGTATCAGTCTGAAATAAAATGGAGAATATCATCTAATAATTTATAAATTAAAGATACACATCAAATAAATGCCATTGTTTCTAAAGTATATGTAAATTTCAGCTTTATCCATAACGGTTTTAAGTTTTACCTGACAAAATGTCTGTCACAAAATGACATTTTGAACTTTGGGCCAAACATGTATTATAAATATTTTGCTTAATAAATATCAACAGAAATACAAAATATAGATATACATGTATCTGTGTCAGACAGAATGACAGGTACATGTAATAGAGGGATTGTACATGTAGCTGACAAAGTATGAGTTTGTGCTGGACATTGTCTGTGGTGCCTTACATATATTTCCAGGCTTGCATTCATACATTGTTCATGCAGGTACATTAAAGATACATTATGGGAGATTCAATAACGAGTTCTCACTATAATTGTTAAAAACTAGATAATGTAAAGGCAATTTTCTGAAAATTTCATTCAAATTGATCCACTATGAACCGAGAACTATGAGGTTGAAATTTCCGGCTAGCCTTGATCATCATTACTGAAGTCAGTACGATAAACAGCATAGTCTCGATTACCCATTTAATCGTTAAATCGTGAAGGAAAGTTATGCAGTAAATTGGCTCACAATCCACTAAAGATCGCAGGCTAGCGATGCCATCTAGAGTTGATTATGGTCTGGATAGTTTAATTAATGTCTAATTAATAATTTAGATAACATTTCAGGCCTAAAGAAAGACCTGCAATAGACAGATTTAGCTCTTGCATAATGTATGTTTAAATCTACAGTAATATTTTATCTTATTCTGTATCAAATAGTCAATGTAATGTAAAACCAAAATGTTAATCAATTTTACAAATTCATTAAACTGTATTCAGTATGTGAATAACAGTCTGTCATTTTCAGGCCTTGCTTATTCTGTGCATAGATTTACTCATTTGACCGTTACAGTGAAAATTGAATAATTGACAATAAAGCATGTCATTTGATGTTATTCTATAGAATGACTTAAGTGTTAACTGCAGAGTCATTAAAAATCATAACTGCAATAACAAGAATTTCATACAATAATCTTCTTCTATCACCTTTGATCTTATTTTAGTCTCTGCTTCACACAGTCTTTCATTAACAAATTGTGGATAATTTGTTTCATTTTTGTGACCTTTAACAGAGATTTTCAGTTTTAACTGCCCTTTCTTGAAGTTTGTCTGTTCTACTGAAAATATCTTATCATGAGGTTGTCCAGGGGAATCAGTCTCGGGATCAGATTCACTACTTGAAGAAGAACTGTTGGAGCTTTCTTCATCTGTACATTCTTCCCAGCCACATTTATTCATCTCTCCCCCAAAAGCCCCACAACGAGTGGCTTCCGATTATTTTGACTATGTCACTGCTGACCGTACTCATGTAAGCTACTGAAAAAGAAAGATACATACAGTATGGAAAGTGTAAAATAATTTTGCCATTATGAATAGTGTGAATCCAGATTTAAATGCACTGTATTATTACTACAGGGACATTCAATTTGTACAAACAAAGTGTGATGAACCAAGTGCTGGCAATATCTCTGTGGGTCTATCTTAATTTGAGGTTACTGATGTAGATTAGTTTGATGTAATAGTGTTATTGCTTTAGGCCTATAAATAAATATGGTAGGCCAGTCAAAAATTTATGACCCAAAACAATGTAATTGTAAATATGTTTTCGACTTGATATTTTTATTCTTGTGAATCATAGTAGGATTGGTTCCCAAATAGCCAGACCAATGGTTTCAAAAAGTGACAGGTGACCTACATGTACATGTAGCTAGTATAGTAAACAAATGAAAACGTATTATTGTATTGCCATTTTCCCTTTTGGCTTTTAAGCATCTTGTTTTGACAATAATAATTTTGACAATTCTTAACAAATTAAGTACTACCGTATCTAAAAGAAGCCTGGTGATAATAATGATTATAACAGACTGACTGGTGTTGCTCTGGTCATCACTTTATTGTGTTATGATGACTTGATCAGATATTCAAGGTAAGACAGTTCTACTTCTAGATACTAAAAACATATTTTGCTATCATCCTTCCAGTACCGAGTTTCCTTGACTTGAGAAAAGTACGCGCCAAAACTAGGCCAACACAAAGCACCGAAACGCTGTTATCCATATCATCTTAATTTACTTAAAAGCAACATGTTTTCTACATACATACCTTTAACATATCATAATAAAGTCTATAAAACACATAAGTATTCTAGAACGGTAAATAACAGTCCAGTTAATACGCCATATCTCACACAGCTTAAAAGAAAATGGCGTCTGTGGTTGTGGTTCGTGTGGAAAATTCACACAAGTAAACAGAAGCAATAAAGCCATAGAAGAAGCATTAATTGTCAACTGTGTGAAGTCAAAATAAAATATTTGTTATATATGAATTATAATTAGCTGATAATATATGGAGTTAATACAGAAACAAGCCACTTTAAAAGTTCTTATTTTGTAACCGTGTCACAGTATTCCTTTCGAAATCCAGACTTGTTTTGGTGCGATTCATATGCAAATGTTCACAGCTCAAAATATTATGAATTAATAAATTAAAACATTATTTAATGATATAATAAATGGTAGTTAATAGTATAGAAATTATATGCTTACAACCTTCTAATAGAAAACATTGAATTGGCGACTATTTTCTCCCAGCATTCAATTTCAAGATGGATGCGCCCTTGCGAATGCAAGTGCTTGGAAGAATAGGCAATATCATTTATCATCATTCACAATTAAAAACAACGCTACTGTCAGGTAATTAATTGATGAAAGTGCAATTCAGAGAGAAATTAAAAAAAGAAAAAATTTAATGTGAACTGAGTCGGGATATGGTCATTACCGTAAACCAAAACGGCTTAGATCTAATTCACCTTGCTCAAAACGGGCATGATTCATTGATTGCATAGCATAGTTTGTCAAACCAGCAAACAATTATATATATTTGTCTTTAAGGATACATTCCCACGAAAGTATTTATCAGGTAGTTATTTCCCCCATAAAGTGGCAATTTTGGATATACATATATGAAGTGTATATAATTATATATGGACTAAAAACATTCAAACTAATTTTGCTTCAAATCCTTCTCAAACATTGTAATTGCCAAGGAATGCCTTGCTATAAAAATTTGATCAAACCCGGTCATGTTTATGTCACGTGACTTACCTCTCTCAGAAGTTAGAGGAGAATTCATTGCATACATAAGACGATGTTGTCTTTAATCGCCGGGCTGTCGATTAGGGGAACCCTTACATTTTTGTCCTGTATACGCTCCATGAGTGTTTTTTGGGGGAATCCAGTATTTTTCTAGTAAGATTGGATATCTCTACTTTCCATATACCAAAATTGTCATAATTTTATTGGAAATAACCACCCGATAAATATTTTTCTGGGAACCCATCTTTAAAATAGTTAAAGATATGACACGTCATTATGTAAGATTTCGATAAAGAGCTTGCCATTCTTGCTATAATAATAGTTCGAAAATAGATAATGTAAAATGAATAATTTAAAAATTTCATTCCAATTACTCAGCTTTGAGCGAAGATATTAGCCTTTGAAGGTCTGACAAGACGTGTGCCATAATTGCAACAGTACCCGGACCACAGACCACTCGGACCAAGACCAATCGGACCAAAACAGAGACCACTTGGACCAAAATAGAGACTATTCGGACCAATCTAAAAGACTACTCGGACCAATCTAAAAGACTACTCGGACCAACCGTAAAGACCACTCAGACCAATCAGTTTACATGTATATTGGAAGACCACACAGACTAATATTTATATTTGCAACTCGGACCAACCCAAAGTGCCGCTTCTCAGACCATTATGTAGCTTCACTTATTCATTTAAAAAATAAAATACAGATTTTAAATAAATATTATTTATTATCAAATCACAATACAAAGAGGCGAATAATTTATAGGTGAATCTATACATAATTTAACAATGTCTTCATTACTAGATGTGAGCTATGGGTAAGTACAATGTACATAACAGCAAATATTCATATTTATTACATTCAACAATTTATTAAATATTTTTTTATTTTTTTTTAACGTTTTTGATATGCCCGTCTTTATTGACCACTACTCACTTATCATCTTTTAATTGATCTTCTTTGATGTGCTTCATTTTGATCCTCTTAAAACAATTGATTAAAACAAACACAATTGATTAAAACAAACACAATTTATTAAAACAAACATAATTTATTAAAACAAACACAATTTATTAAAACAAACACAATTTATTAAAACAAACACAATTTATTAAAACAAACACAATTTATTAAAACAACAATTTATTATTGGTCCAAGTAGTCATAATAAAACAAACACAATTTATTAAAACAAACACAATTATTTATCTATTAAAAAACTTAGTCCGTTTAGTCTTTCTGTTTGGTTCGAGTGGTCTTTTTGTTTGGTCCGAGTTATCAAAAGTTATTAACCGATCTGTATGAAATTTATATGCATCATTTAAATTAGTAAAACAAAGAAGCCTATTGAATTTCAGCTATTTCCGTTCATTACATCTAGAGTTATGGCCCTTATTTCACTTTGTTGAATCTTGTGAACGCTCTAATGACATAAGTTATCAACCGATCTGTATGAAATTGATATGCATCATTTAGATTAGTGAAATGAAGAAGCCTATTGAATTTCCGTTAATTACGCCGTGCGTTATGGCCCTTGTTTCACTTTGTTGTACCTTGTAAATGCTCTAACGACAAAAGTTATTATCCGATCTGTATGAAATTTATATGTATCATTTAAATTAGTAAAACGAACAAGCCTATTGAGTTTCAGTTATCACCTAAATTAGGGAAATGAAGACGAACAAGCCTATTGAATGTCAGCTATTTCCGTCAATTACGTCTAGAGTTATGACCCTTGATTTACTTTGTTGAACTTTGTGAACTTTCGGACAACAAAAGTTATCATCCGATCTGTATGAAATTTATATGCATTATTTGAATTAGTAAAACGAAAAAAACCTGTCGAATTTGAACAATTTCTGTAGATTGCTTCCAGAGTTACGGCCCTAGTTTTAGTTTTTAGAACCTTGTGAACCTTCAAACAACGAAAATTATAATGTCATCTGTATGAAATTGTCTATTAAATTCCCCTAATTACCTACAAAAGAATAAATATGTGACAACCTTTGTCGACTGCTCTGACGATTTAGCTGCTGTGGGCGTATGTTTTGTTGCCTGGCAACCTATCTTTCAGTTACTAAGAAGGAATAAATGTTGCCATACAACGAATAGAACCATTGTATGGTTTAAACAGTCGTCCGATATGTTGCATCCGACGGTTGTATGGATTAGTTGTATCGTGTAAACGCCGCTTTAGGAATGACAAAAGTTTTTGCAAGACGGGTTTCAAAGCTCTTGACTGCGGATCAGAAACGTGTTAGATTCTTGATGTCTGGTGACAATCTGCGCTGTTTTGAAGCAGATCCATATAATGTTTTGGCCAGATTTGTAACCATTGATGAGACCTGTTTCCAAAAATGAAAAAAGGAACTAACCGGTCGTAATTTTCCTAGTAATGATGACGTCATGTCAGCTGTAGACGACTTTTTTTTAGGGTGGCTGAAGAAAATTCCTTCAGACTGGCATCCAGGCATTGCAACATCATTGGCAAAAGTGTTTACACCTCGAAGGGTACTATGTAGAAAAATAAATGGAAACCATCGCCTGTGTACAGGTCTGTCACAGATAGGCTTAGAACTTTTCAGCCAGCCCTTGTATACATGTATATGACGTCAATGATAGCTAAATGTACATAATCTCGCTTGGGCGAGATTCGATAGTTGGGAGATAACTCTGACTATGTTGACATGAGCATTGCCTGTTTTGTCCAGTGTATCCGGTTCTGATCGGAATGTTTTTTAAGCCAACAGCCTATGACAGTTACACTTACACTCCTGCGTTACCAGAAAAGAGTTTTGCTCAATTGCCACACTTTGCGCAATGCTTAGAGCTTCAGTATTTATTATGGAAAATGAACAGGGGCTAACGACAAATGCAATCTGGACATGCATTCTCTATCAATCAAGTCATATGATAAACAAAGCTGTTAAAAATAAATTCTAGCAGCATTGAGACTAAGAGGGATTTGAAGCAAAATTTTGATAGATGAATTAGTTTCAGTGTATTTTAGTCCAAATATATAGTCAAATCACACATTTTGTATGCGGGAAGGTATCTTTAAACTATTCTACTTTAAAATAAGGAATTTTTCTCATATACATACTGTACTTGTATGTGTTTATCTGTTTTTGTTTTTACAGGTAGAAAGATACCATATCTTAGACTACATACAAACTCTTTCACAGAAAAATATCTTTTAAGATGTATGAACTCAACGGTTAATAATGTATTCAGACATACATATTCAAGCACTGCAGCACAATATGAACAGACAGGGCTTAAATTAGCTTTTCGATGTCAAGATAATAACCCAGTATGTACAATAAACAATTTTTTTCCCAATTTTCTAAATATAATCTCTAATAATATAATGATTTATTGTACTTGTATTCTATACATATTCAATCCTTTTCAGGCAAATCATACAATTGATCAGGAAGGTCTATTTTATACTGTGTCAAGTGAAGACTACAAGAGATATTTACATAAGGCGATAAATACAGAATTTAGTGCACAGGTATTTTACAAATTTGAAACTTCAGATCTAATACAGTGTATTATTTTTGTATTATATTGCAGAAAAATGTATGTTTTTTTTTAATTTTATAAACAGGTAAAAGTATTTGCTGAATCCTGTATCATGATCAGAAAGCCAGCCTTAGAAATGATAGATTATATACGAAATAGTGATCCTAATAGACCTGTAGCAAGAGCTATTTTTTGTATCCTTTTTATACATACAAGGTATTTAATGTTGTATTTATTTTCTACAGAATACATCAACAATTCTGAAAGTTAGGATTTTAGTATGATACTGGGGTAGTTCCATTATGCCCACCCAACTTAAGAAAATATTTCATTCTTTAAAAATCATGTATTGTTAAATATGAAAATTGTTTTGTTATTCCTTTATTCAACCATTAGATGGTCATACTGGAGCTGGTAAAACTATGAGTTTATGTCATGTAATACATTATTGTTCTACGGAAAATTGGTTAATAGTTCATGTACCGTGGCGTAAGTATTTTATTGACGATTTTGAAATTATGAATTCAAGTTGATAGTTTACTATGTGGAGCTAGACACATCGCAAATTGACAAATCCTGTCTTCATTAGCCCAGTTGGTGCAGAACAGTGGGCGAAATTTTTAGTTGGAAATTTAATCCTTTTCATAGCGTATAATGATGGCAAAATCCTAGTATACGTTAAACCCAATTTCATTTCGTTTTTGACAAATGGGCAAAACTTCTAACTGGAAATTTAATCCTTTTCATAGTGTATAACATTGGTAAAGTCCTAATATACTATTACTGTATTTTGATTTTATGATTTCAGCTGCAAAGTGGAATAAAAGAAATAGGGAAATTGCTGTGTCTCCTTTTAAAGAGGGGCGTATCGATTTACCATTAGATGCTGCCGAATGGTTACTTCACTTCCGCACACAAAATATAGATTTACTAAAAGAACTCACAGTATGTAATAATGTTTGATTTAGATTTATGTTAAATTTCAAGGCGTGAAAAAGATTCAAAACAAAGTCACTGACACACTTGTATTCCATATAATTGTGTCAGTGTTATTTCAGGTATCTGAATTTGTCTTCAAACTCAAGACAATTATTAAACATTTGGTTTTTAGATGTTATTAATGTCCAATTTAAAATTTGAAAATACATGCACATTCATTTCAGTGTCAGTTTTCATATACATGGAGTAAAAGAGAGTCAACAGAACCTGGAACTCCTCTAATAGATATTGTCGATTTTGTAAGTATCATTTAAAGCAAACGGCCTAGACTACATTTGAAAATACAATAATTATTAGATATCCAAATAATAATTTCACAAAAATAGACTGATATCCCTTTAAAGATGGGTTCCCGCGTACAAACTGGGTGATTTAATGGTATATATGGACTAAAAACATATTCAAACTAATTAATTTGTCATAATGTTGCTTCAAATCCTTCTCAAACATTGTAATTGCGAAGGAATGTCCTGCTATAAAAATTCAATCAAACCAGGTCATGTTTACGTAACGTGACTTACCTCTCTTAGAAGTCAGAGGAGAATTTATTGCATACATAAGACGATGTTATCTTTAATCGCTTACTATTTATTACAATATCGAATCCTAATTAAATTCTCGGTTTATCCACTATCCGCGTCTTTTTCCGTCATTTTTATCTCAGAAAGTGTTGTACGTCTAACTCTTCATAAAGTTTATCAACTTGTACATCAAGCGCTTAATGTTCGCGTGTGACCTTTGACATCACGCGTGCAGAAATTCCTAATCGTTCATTAGGGGAACCCTTACATTGTTGTCCTGTATACGCTCCATGAGTGTTTTTCGGGGAATCAAGTATTTTTCTAGTAAGATTGGATATCTCTACTTTCCATATATACCAAAATTACCATACTTTTATTGGAAATAACCACCCGATAAATACTTTTCTGGTAACCCATCTTTAAATGAGTAAATAAGTCCATGAGCAAAATAACTTTTTTTATTTTCAGCGAGTGTTGAGGCGTTTTCTACACATGAAGTGGCTTATTATAGCTATTTTCATTAAGATTAAAATATCAGTCTGGTTAAGCAAGTCGTGCTGGAAATTAAGTTGCGATCAAATTATACACTTGAACAATATGCAGAGAAAAACAACATATTAATATATTACACATCCGTAATATGCGATTTGTGATAATATTATTGTATGAGAATGGCGATTTGTACATACTGCATACATTGATCAGCACATTTTCAATGTATATTAATATTTGATATTAAAATCTTTGCAACGTTATTCCCTTTGCTGTTCCGTAATCTATGACTGACCTGACAACGAGAAAGCTTTTTATTGACTGAAATTGTTGTGGCAATAGGAGCCTGCCAGCTGAAATCTTTTTATTATGAATTCAACAAATTCAAGTCACACGATCGACAAAAGCAATATTGAGATCGAAATCCCCCCATACCAAGTATATAAGTCACAAGTGAAGTATGGGAGTTTTTAGAATTTCCCGTTAAGCATGACAGCAATGAAATCCGGTCAGTTGACCAAGAAAACACCACATTTGATGTAAATCATAAAAGAGGGCCTTCGAATTTTCACAGTGAAAGACTGTCAAAATTTAACAGCATTTTTAAAATGTATTTCCTATATCGCGATATTAATCGTATCATAGACTATGAATTGTGATGCACATCGTATCGTGGCCTGGCATATCGATGCTGACCTATTATTAGATAACTGGTACTCACAATAAACAAAAAGTGATATATCACAAAGTAAAAAGGGTTAGCCTTATTACCTATCACAAGACACATTTAACTACAGTTAAAACTGCTTGGTAGAAGGTAACTTTAGGGCAATGGCCACAGTTGAGCCACTGTCCAAGATGTTTATACAAAAGCACCCAAAAATTGTTAGCAATGAGAACTTACCTAAATTGGGAGGTAGTATCATCAATCATTAATGGATTATTTTTTCTTTCAGGGTTTAAGTCGTAATAAATTCGCATCCGATTGTGTTGGTGTTTTAATGAAAGAAGTGAAAAAATATGCTTGTGATAAAAGGTTTGTAAATTTGTATTAATACATGTAGACTATGATAGCTGCTTGACGCCATAGAGTTGGTAGACTTTGTTTTATTGTTTATCATTCTGAGATGTTACAAAATTGTTTAAGGCATCTTTGGGTTAAAGTAGACAAAATAAATGCCAGGATAGCTCTTTACCCTCGTTCCTATGCTAGACTGACCTCCCATTCAAAACTTACTTTTCCGACAGACACTTGCCTGCGATATCACCCTAGGTGGAAGCAGATGTAAAGCTTGAATAAATTGAATATTACTCTTGTCTGCATGTTTCAGCCTATAATATATTATAGCGCCCATCTCAGGTGGTTATGTATAATTCATGGAAATGAAGAACAAACATATTTATTGATATTATATTTTAGAGTAAAAGTTTTAGTTGCTATAGATGGGGTCAATGGTTTATATTCACAATGTGCTTTGAAAACAGAAGAAAAGGAAAATGTAAGTTGATTGTTATTTCAAACATAACCTGGAGGTCACAGGTTAGATCCAGGTGTTGACCAAAACAGTTCCTCTGGATTTTCTGGCTTGGTTTCCTCTTGTCAGTGATGTAGGAACTAGGAACAATGTCTAGTTATTCAAATGAGATAAACAACGGAGGTCCCATGTGCATGTTGGCATGCCAGTTAAAGAACTCTTGACAGTTGGAATTCAATATATAGGAGTAGGTCGTAGTGCTGCTGTCCGGACAAAATGTCCCTCATTGTAAACCACATGTTGTATACCCATCTTTATTAGCCCAGATGGAGTAGAAAAGTAGGATGTTAAATAAACCCGATTTCATTTCATTTATTTCAAACATTTGAACACAAACTTTGCATACTGCTTTCAGATGTTTTCATTATTTTCATAGTACTCATTGGCCACTTTTTTTGTATTTTTTCAAGGTTCTAATAGAAAATGTATCCTTAGTTCGTACCTTTCGGAAATTGCTGCACAATGATTGGGTGAGATATTAAAACAGTGTTTAATATGTTGTTAGAGATATAATACATAAAATATTGGCATAGTGAAATTACTAATGTAGTACATTAGAAATCATAGAAACTTGTATTTTATTGGTACATAATATGATTAAAAAAAGTACAATTTGATTTCTGATTATTTTCACAAGATAATGGAATTTGGTGTGGCATGATAATGGAAATTGGCGTGGTCATGATAATGGAAATTGGTGTTGTCATGAAATTGGCGTGGTCATGATGATGGAAATTGGAGTTGTCATGATAATGGAAATTGGTGTCTTGAAAGTCTATGTATAGTCTATACTGCCATTTACCAAACAGTCACTCTTCTAATATATCTTACACATTTTTCAGTCTAATGGTTTTGTAGTTTGTACAGTTGATATAAACGCCAGTCATTATAGCACCAGAGAAAATCACACACCAAGATATTTATTAGGCAAGCAGGTTAGTACCAGTATATCCATAATCCATAATTACATATGAAGTAATGTCAAAAACTTGAAAACATGTATCTCATTTTCGTTTAATTAAAACTTGATTGTTATGACATTAATGAAAAAAGATTGAGCCAATTCATATTTTTGTTTCGTTATAGTAATACGAATTGTTATAGTAATACGAATTGTTATAGACATTCTGTCTGTTTCCTATTTTAAACAAGAGCATCGCTAACGCAGCAATATACGTCCACATTCCTGTTTTGTTTGATATGGTCCAGTTTGCATTGAGGGTCTGTGAAATAAAACTGGGTTGTATGACTGCTATCAGTATAACATTTCGTTCACATTAACAGAACACAATTTTTATTTTAAAACAATCGATGTCTTTATTCTAAAAGCATGACGTTTTTTTTTTGTTTTTTTTTGCTTGATTGATAACGATAAGAGAATACTTGTGGAAACGTCGTGCTTTTAGAATAAACTAGTGATTGTATCCCATAAAAACTGTGTTCTGTTAATTTGTTCCCTGATCGCTAAATGCCACTTAAAGAATAACTAGAAATGGGCGTGGCTCTGCCCCTGGGGGTCGGGCATGCACCAAAAACAATAGGGATCTTCCTTGGGGTATAAGGAATAAGTATACCAAGTTTGAAGAAAATCCAGTAAGAATTGCGCCCTGTAGGCGACACAAAGACACACGAAAAGAAAATGGGCGTGGCTCTGCCCCTGGGGGTTGGGCATGCACCCCAAACGATAGGGATGTTCCTTAGGGTACAAAGAATGTGTATGCAAAGTTTCAAGATTATTAGTTAAGAAATGTGGCCTGTAGACGACAAACAAACAAATACTAGAAATGGGCGTGGCTCTGCCCCGGGGGGTCGGGCATGCACCAAAAACAATAGGGATCTTCCTTGGGGTATAAGGAATAAGTATACCAAGTTTGAAGAAAATCCATGAAGAATTGCGCCCTGTAGGCGAACCACAGACACACACACACACACACACACACACACACACACACACACACACACACACACACACACACACACACACACACATACATACATACACACACACACACACACAGACAGGGGCGACGGCATAATACGTTCACATTATGAATGTGGACGTATAAAAAGCAATAAATGAGCATTCAATTAGTTTATTCATAAGTGTTTATTTCATTATATTACAATTGTGTGTTCAATTTGTTTATAAATAAGTGTTATTTCAGTACATTGCAATTGTAAAACACATCTCATTATTTAAAACTAACTTTTTCACCACTAGGGATTTGAAGTAATGGACCCATTCATACCTGTGCTGGTACCGATATATACAGATAAAGAGATTTACAGTTGTTTATGCTATTACTCTGATAGGAATTGGATTCAACATCCTAATGGTAACTAAACTAATATTTTTTGCATGTCTATATTGTTCATTTGTCCGGCAGTCAGTACAGTTTTAAATTGAATTTCACCAAACTTACATCATAAGAATGGTCACTAGAGAATTCTGTAAAGTTTTTACAATTGACAAACCCTATACATTACTTCACATCAATATATCTCTGAACTTTGAAAAATTGATTTACAAGAAAAGCCCCATTATGAATAGAAAATTGTAGGGTTGTTATATTACTGCTTGTTCACATTAATTGGGATGTTTCTTAGACTTGCTGGTATTGTTCAGTTACTGTAGTTAAAAGGAAAATTTAACTTGAGGTTGGGTGGCCAGGTGGTCTAATGCATACATATTAGATTATAAGGTCTGTCAATTGTTATGTTAGAGATCCTGTGCTTGTATGTCATAACTAAGGAGTAGGGTTGCCTGCCTAATCTGGCGCCAAGTGAATTATTGAAATAAAAATATACCATGTGAGTGCCAAAATGTCCTAGTTTGTATTGAGTGGGTGTTAAACACTGTGTCTCTATTTTTGAAGGGTGATTTAAGCAATTTTGTGATTTGTTAAAACCCACATTGTCCAAGAGAAAACATTTTTTCGTTGTCAACATTTGATGTTACGTCAGTTAAACACAAACTTCTTAAAGATGTTGTTAAGACTGTAGTCACTATACTGTGAAAGAAAATCCTAAAAGGAAATGAAAGCAGAGCCTTATTTTATAAATCACTGTAAATGTAACATTCTCTTTGGGAGAGGGGGTCCTTGGAATCTTGTGGCAATTGTTCAACAGGTCATGAAAGAACTCAATTGTAATTCATTGCCTTACCAAAACTTTATAGACACTTGTCAGTTTGAATTATTTTCAAAACTTTATAACCTTTATATACACAGCTAGGATGACTACGCTGCTGGTTTCTGTTGTCTGACAACCTGTTGTTAATTGTAGTAATTCCATCTACATGTACGGTAAATCTGATATTAGTAAAATGATGTAGTATTGGCTGATTTAAGTGATATTCTTGAATATTCAGTAGAAAGGTATAATATGTTTGTTTGGTTTTTTTAACAAAATAACTTTTCTTCTCTTTATAGGTAAAACTGATGAAGGTTTAAAAGAAATTATCTTTTTAAGTAATCACAATCCATATACATTAGCCAGAGTATGCTCCTCTAGATAATATATAGTTTCAAAGACAAGAATAAAGTGGACAGACATAATACTTTTATTGTGCTACATAAACATGTGAATATTCATCAGTTGACATGAGTTCATAATGTGATGTGTTATAGTGACTATAGAGATATGTATTTATGAAATAAATAGACATTTTGTTGAATATAGTGCATCACTTATTCTTCATAACTTGGAAATATACAGCGTGGTTTCCATTGTTGGTAAAGCCAGGCCTCCTCATTATCATTGTCTCTGGTGTAACCTTGGTCTGGCGAAAAATCTGAAGAAAATAGAAATATTTTTTATTATATCAGTGATCATGATTAGTATTTAAAATTATGATTTTCACAATATAATTTTGAATTTGGTGATGTACTTGTGTGATCCAAACAAGACATGAAGTGTATCCACAGAAAGAGCACCAAGATCTGATTTTGATACAAACCTGCTCTCCGCCATTTAGAAAATTATGCAGAAATTAAAAAGATGTGACTTTGATTTAGTTGAAAAATGAAAGTGTTGATTTGATGTATTCATTTGTTTCGCCAGATCGAAAACTTTGTACATAATACATTTCATGTCCTTGAGTAGTCAACAGCCGAAGTCAAACAGACGTCTGCTGATAACAAAATGAACATTTAATTATATAGTCTAGCACTTGGTCAATCATTTATAGAAATAACACATCAGATCAGGGTCATTCCATGTCAAGTAGACCAAATTTTCAGAAGGTTGGGAACATGACCCCCTCCAAAAAAACATGAAATTATTGCGACATGAAATTATTGCGAGTTGGGGCGGTGAAACATAATTAAGACATGAAATTATTGCGAATTTCTATAGGGGGGGGAAATTATTGCGACATGAAATTATTGCGAATTTAAATAATGTTTTTTAGTAAATTTGTCTATAAAATGTGGTAGATTGTTAATTTTGAGGTGACAGTCAGCTCTTTAAAACATCGGTTGATTGGTGATCATTAGTAACAGCAAATAGTGTAAACTTGTCATTTTGTACCAACCTTCGATACCACTGTCTACCATTGTGATGCATTCGATAATATTTATCCATTTTTTGAAGAAAATCGATGAATTAATTTTATTTTATCAAAAAAGCAGGGGGTGTAACTCTGTATGTAATATACTATTCAAAAAAAGTAGGGGATATTTGATTTTGGGGGCATAATACTAAAATATGCAAATGACTACGAAAAAAGTCACTATAGAACCTAACAGAAGAAACATTTCCAGTTACATGTGACGCCCAAACGCACCAATAGCTACAGCATGGAATACATGTGATGCTTGGGATTCATCATGGGGGTCCAACCCAAGATTTGCACGACTCTGACTTTGAATGTTACAGTCATTGTGGCATTGAATTCCAGGGTGGAAACATCAGTTTAATTGTTTTAGTGACCAGAAAACAAATTTTGATATGCGTCGGCTTACCCAAAATGAAAGGTTACGTGCCCTTGGCATGCTACAGATCGGCACAACACAGGCGGTTGTGGCGCGGACGATGAATGTTTCTCAGTCTGTCATAAGCAGGCTATGGTCCAGATACCGTGATACACAATCTGTACAGGACAGACCACGATCAGGTCTACCAAGGGCGACAACTCACACTGGTGTGAGAGTGAGTGGCCAGACGATTCGGAATCGACTGCATAGGGGTCACCTTCGCGCCCGACGTCCTCGCGTGATCCCTTGTTTGAGAGATCATCACATTCAGGCAAGACGTCGTTGGTGTAGAGATCGTAAACACTGGGATAATCGACGCTGGAGCAATGTGATGTTTTCAGATGAGTCAAGGTTCACTGTTGATTTTTTGGACAGACGTAGGAGGGTGTGGCGTCGTCGAAACGAGCACTTTCAAGACATTAACGTCGTCAGACATGATCGATTTGGGGGTGGTTCTGTTATGGTGTGGGGAGGCATCACTGTTGCTGGAAGAACGGCTTTACATGTTGTTGCAGGGCGTGTTACAGGCCAGTACTACCGGGACAACATCTTGGCAGTCCATGTTGTGCCGTTCGCACGACGTCATGGCCGCCGTTTCATCTTCCAGGATGACAACGCAAGATGTCACAGGGCCAGGATCGTTACAGTTTACCTCCAACAACAGAACATCACCACATTACCTTGGCCAGCACTGAGTCCCGACCTCTCCCCCATCGAGCATGTCTGGGACATGCTTGGACAGAGGTTACGTCAACGTCAACAACGTCCTGCCAATGTCCAAGAACTTGCTGCTGCGTTGCAACAGGAATGGGACAATCTGGACCAAAATGACCTTAGACGTCTCATTAGGAGTATGCCACGTCGGATCAATGCTTGTTTGGCAAACAGAGGAGGATTTACCTGTTACTGACTTGGTTGTGATGCTGTGGTAACTTTGCTGTTTGACCCCGGGTATCATTTTACCCTTATAATGGTCAGTCTGTGCTTTACTTAGTCTAACGATCATTTGGAATAAATCGATGAATGTGAACTTCATTTCATTTTGTCATTTGTTTCTTCGTCAGTTTCATTAGGTGACTTTAATAACACTTAAAAATCAAATATCCCCTACTTTTTTTGAATAGTATATTATAGGAGGCACTAAAACGTCTGTTTAACAATAAAGTGGCAATGGAAAAGAGATACTAGATGATCGTGACAAAACTCGGTACTTTTATTTTATTCAATCAGTATCAAATAATGTGTGGTTACGCGTGAAAACAATGACCAGGTTAGTTGTTTAATAAAACAAAAGATTAATTAATAGATAATCCCGGGTTACATTTCTTTTTACCTGATCAGTGGGGGTCCAGTTAATTAACTACTACTCACAGGATTAGCTGGGGTGTTACAAAGAACGAAAAGATGGTAACATTCAACAATGGCCGTTGAATGGGCGATGTTTTGTTGAATTTATTTGTAAAATAGTGACCGCTGGCCGCGTTAGAGGTGTGACCATTTAATAAAGAGATGAAACAACAGAATTTTTACAGGGGGAATTTATCGTGACCGCTTACAAGGAGATGTCGCTGAATAGGATTGGCTGCTCATACAGATTCTAATGTACTTATTGGGACTCTTTCTTGGGAAGAGAAATGAAGGGGGAGTAATTCAATGTGGCCGACATTTGAACGAATTTTCACGAAATTATTGCGAACATGAAATTATTGCGAGAGGGCCTCGCTCGCAATTTTCGCAATAATTTCATGCTCGCAATAATTTCATGTTTTACAGTATAAAATATATATGTTATAGAAAATGGGCCTGTTTGATTTGTCCACTGATAGGCGAGCCAGTTTTCTACATGGCATTTGCTGGTCAGGTTACCGTGTATCAAAGCAAATCAAGTGACCTGGCTGATAAACAATATGGCGATGGATAATATTTATTAAACCAGTTACATGACATGTTTTAATCAAAAACCGAATTCATGAAAGCATGACTACCAGTAAGTGACCGTAAAATAAGCAGAAAATTATTATTAGTAATATTACCAAGAAAAAATAAATGACATATGAACATCTGGTTTTAAGAAGCTCCAATCCCACTTCAAAATATTTGGTTTAATTTTAACGCTTTAAAATTAGTGTTTTTTTATGGCATTCCTAAATAACGTGAATAGTTCATTTGTTCCACATTTTGCCACCTCCTGGGCGAAAAGTATGTATTGGACAATGAGTGTGATGCTAAATTCGTAATCTACACCAAAAGTTGTCTTAGATTACAAAGTTAGAGAGTTCTACTCCTATTAGAAACCATCCGAAAACCTGAAAAAAATTACTGAATTTATGATCCACTTCAGTACCCTAATTTCAAATGGCCATATCTCAGCGAGTTTTCGACCTGGTGAGGTGAAATTTCGGATTTGTTAGTTTAAAGCCATATACTATAACATATATTTTTATAATTTTTATACGCCTACATTTTCATGTGGACATTCTACCGGTCACAATTTTTATTTGATTTTGATGAAACTTGAAATATAGGTCTATCTGCCAAAGATCTTAGTTCCTTTTGATATTGGCATGTATCGGACCATAACTTCATGGATTATAGCCCCTGATTGTACAAAATATCACGTTTTTAGCTTGTGGACACTCTAGAGGCCACAATTTTCATCCAATATTGATGAAACTTGGAATGCATGTTTATAATCTAAAGATCTTGATTCCTTCCTATATTCACGCATATCGGATTGTAACTTTCTGAATTATGGCCCCTGGTTGTACGAAAAATCACGTTTTAAGCGTGTGGTACCTCTAGAGGTCACAATCATGATCCGATTTAAAAAAAACGTTCGAATATATCATCGTAGTGTCGGTTGAGTTCGAATTTCATGAAAATCGGACCAAAACTGCCGGACAAAATGGACGTCCCTCGTAAGCAAATAGTATAAACATATGGTATATCAAGGTTGTGGGCCCTCTAGAGGTCACAATTGTGATCTGATTTTGATGAAACTTGAAATACATGTCGTAACCCAAAGATCTTGGTTCCTTTCGATATTTGCACATATCGGATCATAACTTCCTGAATTATGGCCCTTGATTGTACGAAAAATTCTGTTGTTAGCTTGTTATCCCTCTAGAGGTTACAATTTTTATCCGATTTAAAAAAAGTGTGAACATTTCGCCGTTACACCTTAATGATGGTTGAGTTTGAATTTTGTGAAAATCGGTCCAAAACTGCCACGCAAAATGGCCGTCCCTCGTACGCAAATAGTGTAAAAATATGGTACATCAAGGTTGTGGGCCCTCTAGAGGCCACAATTTTTATCCGATTTTGATGAAACTTTAAGTTTATGTTTATATCACAAAGATCTTGGTTCCTTTTAATAATCGTGCATATCAGAACTTAACTTCTTGGATTATGGCCCCTGATTGTTCGAAAAATCATATTTTTAGCTTGTGAACCTGCCAGAAATCACAATTTGTATTCAATATTAAAAACCGTTTTAACATATCACCATTACACATGAATGAGTTCAAATTTCGTAAAAATCAGACCAAAACTGCCTGACAAAAAGGCGGCTCCTTGTACGCAAATAATGTAAAAGTATGTCCTACCAAGGTTATGGACCCTCTAAAGTCACAATTGTTATCAGATTTTGATGAAACTTAAAGTATAAGTTTATATATTTATGTCCCAAAGATCTCTGTTCCTTTCAATATCTGTGCATATCAGACCGTAACTTTCTGGATTATGGCCCCTGATTGTATGTAAACTGTGTTTTTTTAGCTTGTGGATTCTCTAGAGGTCACAATTATTTTATCCGATTTTAAAAAACGTTTAAATATATAACCATTCCACCATTGTGAAGGTTGAATTCGAAATTCGGGAAAATCAAAATGAAACTGCCCGACAAAATGGCTGCTCTTTGTACGCAAATTGTGTAAAGATATGTAATACGAAGGTTGTGGACCCTCTAGAGGTCACAATTTTTATCTGATTTTGATGAAACTTAAATTATATTATTATATCTCAAAGATCTCAATCATTTTTGATATTTGCACTTTTCAGACCATAACTTTCTGGATTATGGCCCCTGATTGTACGAAAAATCGCTTTTGTTATTAGCTTGTTCTATATCCATCTCTTGCAAAATGTGGGCGTATCTTGCCTGCCAACCGCTGGTTTTGGAGGGGGTCATGTTCCCACCTTTGGTCCAATTGATATGGAATTACCCATCAGCCTAGTTATAAGCACGTTAACTGATCTTTTGTTACCTGTTGGGGTTTCTGAATGTCTTCTTAGATTTGTTGTTGAATAACTATACATAGATGGAATAGGGATTGTGTTTGTATCATGCAGAGAACTTATAGGCTCAAGATTATAAAAATCCATTATAGAATATCTTTCATTAATCCCTAATCCTAAGGCTGGTAATTTGTTGGTATTAGTCCTGCTGACAGTTCGATAATTTATTTGAGGTGGTGTGATGTAACTGGCTGGGTATGATGATCTGTGCTCATGCAATGGAGTCTGTGTAAGGAAAAAAATTGAATTCTATGAATACATTCTAATATAATATTACATCCAAAATATTTTAGAAAAAAAACAAGTAGCAAATCTGTTAAAATATTTTGCGTAAATAATTCCTTAAGATGTGTTAATAAATTAAGGATTTAAAGTTTGATACAATTTCAGTAGTAGAACTTCATCTGAACGATATTATATTACCTTTATTGGTGGTAGAGGAGGTAAATCATTGGTATTTAATAAACATAAATCATTACTGAATACATCACTATTACATTCATTGTTGAGCACTACAAAATCCTCATTCCTGGAATAGAGAATGGATCTGATCAACTGTCTGTCATCAGATGATTAAGATATTGATCTGATCAAATAAATAAAAAATTTGGACATAGTCCTTATGTTTATTTAAATATTATGGGTTTGTACAATTTATCTAAAGCTTGCATAAATTGGTTACTTAAACATGCATTATGCAAGAGCAAAATCTGCTTATTACAAGTCTTTCTTTAGGCCTGAAATGTTATCTAAATTATCAATTAGACATTAATTAACTTATCCAGACCATAATAAACTCTCGATGTCAAGGCTAGCCTTCGATGTTGGCTGGATTAGATTCCTATATGCTGCTAACGGCCGTTGATAATTAAATCAACAAAAGTGAATAATCGAGACTAAGCTGTTTATATTAATGATTTTAGTAATGATGACCGAGACTATGCCAAAATTTCACCCGCTTCTTTCTCGGCTCATAGTGGATCAATTTGACTGAAATTTTCAGCAAATTACCTTTACACTATCTAGTTTTTAACTATTATAGCTAGAACTGCCATCTCGTTATCTTATCTCCCATAATGTATCTTTAAAGAGGCCTTATTCAAGAGCTAAATCTGCCTATTGCAGGTCTATCTTTTAAGCCTTAAATGTTATATAAATTATTAATTAGACATTTATTAACTTGCCAAGACCATAATCAACTCTTGATGCCATCAGATGCTCAAACTTTTCAACAGATTAAAATATTACTGACACTTTGAGAGTTAATGATTTAATTTAAAAATGGATAATTGAGACTTGGTTTATTATCTTAACAATGGTAGCAATGACAATCGAGACTACACTGTTCTTCTAACGGTGATAACTCAGCTCAGAATGAAGTAATTTGATTGAAATTTTCAACATATCCCCTTTTCATTAGGTCTATCTGTTTTTATACGCCCATATTTTCATGTGGACGTATATTGTCGTCGCCCCTGTCCGTCTATCCACAATTGTTTGTAAACACTCTACAGGTCACAATTTTTATCTGATTTCAATGAAACTTGAAATATAGGTTTATCACCCTAAGATCTCTATTCCTTTCTATATTGGCATGTATCGGACTGTAACTTCATGGATTATGGCCCCTGATTGTACGAAAATCACGTTTTTAACTTGTGAACACTGTAGAGGTCACAATTTTTATCCGATTTGGTTTAAACTTGAAATGTATGTTTATACCCCACAGATCTCGGTTCCTTTTGATATTCACACGTATCGGACCATAACTTCCTGAATTATGGACCCTGATTGTACGAAAAATCATGTTTTTAGCTTGTGGATCCTATAGAGGTCACAAATTTTATCCAATTTTAAAAAAAATGTGTGAATATATCACCGTTACACCCTAAGGATGGTTGAGTTCGAATTTCGAAAAAATTGGACAGAAACTGACGGACAAAATGGCTGCCCCTCGTTCGCAAATATTGATAAAATATTGTGTATCAGGGTTGTGGACCCTCTGGAGGTCACAATTTTCATCTGATTTTGATGGAATTTGAAATTCATGTTTATAACCCAAATATCTTGGTTCCTTTTGATTTTCGTACATATCGAATCGTAACTTTCTGAATTATGGCCCCTGATTGTACGAAAAATTGCGTTTTAGCTTGTGGTCCCTCTAGAGGTCACAATTGTTATTCGATTTAAAAAAACATGTGACTATATCACCGTTACACACTAAGATCTTGCTTCCTTTTGATAATTGCAGATACCTGAACTTAACTTACTGGATTATGGCCCCTGATTGTTTGAAATATCTTTTTTAAAAAACATTTAAATACATCACCATTCACCCATAATGAAGATTGAATTTGAATTCAGGGAAAACGAAATGAAACTGCCCATTGAAACTTAAAACATATCTTTATATCCCAAAGATCTCAGTCCCTTTTGATATTTGCACATTTCAGGCCATAAATTTCTGGATTATTGCCCATGATTGTACAAAAATTTGTGTTTGTTTTTAGCTTGTTCTCTATCCATCTCTTGGAAAATGTGAGCTTATCCTACCTGGCAGCCGCTGGTTTAACTATTATAGCGAGAACTTTCAGCTCTTTATCTAAATCTTACATACTGCCTCTTTAATTGGAATAGAACTGATTTGAAAAAAAAAAATGTTATTGTAAGTAAAGTATAATACCTGTTTACTCTCGCAATACGAAATTTCATCTGTTTAATATGGTTTTCTACCATCATGGCTTGATCATGTTTAACTTTCACATTCTTGTACTTGGGAGTTCTATTACTTAATCGTTTTCTGTAAGTAAAATGTAATCTAATCATAATTTGGCAAGTCATGATATTTGGAGTTCTATATCTTCTATTTTAGAAAACTTACATTTTTGATAATATATAAAATCTCAATATTCTATTGATAAAATAATAAAAACCTTAGACTTTTTGGATGAGGTAGATCACCAGCTGAGACCATTGGAATATTGATTAAAGATGATTTCAGTTTTTGACTATTTTCTTTATTAGAATAATCCTGAACAATATAAATGCAGCATTACAGTAACTTGATATGACATTTGCTATTCAAATGACTTTTTAACAAGTCTCTATTTTATAATGTGATCATCAACAATGTTACTGATTTGAGAATTTGCATCTTTTGGTAAACTGTCCTTGACAGAACTATGATTAATAAAGAAAAAATTAATCATGATATAAATTCACCCATCACCTTTATTTAAGAAATTGGACATTGAAAGTATAGTTTGTAGCCAAAAAAATATAACTTAGCCAGTTTTGCTCCCTACATAAGAAATTTTCTAATAATCCCCCTCCGAAAGTTATTTGACTTTTTGAGGGTGAGGTGCAGTTTTAGAATTATAAGAAATCATATGATTGATGTATCAGTCAACATTAGGATTAATCTTTGGTGCTACATATTAAAGGATTCTCCAACACTTTAATTGACCTAAGAGTAAAACAGTAGTACCTTCACTTCAGAGGAACTTTTGTCAACATTTAGATTGCACGATCTTCCGATTAAATAACTTGAATAGCTGAAAGAAAATCTATGTCATGAATTTGAAGATCAAATTTTGGTAGCTTACTATATCAATGCAATTCTAACAGAATAATCAAGTTTAGAACACATTAACATCAGTAGTTAAAGAGCTGATTTTCACAAACTGACAAATTTTACTCTTTTATTATATTTTCGAGATCTTACCCAGTAGTATGGTAAATATATTTCACACAACGAGAATGATACTGAATTCATTCATCCCCGATAGGAAGAATTCTCATCAGGAACAAGACAGTCTTTTTTTTTAAGGAAGATATAGGCCTACTGGTTTCAGAGGTTAATTTTTGTAGTATAAACACTCCAAAACGAGTGCTCTAACATGAACCCCCACAAACAATTAATAATATTAGGTCCACAATCAATAGTGAAATTTTATCAAAGATAGGAATTTAACATAACATTCGTGTCTTCGGCTTTGTCAGTAATATTGAAGTGATTTTAAACCTTTGATGATTGTAATTAATAAAAGCTGTTGTAGGCCAATGCACTGGTTTTACATTATGAATATTTTCTTCTTCACCAATTTGTGCCTCACTAATTGTTGCTACTGGTGACGAGTCCTCTGATTCAGCCCTTCTTGCCGTTTGAGATGATCTGAAACGAGAAACTATCCAGTAATAGGCAGTATGGCCTAGGCTAGGCTAATGGTTTTGAACCAACACTGCCACTAGGCATATTGATATTTGGCAAATTGCGTAGAGTTTGATTCGATTCTATATTAATCAAGCAGATAATTGAGCAACACAACGTTCTGTTATAAGTACTAACATGGTCAGAGAATAAAGTTGCCAGATTCCGATATTTTCGTGTAAGACTCAGTCAGTAGGAACTAGGAGTAGGATGGAATGACTCACTTTCCAAAATTCAAGTCAAAGTAATTATCTGGATGTGAATCCATCTGATTTCAGCTGAATGTCTAATTATAGACAACATGTGCTCGACGTGTAATGACTTTATTTTTAAGTAAAGGTGAGTTTTATGATGACAAGTTTCACAAGTAATGTTGAGAAATTATTATGAACCCAATGAATCAAAATAAACACGTGAATGGTTCGTCTGCTTTATTTACTTTTCAGAAGTGCACACAAATCATTGACGTAAACGACTACGTCACCACTTTCTCCATAGTTTTCTATCGTGCGTCAAAATGGCGAAGTAATATTTGTTTTTGTGTCATCGCGATGGTCGCTTATTAACCCAAGTGAACATTTTAAGGTAAAATAATTAATTTGAATTTCTAGCTATTTGTTACATCTGTAAAGAAACAAATTAATAAACTTAATATCCATACACTCGCATGTAGACAAAGATTTTGAATAAATGATGCTGATGGGCGGGGGAGTCACAACGAACAGCAAACAGGTGCCCGTTCCTACCCCTTCCACACGTCACAGATACAATCAATGTCGTCAATCACTAGATTCTCGACTGACAATATCATGTAGGAGTGGGTGGTACATTTTCAAGATGGTCATCAATGCACAGGGATAATTTTAGATTTAAAAAAACTCAATTAATTTCACTCTCTATAACTATAGGCCTTAGTAGTAGTACTACTCCTAGTAGGCCTATTAGCCTAGTATTAATATTATAATATAGGGCAATTCCACACTAAAGTATACAATTAGGTGAAAAATTTAATTAGTTGATAAGTGGACAAAAATAGTGTCTTATGGTGGGAAATAATCCATATTTTGAAGAAAAATCTCAATTTGGGTGGAGACTCTTCCGATTTTTTTTTTATTTGGTCTTGTGTCAAGGTTTACGTTGTAAATGTCGAATTTATAATTCTATTTTATTTTCTTACTTTGTGTTTGTTTGATTATTCTGACTCATAATGAATGATTTGGCATCAGTTATATGACAATGTATATAAACATAATATTTTTAAACATTAAAATATAAAAATAATATATTTTTGTGAAGGTAACCAACATTGAAAAATATCACTATGAGAATGTACGTCCGTTACCAAATATTTACATTTTTTTCTCTCTCAATCATATTTTTATATAGAATTATTTAAAACTTCATATCTAAAGCTAGAATAACCCATTCTTACTATATTGATCGTAAAAAGAAAAGATTTGCAAAAATTCTCAGAATAACTTGGGTTTTCATAGATGTACGTCCGTTACTTTTCACAGTATTTCATGTTACCAAATATTTCCATTTTATCTCTCTCATTCATATTTATTTATGGAACTGTTCAAAAACTCATATTTAAAGCTAACATCACTCATTCTTGTTACTATGACCGTAAAAAGAAATCATTTGCCAAAATTGTCTGAATTACTTAGGGTTTCATAGATGTATGTACGTCCGTTACCAAAATTTTAGGGTAAAAATGTACGTCCGTTACCAAAATTTTAAGGTCACAATATTTCATTCAAGGAGTAATGTTTTTAGGAAAGTAACTGTTCCATTAATTCAAATGAGTTAACTATTATTATTATCTATAAGTCCGATTATTTGAAAGTTTACATATCTCATGTAATGAGTTAGCAATTTGCACTCGTACATCCGTTACCAGAAAATATGTACGTCCATTACCACAATAATTTCTAATTTACTGGGTTACAAGAATCCAAATGTGAGAAGTGATTATGCAGTACACATGTAGTATAAGTGCCCTTTCTTAAAAGGATTAAAACTTTTAAATTCCACAAGACAATTCACAGAGTTTTGAAACTATGTTCATGCAGGCAAATCATGGTGTTCATTTCTGTACGTCTGTTACCTATACTTTGAAGAGCCAATATTTATTTCCAGTGTTCATGAACAAATTAAATTATATGTCAATTGATACTTAAATCATGTGTCTTTAATGCTATATAAAACCCAAATAGTTAATTATTCATGGTTAGAAAATATTGGAAGTAATAAAAATATGGCGAGTTCAAAATGTACGTCCGTTACCGTGGAATTGCCCTATAGGTACTGGTAGCCTGGTAAGTATTCGGATGCCCAAGGCAATTGATTATAATATAATATGAATTAAGGCTCAATACCACTCTGGATAATATGTCCCAATCTTTATTCTGGTCAACAAATTGTACTATTTTACAATATTCCAATTAATTGATGATACAAATTTCATCTTAAGGAATAATATGACTATAAGGGAGAAATTTGAACATAATTTTTAGGAAGTGGATATTGCACCGGGTCAGGTTAGCCTACTGACAAGATAAAGAAGTGAATTCAAATTATCTGAAATGGCTGCATGCATGGAAGTGATTGTGCTAAGTTTTCAGTGTTAAATTAAATGTGTTAGAAGCAATTAAATGAAAATGAAATGCTCAGACAGGTTATGTAATTATGTATAGCTACAAGAACGTAGCTAAAAACGTTGAGATATACTGATGTGCTTGTTTTTAGCTACGATTGGGTACCTTTAGTTCAGTGGTTCTCAATCTTTTTTTCCAATGGCACACTTTGGTACACATGAAAAAATTAGCGGCACACCTGGCTAAATAAATATATGAAAAATATTGGAATTTTTCAAAATAAAAACATTATAAGTCAGACGGCATACAACCGTAGACAGAGACTAGTCATTGACACATAGAATGACTCAAACTAAATAAAGAAAACACAGCTATGAACTTATCAGCAAACACCAGTGAATACTCAATTGGGATCATGTAGTTTTTCGCATAATCTTAGTGTGTCGTTCAAAATTTTGTGGTACACTCAGGAAGATCTCGCGGCACACTGGTTGAGAATCACTGCTTTAGTTCCAAGTGGCAAACTCAGTTTCTTTATTAATGCATGTAACATCTTAAAAATAAGATAATTGTCCCCCGCCTTTCGAAGAAAGCAGGGGACTATTAAAATGGATTCGTCTGTCCGTCCGTCCGTCTGTCCGTCACACTTTTTGGGACAAAATAACTTTCCTTCTAATTGACCTAGAATGTTCAAACTTGGTGTAGGTGTTTATTAGGTCAATGCCTTGATTGAGTTCGAAGATGAGCATTTTCTGCTTAGGGTAAGCAGAGATAAGCGATTTGATTGGTTGATGCTTTGGGACACGATAACTTTAGCTCTAATTAAGTGAGAGTGATGAAACTTGGTGTATAGTTTCATTACATCAATACCTTGACTAAGTTCGATAATGAGCATTTTCTAATTGAGGTAAAATGTTCAAACTTGGTATAAGTGTTTATTAGGTCAATGCCTTGATGGAGTATGAAGATGAGCATTTTCTGCTTAGGGTAAGTAGAGATAAGCAATTTGATTGGTTGATGCTTTGGGACACGATAACTTTAGTTCCAATTAAGTGAAAGTGATGAAACTTGGTGTATAGTTTCATTACATCAATACCTTGACTGAGTTTGATATTGAGCATTTTCTGCTGAGGGTAAGCAGAACGATAAGCAATTTGATTGGCCGAGACTTTGGAAACCAAATACTGTCCTTCTAATTGAGCTAGAATGTTCAAACTTGGTGTAGGTGTTTATGAGGTCAATGGCTTGGTAGAGTGCGAAGATGAGCATTTTCTGCTTATGGTAAGTAGAGATAAGCAATTTGATTGGTTGATGCTTTGGGACATGATAACTTTAGTTCTAATTAAGTGAGAGTGATGAAACTTGGTGTATAGTTTCATTACATCAATACCTTGCCTAAGTTCGATGATGAGAATTGTCTGCTTAGGCTAAGGTGCAATAAGCATTTTGATTGGTCAAGACTTTGGAACATAACAACTCTGCTTCTAACTTGATGTTGATGTTCGTCTTGACTGAATTCAATGATTAACATATCGAGCTAAAGCTAAGCAGAGATAAGCAATTTCCTTGGTCGATGCTTTGGGACAAGATAACTTTGATTCTATCTGATAGAGAGTGATGAAACTTAGTGTATAGTTGATAATCAGTTTGATTGCTCGATACTTTTGAAAAAAATAGATGTGCGATTAATTAATATGTGTCATCTATTTATTTGGGGATTTCGGCGGGGGACTTCAGCCTCACTGTTGGCTTGTTTTATACTATTATGACTAATTAGACTTTAAAAAACAGAGGCCAATGTAGTGGAACAACTATCGCCTAACTCCAAATATTCCCGAAATATTATAAATAACACTAATCAATCGTTTTGATGAAAAATATTGTCAGTTTTGCTTACTGAGGTCCGATGTGATTTGTGTCGGGCTTTGCTACGTGGAACTATACAGCACCATCTCTTTATCTCGAAACACAGAGGGTTGAGAGATGAGGTTTGTTATCTAGGTTATGAAATGTTGAGATGGTTTCCTAGATTTCTATTGTTTGGAATCAAACCACTTAACCATGTGGTATCAAGCAGTTGGGAGTCAAGATCACATTTTTAGTTCTGGTACTATACATGTGTATCTGGTTAATTGACTAATTTCTACTTAAACCATTTGATGGATATCTACCATACATGAACAATATGAATATGAGTGATAGCAATATGAATCATAATATTTTAACATTTATGATAGCTGATTCCTGAGAAATTTTTGTATTCCACGTGATTTGTGCAGTTGGTAAAACAAAATCACATAAAATTTTCCTTCTGTTAATTGACACAAACACAAGAAGTCATGGCATACACGTACAGTCAAGTAGTCAGTAAAATAAAACTGGATTTTAGTAGGCCAATTGGCTTCTTGAGCTCATAGCGTTTCTGTGTGTGTGGTAATAGTTAAGCTTGGCTATCCTGTAAACTATAATTCTGTTGTATATTTTACACTATGATAATTATCATATATTGTCAGGTTGAATTGTTATGCACATGTATCTTTAAAGCTATAACAACAAGTCCTTTCTTCTTTGCAGGAAATATATAGATGTACCTAGTTTTATAGGGTAAGTTTATGATGTAGAAGTGAAGACTTAAAATGCTTTTTATACGCCCACATTTTCATGTGGACGTATATTGTTGTCGCCCCTGTCCGTCCGTCCACAATTGTTTGTGAACAGTCTACAGGTCACAATGTTTATCCGATTTCAATGAAACTTGAAATATAGGTTTATCACCCTAAGATCTCGGATCCTTTCAATATTGGCATGTATCAGACTGTAACTTCATGGATTATGGCCCCTGATTGTACGAAAAATCACATTTTTAGCTTGTGAACACTGTAGAGGTCACAATTTTTATCCAATTTGGTTTAAACTTGAAATGTAAGTTTATAACCCAAAGATCTCAGTTCCTTTCGATATTCGCGCATATCGGGACGTAACTTCCTTAATTATGGCCCCGGATTGTACGAAAAATCACGTTTTTAGCTTGTGGGCCCTATAGAGGTCATAATTTTTATCCGATTTAAAAAAACGTAATATTTTATCACCGTTACACCCTACGGCAGCGGAGTTCGAATTTCGTGAAAATCGGCCCAAAACTGACAGACAAAATGGCCGTCCCTCGTTCTCAAATAGCGAAAAAATATGGTATATCAAGGTTGTGGACCCTATAGAGGTCACAATTTTTATCCGATTTTGTTTAAACTTGAAATGTAAGTTTATAACCCAAAGATCTCGGTTCCTTTCGATATTTGCGCATATCGAATTGTAATCTCCTGCATTATGGCCCTTGATTGTAGGAAAAATCACTTTCGTTTTAGCTTGTTCTCTATCCATCTCTCGAAAATGTGGGCGTATCCTGCCTGGCAGCCGCTGGTTACATATCTCCATAACCATTTCTGTAATATTCAAGAATGTTTAAACTTTAAACAGATTTAGTAATTGATATTATTTCTTGCAGGATTTAATTACATCAAAAGTCAAATTATTAATTTGATTAATGAAAGTATCGAAGTAAAGATAATGGCTACAAAAGCAAAAATCAAGAAGAAAAAGAAGGATATTATTCCAGAACTTCCGCTGGATAATAAAGATGTAGAAAATGAAGGTAATTAAAGATGTTTAAAGCTGTATAAAGTTACTTAAGAAATCTAAAAAATGATGTAATCGTAATCAATTTAAATGATTAGACCTCTTTAAATTGGGGTAAAAAATAATAAAATAATTGTTGTTTTAATAAACTTTTGATATTTTGTTTTATTACATCTAAAAAGTAGAAGTATGACCATAAAAAGTAACTGTCCCCAATATTGTGATATACCCATTTAAAAACTTGTTTTTTTTCGTATTTCAGAGAATACAGATAAAATGCCAGTTGTGGTCAAAAGTGCTGATGATTCAAACATAATTGATAATGTTAGTCAGGTAAGTCCTGTTGAGAAATTGACATTTGATTTTATTTTAACAATTTCTCAAAATGTTTTCCTGATGAATTTAATTTAGTTGTTACTGTAGTTGGTGTTTAAACTGTATAGGTTATGAATGAATTAATGTTTGGATTAATCTTGTAGGAAACGGTAAAAGACGAAGAAATAAAAATAGTGAACGATGTTAATAAAAATGATGACCCACAGAAGAAAAGAAAAGATGGAATGTATGAGAAAAAAGACCAAGAGAAAGATACAAGATCTCAAAGTTCATCAGTCTTATCTCTATCATCACAGAAAGAGAGACGAAGTCCTTCACCATTCCGCAGAAATGTTGTAGAGCCAGCTCCTGATGATGGCACTAGTAATATGGGAAGCGCAGTTTCTCTTAGATCAAATATTTCAGCTAAAGGTAAAGATTTCTTGTATACACCCTATCCGTCAGAAAAAGGAGAACATGTACAGTTGCTTTTATATAATTTGTTATTAAAAGTAGATCCTGAAGAATTTATAAATCGAATTTAATCGTTATGGTATAATAAACCCTTTGTTTTCCCATTGTTTAAAATTTCAAAATAATTATGTATATTTTCAGAGGCTTGGAGTGTGAAGAGTGAAGATTTATCAATTTCAGCAAAGACTAAACGTCCAAGTAAGTTTTCTATAAGTATAGATAATTTTTTTTTATTATTATTTAGAAGTAGGAAATCAGGACATAGATCAGTGATTCTCAGTGTGCCACGAAATTTTGAACGACACACTAAGATTATGCGAAAAACCACATGATCCCAATTGAGTATTCACTGGTGTTTACTGATAACTTCATAGCTGCGTTTTCTTTATTTAGTTTGAGTCATTCTATGTGTCTATGACTAGTCTCTGTCTACGGTTGTATGCCTCAATTTTTTTCCAGGGATGTAGCCAGGATTTGCTGAGTGGTGAAAAAAATAGCTGCCGAGTGCAGCGATGAAAAAAAAATTTTAGAGTGGGGCGTGGTCTTTTATGAAAATTCAACCCTTCTTGGTGTATTTTCAGAGCATCTGCTGCCTTTTGTAGCTGTCTCTAGGATTTAGTTTAGATTCGGTAGAATTACCGGTAGAATGAGTACATTAAAAATTGATAGTAAAACCGAAAGTACGACACCATTTACGACATCCATACCTTTAACATTGGAGTGCCGGAAATTGGTCTGGGTTGACCTATTTACGGCAAATATACAAATTTAAAGACTCTAGAATTGTAAAATGAATAGACCTACACAACTTCTAAATATAAATAAACAAAATACCAATACTTCTTTCTTTAAACTAATTTGGGATGATAGAGTCTACTACGGCACACAAAAAAAAATTATGCCGTGGCTAGACATGGTTCGCGTCGACTTTTACCATGGCTTTGCAGTTTGCCGTGGTAAATTTCGAGCGCTGACGCTGAGTTTGTGTACAGAGAAGGACAAAGGGGTTTAAATACGACTGGGCGGCTTTCTTCAATTTTTTCTTTGTACTGGGCGGCAAAAAATAGTGCCACCCGGCGTGGCTACATCCCTGTTTTTCAGTATTTCTCCAGGCCAATCTTACCATTTTCGACGAATTTGCTGCAAATTTTTATATTCACAAGGATATTTTTCACTATGAGACCAGTATACACCTACCGACTCATATAAATCTATCTGGTTATGTTTGAGGTGCCCTTTTATACGCCCAGATGGAAATGTGGACGTATATTGCAGTCGCCCCTGTCCATCGTCCACAATTTCTTGTGAACACTATCTGGTTATGTTTGAGGTGCCCTTTTATACGCCCAGATGGAAATGTGGACGTATATTGCAGTCGCCCCTGTCCGTCGTCCACAATTTCTTGTGAACGCTCTAACTCCAAAAGTTATTATCCGATTGTTTTAAAATTGCTATATATGTGGTTTACATTAGTGAGATGAAGAAGCCTATATAATTTCTGTTCATTAAGTCTAGATTTATGGCCCTTGTTTCACTTTGTTGAACCTTGTGAATGCTATTGCGCCAAAAGTTATCATTCGATTTTTGTGAAATATTTATGCATTATTTAAATTAGTGAAACGAAGAAGCCTATTGAATTTCTGCAATTTCTGTTTATACCTATAGAGTTGTGACCCTTGTTTCACTTTGTTGAACCTTGTGAACACTATTACGCCAAAAGTTGTCATGCAATTCTTTGTGAAATTTATATGCATTATTTAGATTAGTGAAACGAAGAATCCTGTTGAATTTCAGCAATTTCCGTTTATTACGTCTAAGAGTTATGGCCCTTCTTTCACTTTATTGAACCATGTGAACGCTCTAACATCAAAATTTATCTGCCGATCTGTATGAAATTTACATGCATCATTTAAATTAGTAAAGAGAAGAATCCTATTGAATTTCAGCAATTTCCGTTTTTTACGGTACTTCTAGAATTACGGCTTTTGTTGCACTTTGTGAGCGCTCCAACCTCTAAAGTCATCTGCCGATCTGTATGAAATTTATATGTGCCATTTAAGTTATTAAAAAGAACAATCCTTTTGTATTTAGCAATTTCCGTTTAATACCTCTAGAATTACAGCTCGTTTCACTTTATTGAACCTTGTGAGCGCTCTAACGCCGAAATTTATATGCATTATTCAAATTAGTGAAACCAAGAAGCCTATTGAATTTCAGCAATTTACAATAATTACTTCTAGTGTTATGACATTTGTTTCACTTTGTTCAACCTTATTAATGCTCGATTGATGAAAGTTATCATCCGATATATATGAAATTTATATGCATAATTTAGATTTGTGAAACAGAGGTCTATTGAATTTCAGCAATTTCCGTCAATAATTTCTAGAGTTATGGCCCTTGTTTTACTTTGTTAACCTTGTGAAAGTTTGAATGACAAAAGAGATCATCTAAATCTGTATGAAATTTATATGCTTTATTTAAATTAGTAAAACAAAAAAGCCTGTCAAATTTCAACAATTTCTGTAGACTACTTCCAGAGTTGCGGTCCTTGTTTCAGTTTGTAGAACCTTGTGAACCAGCAAACGACAAAAAATTATAATCTGATCTGTATGGAACTGTCTTGTAAAGTTCCCCAATTACCTACAAAGGAATAAATATACGTCAACCGCTCGGACGATTTAGCTGCTGGGGGTGTATGTTTTGTTGCTTGGCAACCTATCTTTTATTTACAGCCTTGTTTCATGCCACAATTTTGTCAAGATGGTTTTGTAACGTGTTGAATAGTCTATGCTTGACCATTTTGATTAATCTATATTTTTGCTTCAGAATCCTCTTCTAGTACGTCAACAGTGATCAGTAGATTTGATTCTAACAAAAATAAGAACCGTGATGGTAAGTTTTTAATTTTTAAAAATACTGTAAAATAAGAAATTTATTCGGGCAGAAAAATGTGTATAAAATTCAGTCTACCATCAGTAAGTTATAATAATTTCAATATGCATTTATTTCTATATGTAAAATAACAACATAAAATAGACAATGTCTTCAAACACAAAACCCCTAAAAAAAGCAAAGAAAACACGTAACCAATGAAGTGAGGAAATTGTATGAAAAATTAAGTACGAACTACAAAGTGAGAGTGTGTGCTATTTTTGATAGTATCATTTTAGGAAATTTGCTTAGATATATTTTTTAAATGGAAAGATAGTTTATTTGTATTGTTTTTGTTAGCCTTCATTCCAAAACATCAAATTATCATTTTATTTACAGTATTAGAAAATGTTTCTAAAACATTTCTAAATAGAGTTTATCTGTAGTGTTCAATATTTTTTTCAGACACAGTTAGCCTTAAATCCAGAACATCAATAGAAAATGAACAACATCAGAATGCTTATATTCCCTATTTATATGCAAGAAACTGTATTAAACAAATAACTACAGATATGGAGTGTATGAAAATAAGCCACATTCGTATTGTACATGATATTGAGAATAATTACAGAGCTATTGAAGATGAGACTCAGGTTATTATGCTTACTGTGTATTTTTCTTCAATTTTTTTTATTATAACTAGAAACTTCTGGAATCTGGAGAATTGTTGTGTAAATCTATGTGATTGATTATGTCTGTCTTAATATTTTCAAATCAACAAATTTCTATGGCTGAATGTCTAATTCATGCAATCTTTTCTTTTAGAGTCAGTTTAATATGTTTGTGCTGTGTTTGAAAAAAGAATATGTTGAGAAAGTTACAACTTTTAAACAGGTTATAGATGTCCACAGGATTGAATTAGAAAGTAAAGAAACTTACTGGAAGGATGTTTTTAAGGTAGAAATAATATTAAGCCTTTGCGTTTTTTTCTCCGTCTGTCGGCCTATTGACACCCCTTGAACAACTTTAGCTTTTGACATTTAGCATCTTGAAGCCCCAGTCTGACTTCAATTTCAAATGCTTTCTACTGCTAAGAATAATTACTGGCCCTGAGAATAGGGTAATAAAATCAAGTAAAATATTTGCATCAATTTAGGACTCAGATGTTTAGTTGAAATTGACAGATTGTTTAGCCTTTTATTGTATATTTTTTTATCATAGACCTCGCAAATATGCATACAATAATATGACAAAGATCAACTGCAATAAATGTAAATACTTTACTGTTTAAACATGAAAATTTAATTTGGCATTTGTGACATCAAATATCTATTTTTAGAAGTGACTCCAAATGCTAAATTGATCAATATAATTAATAGTACATTGACACCAAGTGTCATACTTTTAAAATAAAGTAAACAATTTTGATGGGTTTTTTTTAAGACATATCCACTCGGCTATTACAGGAGAACTAAAAAATAAAAAGTAGCTATAGAATTTTAATATATTGATCTATATACTTTATTTAACGTACATTTTCCATTATTGTAGAGTCTGACAGAACGTAACAATAAGATACTGAAAGATAAAAAAGTTTTACTACTCAAACACAAGATGGAAATTGATCGACTTATTAAAGAGAAGGTATGGTGGTGCTTTTTTTTAATATCACTTTACAACATGATTTTGTGATGCAAGGTAATAAATATTTCACATAAAGTGAGGCGGGGGGGATGGCCAGATGGTTAGCACATGCAAGCTGTATCATAAGGGCTGTTATAGAGTTAATTACTGGCGTGGTTTCGATTCCCCAGTTGTACATGACAAGGAGTAGGGTCGCCTGTCCAAACTCGTGGGTTTTCTCCGGGTCCTCCGGTTTCCTCCCACTGCTAAAGACCCGTACGCGCAAGGGAATTATTGAAATAAAGTTGAACCATATGTTAGTCCCGAAATTAACTAGTTTGTGTCGAGTGGACATTAAACCCCATTTCTCTCTCTCTCTCTCTCTATTTCATACAAGGTTTATTTATTTTAAAATATTTTTTTAAAGGAACAAATGAAGACTGATTTGATAGCCACAGTAGATAAAGCGTATGCATCAACATCACAAGGTATATAAATTAATTTCAACTGTTTTGATTAGTAATCGATCTTAAAACTTTTTCAAAAATTGATTTGTCTCAAATTCTGCACACAATCTTATTTGAACATACACGATTTAACTGTGTAGTCAAATCACGTAAAATCAAAAATTACTTTTTATTTTTTTTACCAACCACCCAAGTCCCCAAAGCGCCAATACCTCTTTAAGATGTTGTTGTACTGTAGAAAGAAAGTATTCTGTCATTTAAGTTTGCCTTGATGCCTAATTAAAAATCTTGATTTTTTTTAAGTTGAGAAAGATTGTACTGAGAAAATGGAGAAAGAAACAACTACATATAAGAGTTTATTAGACAAGCTCGAAGAAGAGAAAATGGTTTGTGTTAATAATACTTTTTTGAAACTATTTATCTTTCTAAAAAAATGTCCTTACTTTACTATTATAGGCCTACAATTGAAGATATACATGTAAAAATAAAAAAGTAATGTAATTTTAATTAATTTCTTTCCCAACTTACCGTACACAGAGCATACTGTTATGTCCTTACCTGGCTTGATTGATAATATGTCTGTACATAAGTCATATTTTTGATGCCACTTGACTTTGCACTTTCCAGCTAGACAAATGACAACATAGTGGATATAAATACCAGGGTAAAGTATCTTCTTCGAGGACTTAAGGATTCAATGTTTACCCAGCATGACGAATGGATGTGCAATTATATGGCTTTGGATCCAGAAAACCCTGCCGTTTCAGAATGTAGTGTCTGATACTTACTGTATAAATCATTATGTTTTTATGTTTCTAATATTTTCAGAATCTTAATAAAGAATTGGAAAAAGAAAAGAATGAAACGGAACGATTAAATGCATTGTTAAGTGAAAAAGCAATAGCAGTTGTAAATGTTGATTCTGATACTGTTGAGAGTACTAAGTTACAGGGGGATACAAAGAGTGAGAAGCAAACATCAGTTGTCGCAGTGGCTTTAGGAAAAGAAGAACAACAACGAATGGAAGATGAACGTCAGTTGATTTCAAAGGAAAGGACAGATTGTCTTGAAGAGCGTCAGAAAATGGAAAAAGAAAGACAAATGTTTTCTGATGAAAGGAAAACATATATGGAAGAAAAAATAAATTTACAAGAACAAATAACAGAACATAAAAAGGTAGTTATGTTAAAAAGACAAGATAGATGTATTTATATATTTAGTCAGAGTGATTTCCCATATTATTCAATATTTATAGCCTACAAATATTACATATAGATATTATGTTAAAAACAAACCTAAGCATTGTATCCTTCCTATAGACCAGGGACTGTGAATTGTGACATCACATCAAAAATCAAAGTCTTGTGCGCAATTGTCCAAGGAAAAAGCATGCCAATTTCATGTCGATCATACATGAATTGGTGGAGCCTTATGCATTTTCGAAGAGCGTCACACCAAGAAGAACAACCAGATGAGTAGCGCTTGAGAACGAGTTCCTGATCCACGATAACTTTTGTCTTTAATATTGTAGCTTTCTGCTGAATGGGAAATTAAATATGGTAGTTTAAAAACATCTTTAGAAGACAGCCTTACTATACAAGCTAAATATAAGGCTTTAGAGAACCAATATGCAGTATTATCAGCTATTGTTGCTTCCAATACAGAATCTTCTAAACAAGCAGCAAAGGTAAAAGATGAAGAACCCCCAATAAAAAAAAAAATCAATAATTATTCAATTGTAGTATACATCTTTGTTTTGTGAATGCATGTTTTCTTAGGGTTTTTTTAAAAGAAAAATACTCAAAAAACAACAGTTTACAAGTTTATCAATGCTTATTTTATGTTTTGAAATTTTAGTTAACTGAACTCTTGATAAAATTGGACTAGCAATATTATGTGATAAGGATAAATGTACATGTATATGTATGAATGGGAAATTGGTGATTGAATGAACGTATGGCAACTCCTTGAAAGAATGCACATGTTGTTTACGAAATAGAACCATTCTAACAACCACTATACGATTATGTTTTTTAGGACAATGAAGTAAAAACAAAATTTGAGAAAGATATGATGGACAGTGAAAAAAAGAGATTAGAAGATGAAATTACAGAATGGGAGAAAAAGTTTCAAGAAAAACACAACAGACCTCCAGAAGAGGGAGACAAGTATGCTACTACTCTATTTACAATCTGGTAGATCTGGCAATCTTTGTTGATAATCAGGCTCAACTGTTAAAACTTTATGCTATTGATAAAAAAAATTACAGATCATTTTTGTATGTATCTGTTTTAAATTATAGTTTTTTCCCCATGTCAAATTGTACTGTCTCCATATTGCATGTTTTGTTTTGGTTTTGTAGTGCAGATATCCTGCATGGTCTATTAGGATATGATAAGGATAAACCATATCTGGATTAATAGATGTTATACAATCTTTCAGACCTGATTCTACTAAGGAACTGTATACATCTCTAGGAGAGGTAGATAGTATGGTAGAAGATTTAAAACTAAAGATAGAAACACTACAGAAAGTACAAAGTGGTAATGTACCTGGTCCACCTGAAGTTAGTCCAGTACCACTAGTTATTAAAGAACCTCAAGTTAAAACAATTGAGGTCAGTATTAAAATGAACTAGAACTCCTAATATTATATGACTAATTCCTACGTGTTGTCGCCAGACATCAAGGAGATTAAAACGTCCGACAATGGAGAATTCACGGGTTAATCATGCAGATTAAGTTTATAATCACTCTTATTGGATTGATATATAGACCGACAAAGGAGAGGTATAACACAATAAATACGTCGATCACTTAATTACCTAATCAGTCAAGCCTCTTATTAATTTTGTAATTTTGAATATTATTCACCATGTCTTGATGTCCGATTGGGCATATTCCTGGTCGGACAATTTAGGACGTTTGAAAAATAGTGTCGGACATGTCCGGAATATACAGGCGAAATCCCATCACTGGTCAGAGCCCATATGGGATTCGTCCAAAGAATCCAAAAATGATAACCCGAAAAAGATCCGTTGAGAAATAACCGAGATAAGGGCAATCTGAGATTATTTTTGTCCCATCCGTAAAACACTTCCTGTTTATCAAAATGACCCAATATATATTTAATAAATAGATACACAGAGGCCAACCACATCTATGTGGGGAGAATATTTGCACCATGTACAGTTTTATCTGCACAAACTGACTAAATTCCCCCCCCCCCCAAAAAAAACAAAAGAAATAATAAAAACAGTTACAGAAACAATACATGTTTTGATCATATGTATATTTTGCTGGAGTTTAACTTCAAAGGTTCCTTCACAAAACTTAGAGCTGTTTCAGTGTATTGATTCCTGAAAATAACTTCTTGTAGTGTGTTGTATGTTTTTTTATTTTACGCCCACATTTTCATGCGGACGTATATTGTCGTCGTCCCTGTCCATACGTCCATACGGACGTTCACAATTGTTTGTGGACACTCTACAGGTCACAATTTTTATCCAATTTCAACGAAACTTAAAATATTGGCATGTATTAGACCGTAACTTCATGGATTATGGCCCCTGATTGTACGGAAAATCGTGTTTTTAGCTTGTGGACCCTATAGAGGTCACAATTTTTATCTGATTTTGGTGAAATTCGAAATGTAAGTTTATAACCCAAAGATCTTGGTTCCTGTCGATATTTGAGCATATCGGACACTAACTTCCTGAATTATGGCCCCTGATTGTACGAAAAATCACGTTTTATAGCTTGTGGACCCTAATGAGGTCACAATTTTATTCCGATTTAAAAAAACATATGAATGTATCGTCGTTATACCTTAATGACGGTTGAGTTCGAATTTCGTGAAAATCGGACCAAAACTGCCGCACAAAATCCCCCCACCCCCCTCGAATGGAAACAGTGTAAAATATGGTATATCAAGGTTGTGGACCCTCTAGCGCTCAGAATTTTGATCCGATTTTGACGAAACTTTAAATACATGTTTGTAACCCAAAGATCTTGGTTCCTTTCAATTTTTGCACATATCGAACACAAATTTCCTGAATTATGGCCCCTGATTGTACGAATTGTATGGGGTCACAATTTTATTCCGATTTAAAAAAACGTTTGAATATATCGACGTTACACCTTAATGATGAATGATTTCGAATTTCGTGAAAATCGGATCAAAACTGCCGGACATAATGGCAACCCCTCGAATGCAAACAGTGTAAAAATATGGTATATCAAGGTTGTGGACCCTCTATAGCTCAGAATTTTGATCCGATTTTGATGAAACTTGAAATACATGGTTATAACCCAAAGATCTTTGTTCCTTTCGATATTTGCGCATATCGGAGCGTAACTTCCTGAATTATGGCCCTTGACTGTACGAAAAATCGCGTTTTTAGCTTGTGGTTCCTCTAGAGGTTACAATAATTATCCGATTTAATAAAATATGTGAATATATCACTGTTACACCGTAATGATGGTTGAGTGAAAATTGGACCAAAACTGACAGACAAAATAAAATGGCTGCTCCTCGTACACTAATAGTGTAAAAATATGGTATATCGGGGTTGTGGACTCTCTAGTGGTCACAATTTTGACCCGATTTTGATGAAACTTGAAATGCATGCTTATAAACCAAATTTCTTGGTTCCTTTCGATATTCGCGCATATTGGATCGTAACTTTCTGAATTATGTCCCCTGATTGTACGAAAAATCACGTTTTTAGCTTGTGGTCCCTCAAGAGGTCACAATTATTATCTGATTTAAAAAAACGTTCGAATATGTCACCATTACACCGTATTGTTGGTTGAGTTCGAATTTCATGAAAATCGGACTAAAACTGCCAGACAAAATGGCTGCCCCTCTACGCAAATAGTGTAAACATCTGGTATATCACGGTTGTATCATTCTTGTAACATAAATTAGGTAATGGTTCCTGATCCCAGTACTGTTGAAGCCTTGAAGAAATGTCAGGAAGAACTGGAATCTCTACAGGATCAAATAACAGCCCTACAACAAGATAAAACTTACCTTAATACCAAACTATCAGATGTTAATACAGATTTATTATCAAGTAAAACAAAGATAATTGAGCTAGAAACAGAATTAGCCCTCTGTAAAGATAAGCCAATGTCAGTTGTAGCACCATCAGAGGTACAGTATTTTGCACTATTTGACACCTGGCCAAATTTAAATTCATTACTAGTTTAAGAGTCCAGATGTATCTCGTGATGGGTGACATGCTACATGATAGGTATACATTTGCCAGGAAGGCCTGATAATGTTTTCATCTTGATTCCTCTTTTAGCTTAGAGGGCTGTTGGATGTGACTGTGGATTAATTCCTTTTATATTTTGTATATGCATTTTGCAGTTTGTGCGCTATTTTTCTCTTTTATGTACACTATAATTTATTTACATTTTCTATTCTTTTCACCTTACTTAGCCTGATGTTTCTGTAGAAGAAAAAGAAAAATTAAAAAAGACTATAGAAGACAAAAATGAGGTGTTTATTTTGTTCTCTTTTTTTTATTTCTTTATGCTGTTTTTTTTGTTGTTGTCATATCCACATTAAATTTGGTTATTTTAGTCACAATTTTCTTACACCTCGCAGTTCAGAATTATTTTTAAAAATTGGTGAGATTATGTATTGGGTCATTTGCATTTGGATACACAAAATTGTGAATGAGATACTGGTCAGTAAAGAGTTTTTGCTTTGTGACTAGCATGGTGGATATTTACATGGGTGAGCATAAAAGGGAGCCTGAAAAGACCCTGTCTGTTCTTTATTTACTTTTGTGCCGTGGGGTTCTTCATTTTAATTTTGATTCTGTTGTCTTCTTATAAACATCACTAGATATACTCAAATAATTATACTTCCACATTCATGTGAACGTATATTGCTGTCACCTGTGTCTGTGTCACCTACAGACTGCAATTCTTAACTGATCGTCTTGAAACTTTACATAGTTATTCCTTAAACCCTAAGGATGATCCCTATTGTTTTTGTTGCATGCCCGATCCCCAGCTGCAGAGCCACTCCCACATTTCTTAACGTATCATGTTGAAACTTTGCATACTTATTCCTTATACCCTAACTAACATCCCTCTTGTTTGTGGTGCATGCCCAACCCCCATGGGCAGAGCCACGTCCGTTTTCTTTTTGTGTATCTGTGTGTCGCCTACAGGCCGCAGATCTTAATTGATTGTCTTGAAAACTTTTGATTTTTATTCCCTATTTGCTAAGAATAACCTCTATTTTTTTGGGTGCATGCCTGATGCCCAGGGGCATAGCCACGTCCAATTTTTGTGTTTATCGTATACAGGCCGAAATTCTGAATGGATCCGCTTGAAACTTGGCATATGTATTCCTTATAGCCTTATGGCGGCAACTATTGAATTTGATGCATGTCCCGACCTCCATTGGCCGAGTCCTGCCCAATTTTTACGTTTAGCGCCGGAAGGCCACAATACAATTCTGAATGGATTATCTTGGAACTTGGTATACTTATTCCTTATACCCTATTGATTTTGGTGCATTCCCTTATTGCCCTTGATTGTACGAAAAGTCAGGTTTTTAACTTGTGATCCCTCTAGCGGTCACAATTTTTATGGAATGTAAACGTATATTGCAGTGTTCGCGATGCTCTTGTTTAATGGTGTCATAAATACCATGTAAATATTTATACTTAGAGTCACATCAATATCAAATTTATTTTGCAGGAATTAGAAAGATTAAGACAAGAGAATCATGATATGTTGAGAGATATGAAGAAAATGATGAAAAGATATAACAAGTTGGAAGAAAAGCTGAAAGAAAGTGCTTCTCATGAAATAAATGCCCGTCTACTTCGAGTAGTGGCTGCAGTGGTAGGTTTACATGTTAGAATTGGATATTTTATGTCCTACCTCTTGATATAGGATGTTAATAATGAATTCTACATTTTAATAGAGCCTCTTAGTGTCACATTTAATTCTTAAGTAGTACATGCAAGCCAAATGTTCATTTCTGTTGCATGTAAATAGTGAAGTTATTGCGATTTCAGATTCTTTGCTGGTTTTGTAATAATTTTTTGCACACAATAATTTAAAGAATGACATTATGAGGAATTACCTATGTCGGTAGCCATTATAGGTGAATTGCTAAATATGATTCTTCTACAGCTGGTATTTGTTTTGAATTTGAATATATTATATTTACATTGAAGATATGTTTGATAATAACATTCATTTTATACAGGTTAAAGATATACATAGAGATGTACCTACAGCCAGCGAGAAAGTTAATGAGCGTCTGTCTACTGTTAGTGCAGATAAAAATTTATATGATGAAAAGAAAGATCTAGAAATACAAGCCTTAAATATCATACAAACTGGTGTTATTGATACTAATAAACTTGTCACATCAGATGTTAAAGGTAAATACACATTTGGAATTATCTGTTTACTGGTAGACTAATAGAACATTTTGGCAGTGGTAATGAAAAAAGACACCCGCTCAAGAATCATAACTTTTCGACTCATTCTTACGTTTTCAGCCCATGGTGATAGTATAATTTAAAATGATAATATCCAGTTAGCCATATGAAGCCACAGTAAACGAAATTCAAAACATTTGAATGTCAGCCATTTTGATTATTTCCCTTTATTTAAAATATGACACAAAACATCAAATAATCACCGTTTGGATTAATTATTATGAGTAAATAATGACTTGAAATAGGCTTTTTTATCGGCAATTATCAGTCAACTGAAACCATTATTCCAAGACTGTTGATTAGTATTAGTACTATTAGTCACTGATCTTGTGTTTATACTGGAAAAGGGGATCACGTGGCTAAGTGGGTAAGACGCTGGCTCGCTACCCTGGAGGTCGGGTGTTCGATCCCTGCATTGGCCGAGAATATTCATTCAGATTTTCCGGCGTGGTTTCCCCTTGTCAGTACTCAGTGATGCAGGATGGAAGGCCTGACAAGGACAGCTGTCTAGTCGTTCAGATGGGATGAAAAACTGAGGTCCCATGTACACATTGGCGTGCACGTAAAAGATCCCTTGGCAGTTGGAATTCGATAAGAGTAGGCCGTAGAGCCGCTGCCTGGGCAAAATTTCCCTCATAGCACACTGTATGGCGTATGCCTGTCTTCATTAGCCCAGGTTAGGAGCAGAACAGTAGGACGTTAAACCCCATTTCAATTCATTTCATTTATACTGGAAAGAGTATTTCAGAGAATATGTTTTATTAATACTATTTGTAGAAGATAAAGAAATAGAATTAAATGAAAGGATAATAGATCTGGAATCAGAAAATGAAGGATTAAAGAAAGAAAAAGAGGGAAATTTTGAGAAGATTTTGGTAGGTTGATATAGTTCAAATCTTGTCAGTTTATTATCCCGCGTCGAACGAAGTTAGGGGAGGATACTGAAATGGGCTCAGTCCGTCCGTCCCGATTTCTTTTCCGGAGCACATCTCATAAACCGTTACAGATATCTTTTTGAACCTTTGTACAAACATCAACCTATTACAGTAATTGTACCTTTTGCTATTTATGAATTTCTGGGATATATTTTTTTTGTGTGTCCATGGCATCAAATTTGACATAGTTTTTCGTGTGCAATTTTGTTTTCGGAGCATATCTCATAAACTGTTCAATATATCTTTTTGAAACTTTGCACACACATCAACCTATTACAGCAGTTGTGCTATTTAGGAATTTTTTGGATTTATATTTTTTATACGCCCACATGGCTGCTCTTTGTACGCAAATCGTGTAAAAGTATGTAATACGAAAGTTGTGGACCCTCTAGAGGTCACAATTTTAATCTGATTTTGATGAAACTTAAAATATATCTTTATATTCCAAAGATCTCAGTCCCTTTCGATATTTTGGCATTCAGACCCTATCTTTTTTGATTATGGTCCCTGATTGTATGAAATATCGCTTTTGTTTTTAGCTTGTTCTCTATCCATCTCTTGCAAAATGTCTGGCAACTGCTGGTTGTGTTTCCATGGAAACAAATTTGACTTTTTGGTGTACAATTTTGTTTCCGGAGCATATCTCATAAACCATTCAAGATATCTTCATGAAACTGTGTATAAACATCAACCTATTATAGTAGTTGTGTCTTTTGCTAATTTGGATTTAATAATTTTTGTGTTTCCATGGAAACAAATTTCTCTGTTGAATGATTTTTAAATTTTTACTACACATTTGACTTAGTTTTGAGTACATAATTATTATTTTAGAGCATATCTCAGAAACTGTTCAAGATACCTTTATAACACTTCTACATTCTTTTTCTGGTGACCGTTCTTCTGTCCCGATTTCGTTTCCGGAGAATAGTTCATTATCTGTTCAAGAAATCTTTTTGAAACTTTGTACAAACATCAACCTTTTATAGTTTATTATTTTCAACATATAGTAGTTGATTGAGGTAGGCAAAGTTTGTTGTGCAAACCTTACAGGGAGTAGCAACACTGCCTTGCTGAGCTACTGTGATCAGAGCATGACTCTTCTGACTGGGGGGGTTGGATGGCTGAATGGTTAGTGTGCGCGCGCTGTATCATAAAGTCTGTCATTGAGTCGACTGGCGTGGTTTCGAATCCCCAGTTGTACGTGGCAAGGAGTAGGGTCGCCTGTCCAACCTCGTGGGTTTTCTCCGGGACCTCCGGTTTCCTCCCACTGATAAAGACCCCTACGCGCAAGCGAATTATGTAAATAAAATTAAACCATATGTTAGTCCCGAAATGACCTAGTTTGTGTCGAGTGGACGTTAAACCCCATTTCTCTCTCTCTCTCTTTCTGACTAGTCCCATGATTTTCCAAGAAGTTGTTTTTCCTTATGCCTTACAAACAAGTAAAATAAAACATAATTCACATTAGCTTCTTTTTATTTTAGGAATTAGAAAAAGAGATCTCTGATATGAAGAATCAAGCACCACAGACTATTCCTATTCCAGTAAGCTACAAGTTTTTCTATATCAGAAAATTGTTTTGTCTTATATATATGTTTTCTTAAAAGTACAGGATCCTACACACAAATATGATTGTAATAATTTGAAAAGAATATACTAATCAAAATCCAAAATAAGTGTCTCTTTGCTTATAAAAAAAATGAATTACTGTACAAGTTGGGTTTTTTTTCTGATAATTATTAAATTGTTTGTATTTTAGGAGACATCAACAGAAGGTGGTGAATTGACAGCTGATTTATTAACTGAAAGAACAGCTCATGATACTACTAAAACTGAACTAGAAGCTTTACAAAAACAGCTACTAAATATAAAAGAAGAGTTTAATAATGAGAAGATAGATTTAGAAACTCACTTTAACAGTATTAAGAACACCTTAAATGCTGAAATTAAGGCTAAAGAAGAGGTATTAAACCATTGTAACTCAATAGCTATAGAGGTGATATTACATGTCATTGGTAATTTTGAATCTGGGGAGGGTGCTGGAAAAATGTATTATTATTCACTGTTTATCAAAATATGTTTCTTGTCACGGTTTTATTCAATAAGCATTTACATTTAACTAATAACAATTTTTTTGTTCTATCTACATGCGAATCTTAGTCTTGAAGTCAACAAGATTCAGAAATTCTCAATGTTGATAATTTGTGTGTTTCTGTTTATGTTTATCATTGAAAGAAAGCCTAAATTATCTCCATGTATATTTATTAGTTGGATTTACAATCCAATAAGGCATTGCGTCAAATATGTGACTTCATCCGAAGAATGCACTATATATTGTGTCCTTATTTTACTTCAGGAAATTATTAAGTTAAAGAAACGTAATGAAACACTAGAAAAGGATAGACTAGCTAATGTACCTATAGATTCAGCTAAAGAAATCAAATCACTTCAAAAGAAAATTGTGAGTAATGTTACGCTCAGATATATAAAGTATTACCATTGTGTATGGTGTACGTGGGGTCGGATTTTGGATTTTGTTTATAAGAAATTGAAAGCCACAGTTGCATTATCAAAAATGACAGTTTAAGATCAATAGATAATTCATTTATATTTTTCAATTTTGTTAATTGAATTTTATTTATGTAACAAAGTATGAAAGGGTGCCCAAGTTTAGATTTGTTATTAATTAGATGATTAGGTAAGGTTTTTGAATGTTTAATACTGTGTAATTCAACAACTAATCATATTGATTGATGTACTAGTGTCCATATGAAACCGGGCACCATGTTGAATTACAATTTATTAAATGTTACACAACTCCCTACCACTGGGTGTTGCAACTTTGGATTTATATTTAGCCTTATAACCCTCGCACGTGTGTAGCTCAACAACCTTGTCTATATATACTCTCCCTTTATTGTTGTGACCAGTAACAATGTCACAATCCAACACAAGGCATCCAAGTTAGCACAAATTTATGGACACTAGCACATCAATCTACACGATCAGTTGTTAAATCTCTGTACAACCTCGGTAAGCGAGCTACCTACCGCAGTGATAAATTTGCAAACCCTGCCAAGAGGCCAACCACGGTAACCATGCCAATTTGTGACCACGGAAACCCTGCTGGGGTTTTGGAATAGTATAAATAAAAGCCTGCCACACAAGTCCAATCAGTCTGGACAGTTCAATACAAATGAAACTAGTCACTGACGTCCGGGATAACCAGGTCTTCTTTGTCATTCTTATCTCTTTTATTAAATTGGATTTATGACTTCATAATTTACATAGTTTCTTCTCTAGAATCTATCAAGTTGTATGTGTTGTTGTAAAGTGTTCATGTATTGTTTATTTATCAGGCTACGTTAGAGAAAGAGAAGATGGAATTAGACAGTGTTAAAGTAACATCGAATAGTAAAATTGGTGAACTTCAAACTAAACTAGATCAAGCTATTAAAAACTTAAATGCACAGAAAACTTCAAACAAAGATCTGGAGGTTTGTTGTTTATCATCCTAGATATGTATGTTAAAGTTACAATTTCATATTTTTTGTTATATTTTTAAAATGTATTAAAATAAAGCCCTAAAATAGATGGTATCTATAAACAGGCCTACCTTGTTAAAGAATAATCCTATTAATCCTATAATTCACTATTGCCAGTTGAGAAATTGGCAAAAATATCATTTTCAACTTCAAATTCAAACGTTTGAAGATAGCTATTCCGTGGTGGGGTATAGGAAAACAAGGGAGGTAATTGTGTTATTATTTCCGGTGTGAAGATAACCTATGATCGTATAATAGTGAGTTGACAACCTATTGAGCAAAAGACAGAGAAATAATTATGTTTTGACTTTCTTAGAAAATATGAAATTGTAACTTTAACTGCAGTGAATGCTGATAAACAGAAAGAGCAGCTTATTAAAAGAGTTGTAAACATATGACTCTTAATTTATATCGGTGATTATTATAATTCCTTTTGATATTTTCAGACTTTCGTAAAACCCCATGTTTTGTGGGGGTAGGAAGGGAACAGATAATTTAAGGGGGCAGCGGATAACCTCAAACATGGCACGCAGATCTCAAGGTGTTGTGCTCTCGGTACAGAAATTTGTTGACTGAGGAACCTGATGACAAGATTATTTGGATTCTGCAATAGAAAATATTGATGAATTTTGTATTGTATTTTATAGACTAAGATTAAAGAAGTACGAAGTGAGAAAGAGAAAGCTGTAAAAGAAGTAACAGCACAACTGGAGAAAAAAGAAAAAGCGACTCTTGAGAGAACGGTTTGTATTTGGTGCTTCATAAAGACATTATCAGATTCTTAGTTATTACACTTTATAACATGGACTGCTTGTGTAAATCTGTATAAAGTATACTCTATCAAAACAAAAATATTTGTGTTAAAAATGTTAATAAGAATGATAACGATACTTGTATTGCACAACTATTAAATCCACTTGGAAATGCTCTAGGTGCCTGAAAATATAAGATCTGAAATACATCGGGCATGAACTACAAATCACAGTTTCAAATGACAGTTTTTTTCAACACATGTCCACAGGGCGCAACATTCTTTTCAACAATATGTTGTATGTATGTAAAGAAGATGGATCTCTGTTATGTTTTAAAATGTTTATCACAAATTAATTGAAAATTTTCTTTCAAATTACAGAAATCATTTGTTGGTAAAGTAAGTACAGTTATAGTTTTCTTAAACATTCATTTGAAACATTGTTCGTTGCCATTACATTCAATCCATGTGAGTTCAGTGGCTGTAAAGCTATGCAAGTAAGAAATCATTGCTTAAAATGCAATGGGCTCAACCTGGGGTCCATGCGATTGACCATCGGTGTTATGAACCCATTAGGAGCACAGGAAAACCATTGGCACCCTAGGTCTGCCAGGCAGATATGAAAGCTTTCATATTCACACTCACTTCCTGTCACATGTTATGGGTTATATAAAGAATCTCAATAAGATAAAATAATTATTAAAATTCGTCAAAAATTCGCGAAGTTATAAGCTTAAATATAGGGAGAAGCATTTCACCCTAGCGAAAAATAATCTAGGAAATAACTGAGACTTGTATTGCTGTAATCGGATTGACTTCAGAAAAATTGATCAAGCCGTAAAAAACGGGACAGATCTGAAAATGAATTGAAAATGGCAGTAAAGGACTAAAAAAAATGGCAGGAAAAAAAAAAATGGCAGAAAAAAAAAATGGCAGAAAAATATCGAAAATTAAAATGAGATAACTATGAATGAACCTTATATTTTTGGAATCAGATTGACCTCAGCTATTCGAATATTTAGATAAAATTTGTAAAGTATTCTACAAACTACGGCCTATTGTGTTCATTTTCATGCTCATTAACGGGGATTTTCCAAATTTATGAATGTGACCCCACAGATAATACAGATTTGTTGAAGAGAATCGGGTCATCAACTTGTCAAAGACATTACGTTGTAGCCTTATTATCTGATTCAGATGGTGTGTTGTATAGGGTATATTAAGTGTCATTATTACACTGCTCTATATTTAGATTGTACAGGTTAGATGGGTTTGGGATCAGGTTCAATGAGATTCTAAATTCAAATTCAAATTGAATAAGAGAAGCAAATAAAATTAAATGTAGAAAAAAACAAATTTAATATAATAAAAAAAACATTTGATTCAAACATCAGTTCGGTCTGATTTGCATGAAATTCGAACTATATTGTCATTATCGTGAAACATTGGTGTATTTGAACTGTTTTTCTAAATCAAATAAAAATTGTGACTTCTAAAGAGTTTACAAGCTAAAATCATTTTTCAAACAATCGCGGACCTCAATTCAAGTTACTGTCCAATACATGCCAATATTGAAAGGAACTGAGACCTTTGGGAAAGAAACCTAGATTTCAAGTTTCGTCAAAATCTTATACTAATCTGATGAAACATGCATTATGCAAGAGTGAAATCTGACTATTGCAGGTCTTTCTTTAGCCCTAAAATGTCATCTAAATTATTTATTAGACATTACTTAAATATTAAATGATACCCGGGTTACTGTGCTGATACCTCTCAAGCATTAAACAAAGTAATTATCACAAATTAATTAGAGAGCCAATCAGTGTTCTTAACATGATGGGATTAACTTACAACCATGTTCAAATTTTAAGAAGTTACCATTTTGAATTTATACTATGGCATGTCGAATTAATTTCAATATGCATTTATATGGATGTGATAATTTCATGATGCCTCAATTTCTTGTTGTGATGTATTACCTTTGTGTGTTGATCTCTCTAATGTTTCTGGTTGATTTTATCTCTCACTTTCATATTGAATTGTATTACAGGCACCACCAGATGCAGCAACTAAAGCTCTTAAAGAGCAACTCATGACGACTAAGCGTGAGAATACGGAACTAAACAATCGAATTAAACAGTTAGAGAAAGAAATAAGTAAATCCAGTAAAAGTGATGTTGATACTGTTGCTATTGATGTGAGTTAAAAAAAATATTGGGTCATTGGACATCAATGTGGGCCTTATACATTTATTAAACAAATATCAAAATAATTGGGCAGTTAAGTCAGATGAACAGATTAACACTTAACAAAAGGGTTCCCAACCTTTTCAGCCAGAGGGTCTCAAAGCTTAACTCTTGAGGGCCCAGTAGGCCACAACCTAGAAAGGACAGAAAAACAGCATTTATTTGTCATTGTGATGTGTCACCAAAACGTGGACATTCACTGACCTGGCTTAAAGATACATTCCCACAAAAGTATTTATTTCCAATAAAAGTATGGCAATTTTGGTATATATGGAAAGTGGTGACACCCAATCTTAATAGAAAAATACCAATCTAATTAAAACACAGATCCTATTTCGTTTTGTTTTATAGTTCAAAATTTCGTTTTACCTGCCTTTACTACACTAGGATCTGGAAGATTTGTTATATAATCCGCATTCTGGTTGATGTGAGGGAATAGCCAATGAAATGGTCTGTTGCAGCGAGTTTTTGGCGTGTGGTTCATGGAACATTAATGCTGATTGGTTAATTAAATGTCTAAAGTCATAGGGTCAAAAGCCACTAATACGACCCCTGACGCGACCTCCCACAACAACCCGTCAGATCTTCAGGCTATCGAAAGTATAAAAATACGAAATGAAATATAGAACTATATATTTAATCGAGTTGGAAATATACTGGATTCCCTGAAAAACACCATATATATATAGGAGATCGTGCACAGGACAAAAATGAGAGGGTGTCTCTAAATGCCAGTCTGACAATTAGGACGTCAAAGTTGCACGCGTAGATTGTCTTACCTCTTTTCATTAGGGAGCGCTTACTGTATATGTTGATAAACATGATCGTGAGCGGACATGGAAAAAGGGAGAGACTTAAACGTACAACAGATTCTGAGAATAATCCCAGAATTTACTTAGGCTTTGATATTTATGGTAAATGGACAGCGATTGATATAGTAATTTATATGCAATAGATTCTCCTTCGGCTTGGCAGCCTTGGCTAGTTTCAGCGACAGCAAAGTCACGTGACAAAACATGACTTCTTTATATAGATTTTTTATAGCTTGTATACAATGTTTTGAGATGGATTTTGAAGCAGATTTTTGATAGATTAATTAGTTCGAATATGTTTTTAGTCCAAATATATTGCCAAATCAACCAGTTTAGTACATGGGAAGGCATCTTTAAAAGAATCTTCAAGTTTTATCTCATAGTAAAACATAGGAACTATATGGTGTCCAAATTCTTACCTCTAATGTAATGTTGAATAATAATATATTAAACATTTACAAGTAGAACTTGTGTAAATTGATATAGTTAATGTGTCTCTTTTGAAATGTATGTTGTTAAATCTAGAAGTTAATTTATCCATGAAAACAATGTTTTTATTTTATGGTCAGTTCATTCACAATTGCATGCAAGGTCAGTGAAATTTATATCTGTTTCTTCTTCCATAAAATTAGATATTCTTTTTGTTTTAGAAACAAACTAAGCGCCATGAGAAGATCTTGAAAGAATTAGAAAAGAAATATGAAATGGAAAAAAGTAAAAATGAGAGAAATGTTGAAAATATCAAAGAAAAAGAGGAAGAAGTAAAATCTTTGACCAAGGTAGGTGTCATTTGAATTGACTGATGTCCATTAGTTAAATTAGGAAACATAACTGCCACTTTTAATAACTTCGCCCTGTGACATATTTTAGCTATTAAAGTTTAAATTCAAATGCGCATCATTTTCTTTACTTCAACTTTGCTTTTACACTCATTTAACCATATCCTGAATTGCAGTTAGATCTGACCTTCATAAAGTTGGTAGCATAGTGATAGTGGAAAATGTTATCAGTTACACATCCTTATTCACAATAAACTATAACATACTTATGGAAGAACGATTACTAATTTTATTTTGGTGACATTTCCAAGACTATTTTTAAGTTGACATACTCCTTGATACGAGCGTAAGTTGTCAAAATTTATTATTAATTATTCCTCCATATAAGTATCTGTTATAGTTTATTGCTCTATCCAGTTACTAGATGCCGCTAAAGGATTATCCTTATTCATCTAGTTGCCATTTTCATGCTGTGGTTGCAGATCATTTAGATAAAATGTTTTTCAGGACTGTACTATGAAGAATACAGAAATACAGAAACTTAAAAATGAACTAGATGCTCTTGGTATAGCAGCTAAAGAAGGTGTTGAAGCTGCTGTTAAAGTTAAATCTTTAGAAGCAGACAATAAACACCTAATCAGTGAGAACAAACTTTTAACCGAAAACTTTAACACTGAGAGAGTAAGTTGTAACATCATAATAATCCATATGCTTCTGACTGCAATAAAATTTTTATACTTTATTATAAAAAGTCAATGGTATAAGATAAAAAAAAAGGCAATGTAATGATTGTTAAAATTGCTGAATGAAGGAAATTAAGGAAGTTTATTGTGTTTTAATTTTAAAGCATACAGATGGGACAATTTTGATTTTGATATTATTCAGTCCCAAATGATATATAATATTAACATTTAAATCAGTTCCTCATGAAAAATGTTTTGATTAATTTGTATCCTAGGTATTACGTAAGAAGTATTATAACATGGTTGAAGATATGAAAGGAAAGATTAGAGTTTACTGTAGAGCTAGACCACTAAGTTCATCAGAGAAAGATAGGGTAAGATTTATGTTATTGCTAGCTATTTACCTAGCCCTAGTGTAGCCACCAAACAGACAAGTGACAAGCACAAATATATTAATCAGGATAACAAATTACACCTTCAACAATCATAAAACAATTAACTTACTTATAAAGCTATTGTGGCCTGTTCAGTTTAGAAAATTTAAAGAAATATTTTAACAAAACTGTTGAAAAGATGAACCAACACTTCCATAGTAGGGATCAGAGGTGGGAATTACACCTTACACTTGCTGATGAGATCCACAAGAAGGATATTCTAGTTCTCATATAATCATGTGTCACTTAAAAGGAACTACATGACCTGTTTTTATTGTTAGAAATAAAGATTGCCTCTTTAATTACCACACAAATGTTTTCCCCAGTTTACAGGAAGTGACGCTGTAAAAAATTTGAATGAATCCAGAAATGTACCATAGGCTTAATTATCAAGTTGCCTGTAGTGATCCTTTTTGACAAAATAAAGACACAAAAAACCTCCCTCCCACATCAGATTTTTAGGAAGGATTTTCTGAGAACCAGAATATTTTTTGGGTATGGACTTATTCTTGATTTATTGTAAATTGAGTGATTAGTGTTGGTTTTTTTTTATAAAAATTTAATTTGTTGTTGTAATTTGCAGGGTAATGTTAGTGTTATAAATTCACCAGATGAATATTCATTAAATATAACAACAAGTCGTGGGTTAAAAGAGTTTCAGTTCGATCAGGTGTTTCTGGAAAACAGCTCACAAGAAAGGGTGTTTGAAGATACTAATGTAAGTTGTGAAAATGACAATTAATTTCTATTTGATCTGTTCAGATTTCACTAAACTTGGATATTTTTCATTTCATATCAAAGCATATTTTCTTTAAATCAAGTCTGGATAGAATAGTGTGTCCGTGCCATGTTCGTTCTTAAATAACAATGGAGATTATATTTGATTTATTTTTGGACCAGGAACTGATCCCCAAGCGCTACCCATCGTGGGGGGGGGGGGCATCGCTCTGCGAAAAAAAGCTTAAGGCTCTGCTAATTCATGTACTATTGACATGAAACTTAGCATACTTGTTCCTTTGACAATTGACAGACTTCGATTTTTAATGTGACATCACAATTCCAAGATGACTCAGATGGCACCATGTAGTCAGTTTCTGTTCCATAGTATGGTGGTACTTATTTGTAATAAAAATGCATTTTTTATAGACCTACTTTTTTTTATGAATTGATGGATGGATTGGTGGTTTTGAATTTTTCTGACAATTAATATGAACTTGTCGAGTGATATAAACTAGTTAGTAATATTATATTTTGTAGAATTTAATCCAGTCAGCAGTAGATGGATATAATGTGTGTATGTTTGCATATGGACAGACTGGCAGTGGTAAAACATTTACAATGATTGGTGACAGAGAACAGAATTATCCTGGTATTGCTCCAAGAGCTTTTCAGAGAATATTTGAACTTCGTGAAGAAAATAAGTAAGATAGAAAATTGTTCAATTTATCTTAATACCTGTAAATATGTTAGACTTGTCATGTTGTTCTTTCTTCAGTAAATCTTTCTCATTTAATCATTGATTAGGTACAAAAAAAAGAAAATATTAATGGTAGATTGCTATTTCCAATGTTACTTTATTTCTTATCTGTCAAATAAAATCATTGATGAGTCAGTGCAATATTATTGGATTCAGAGTGGGTTTAACATGTGTGTTTTAGATCAAAATGTCTATCATTGGTGCAATGTACGTGACAAGGAATAGGATAATCTGCCAACCCTTGTGTATCAACAAACCCCTTTTCATACAAATTCATCATATCATAATTGCTCAGACATAATAGTATAATGAATAAATAATGACTGATTTATATTGATTTTATTATTTGAATATTTCAGGAGTAAATTTGATCTGAAAGTATCAGTATATATGTTAGAGTTGTATAATGAGAAATTGATTGATTTATTTGCTAAACCTGGTAATTATGATGAGGTAAATAGGATAGTCAATATTGTTTATCTTCTTTAAATTAGTCCATATATAGTATGTGATTACTTTTATGGTGGAGACCATAGGTATAACATCTATGCAAGTTTGAGTGTATGTGACAAAGTGTGAGGTGCACTAACAAATTAATTCATAATTATGAAACTTGTTAGGTGCACTAGCAAATTAATGTGATACCAAATGACTCATTCATTTTATTGGATGTATAACTATCTCGCTGTATTGCATTTTAGTAAAACCTTTTACAGTCTTAAATTTCAAAAGCTGTTCACCAAGTTTTGAAAAAAAAGTTATTGACGGTTTTGATTCCAACCTTCTTATTATACATGCATCAACCTATTACAGTAGTTTTGCCTTTTGCTGATTAGACATTTTTCTGATTTAATTCTTAACTTATTTTTTGGTATACAATTATTATTCTGGAGCATATCTTTAAGATACCATTTTAAGATATTTTTTGGTATACAATTATTATTCTGGAGCATATCTTTAAGATACCATTTCTTTATGAAACCTTGCAACTTTTCAGTCTTCTGAGACTTGAGATTGTGCGATAACAGTGGTGGTAGTTTTTAAATTAAACTCAAACTATGTCCACTGTAACCAGTAGCACAATTGTGATGTCTGTTACTATTTGCTATACATCTAATAAGTAGTATCTGGTTGTTGATTACCAGTAACACAGAATTTAATATATTTTTGTGTACATTTATTTTCTTTATTAGGATAGACTAGATATTAAGAAAGACAAGAAAGGAATGGTATTTATTCAGGGTGCAGTTGTTAAAGATGCCCATAATGATCAAGAATTGTTTGCATTATTTGAAGAAGGGTCCAAAAATCGACATACTGCTTCTACAAGTATGAAAATCATTTATCTAAAAATGTTCTTCTTGTTTGTAAGGTTGAAATGTCTGCTTCCACCAATGTTGATATTGCAGACAATCGCCTTATTTTAGTACATTCAGCCAATGTGGTGCACAGGTCTTTCATGTGAGAGGAAATCAGAGTAAACCACAAGGTTAAGAAGGTGCCTGTGTCTTTAAGTCACATATGCTCACACCAAAGTAGTTCTAGTGGCCTACTTTGAAATATTTTTTTTCTGTAATGTAATTACTTCCACATATTAGAATGATATTTTTCTGTTATAGAGATGAATGCTGAAAGTTCTCGCTCACATTTAGTTGTTGGTATTGTATTAGAAAGTACCAATAAAATTACTGGACAACTAATGAAAGGAAAGGTTTGTACTGCTTTTCTGTCAACTTTTAACATTAAAGGCGTCATTTTGAAAATGGTAAAATATATACATGTATTTTCACGAAAACATATTACTTTAATAGTTTTTATCATAATACATTTGTTAGTAAATATCTGTGAATAATTAATATTTGATTTTTATATATTCATTGTAGTTAAGTTTAGTGGATTTAGCTGGTAGTGAGAGAGTTGGTAAAACTGGTGCTACTGCTGAGCAACTGAAGGTAAATCTCTCTGTAATATTAAACGTATAAAGGATTAAAATTATTGCTGTACCATCAGAATCTATTTCCCGACATGTATTTTACTACATATAGTTCATATTTGTGGTAGATTTTTGGACCATGAACTTGTCCCCAAGCACTTCTCATCATGTTCTTCTCGGGGAGGTGACACTCTTCAATAAAACTCTTAACGACTCCTCCAATTCAAGTATGATCCACATGAAACTTGGCATATCAATTTTTGATATGGAGTTACGATTCCAAGATAGACACAATGAATTTATTATCTCTTCCTTGTTTTGAACATTTTCCACCATTTCTCTTTTAACGTTAACTCATTAACTTCATGTTACCTTTGTTAATGATTATTATTCCAGGAAGCTATGTCTATCAACAAATCTCTATCAGCTTTAGGTGATGTTATATCAGCATTAAGTAGTGAACAGTCCTTTATACCATATCGTAATAATAAACTCACTATGTTGATGCAAGATTCCTTGGGAGGAAATGCTAAAACCCTTATGTTTGTCAATATATCACCGGCAGATTATAATCAAGATGAATCTGTTATATCTCTCACGTAAGTTATAATCTTACATTTAAAGATGCAGACATGAGTTGTTTGGGGGATGCCAAAAAATAAATTGTGATTTGACCTGATTTAATGGGGCAGTAATATCGTGCATGTTCAAATTAGATTGTATGCAGAATTGTGGAAAATCAACTGAGTCATCAATGAAATATTTATTTTAACTGTCAAATTGTGAACATTTTTTAATAGTTTATATAGATTTTAACAAGTACAAGTGGAAAATGCCTTACTTCAAAGTCAATGAGTGCCTACATTTCTGTAAATAGGAAAGTCTTAAGCTTATTATAAATTTGAAACTATTTTAAATTAAAGACAATTATTCTCTTATTGTAAGTAGTAATTCCTCTTTTAGATGTCACTCTGATCAAGAATTAACTGAACTGAACTGAACTTTATGTGTTTTGAACCATATAAGTGGATGAAATCATTTATATGTATTGTGTACTTAAATGGGGATATTATTTCTGACATGAGATGAATTGAATGCTTGTAACTTTTTTGTAAATTATTGGTGCAGGACTTGTCATTTATCTTACATCCATATAGGAATCGAGAATGATTGAATTAAATGTTTTCTTTTCAGATATGCATCTCGGGTTAAATTGATTACTAATGATGCATCTAAGAATGCAGACAACAAAGAAATAGTTAGGCTGAAGGATGTAAGTCTTTTTATTCTAATAATAACTTTAAATTATACATACATAATTTTTCTAAATCCTGTTTACCCAGTTTTTGTTGCACTTTAAATTCCATCCTTGTGATTCTGTAACACATTTTGTGATGATTAATGTGAGCAGAATTTACTGAAACATTGACAATTTGCTCTATTTGAAAAAAAACATTTTGATGCTATAATTCTGAAAGGTTGAAGTGCCACTTATGACCTAAATAGCTTTTTTATACGCCCACATTGAAATGTGGTCGTATATTGTCGTTGCCCCCATCTGTCTGTCGGTCCGGCGTCCACAATTGCTTGTGGACGCTCTAGAGGCTAAAGTTAATATCCGATTGACTTTAAATTTATACACAGTGTTTAAGGTCATGAGACGAAGAAGTCTATTTATTTTCAGTGATTTTGTGATAATTACTTCCAGAGTTATGGCCCTTGATCACTTCAAAAAATCTTGTGGATGCTCTAGAGGCCAAAGTTAATATCCGATTGACTTTAAATTTATACACAGTGTTCAAGGTTATGAGACGAAGAAGCTATTGATTTTCAGTGATTTCAGATAATTACTGCCAGAGTTATGGCCCTCGATCATTTTGAAAAATCTTGTGGACGCTCTAGAGGCTAAAGTTATCATCCGATTGACTTCAGATTGATACACAGAGTTTAAGATCTTGATACGAACAAGTAAATTTTTATGAGTTGAACAGCTAAATCCATGATATTGAAAGTTTTGTATACTAAACGTTAGCATGGGACAGAACTTTATAAAAACCAAACAAATTCTAATGGTTTTCTGATAATTACTTCATGAGTTGTTACTCTTCAGATTTTAGTGTATTATAAATGTTTCATTACCGAAAAAAGTAAAATTATGCGACAACACTTGTTGACTGCCCGGACGATTTAGCTGCTGTGGGTAGGGCTGTACGATATTGCAAAAAAGGGACGATATCGATATTGGCATTTTTTTCAACGATATAGTTAAATATCGCGATATTTAATAATAATGTCACTTCGCTATTAAATAAATTAAATACAAATGCATTAAAGCTGACTATAGTGTGAGTAAGACTTGTGGGTAAGAATTGCTTTATTCATACACTTTAAACTTTGCTTTTTTTATAATATAGATTAATTAAAATGAACAAAACAACATTCTTTTCAACATTTAACGATTTTCAAAACATTAGTTTTATTATAGTTTATTGCCGTCGGCTAATTTCCACTGCTCTTACAGTGCTTTATAGTGTATTTATTATCTATTTTTATGATATTTTTTTGCGATATTTGAAGTTTTTGGCGATATTCGATAAACCACTATATCGACGATTTTTTGCCACATGATATCGTAGTTGGGTCTGAAAATACCATATCGCGATAAATGACTATATCGAGAATATCGTACAGCCCTAGCTGTGGGCATATGTTTCGTTGCCTGGCAACATATCTTTTGCATAGTATTACTAATCGATTTATTGAACTTCAGGAGAGTGTTTTCACTCAACGAAATAGAAGGTGTTTTCTAATCATACTTGGAGAAACTGAGTTCTGTTAAATGCCAAGGAATAAGAATTATAGACTGCCTTTTTGGAGGAGCATATATATCTAATACCATTTATATTGTTCTTACATTTTATCTTTTTTTTCTTCTTCAGATAATTCAAAAATTAAAACATGGAGAAAATGTTGATGAGGATTAAAACAATAAATACATCTGTTCTATCTTGACAGATTTAAAAAAAAAAAACTTTTATAAGGCCATAAAAAAAAATATTCTGGTTCTCGGACATTCCTTCCTAAAAATCTGATGGGAGAGGAAATTTTTTGTTTTCATGTTTTTATTTTGTCAAAGTTCAATAACATTTATCTTGATTGTGGACTTTGAGGGTACGCCACATTTCTTGAGTCATTTCAAAAATTTCAGTAACATTTATTTTTATTTTTTTAAATACCAGAATATTTTTTTAGTGTCGCTTAAATCATCTGTGTTTGTTGAGGTGTTTTTTTTTAGTTTTAGTTTTTTTTAGTTATAGTTTTACTGAAAAATATTTACCAGTAATAGAAACATTCCATAATTCTTAGTTACATGATAATTGTGATACCAATTAGTATGTTGGTTTATATATATTTTTTTATATTACTACCTCGAGTTAAATGAAATCAAAACTTTTTTTTTTTAAATGAAATCAAAATTATTTTTTTTAATTGATCTTTACTAATGTACATTTCTGACTTATTCAGGAAGATTTAATATGCAAGACTATTGGGAACAGTAAAATTAACCCAAAGTGATTTTCCATTTTTGTTATACAATATAGATGTGGTGTGAAGATATATTTTACAATATGTAGAATTAAACATGTTTAATATATTCATGTATTCTACTTTTTTTTTGTGAAAATATTTAATATGGATGATCTGTGATAATTTTGTTTTAATTTATGGTTGTGAGCTTTATTTTATATTGTTGAAAACTACCCATGTGTATTTAATGTTTTTGTGTTATTTTACCGTCCATTTTTTTATGCATAAATGACACACATCTATATTTTTTTGTACACAACTATATTATCAAATGTGTTTTTTTTTTTTAAAACGAAAGATACTCTATTTAAGATTTTGATAAAGAGCTAACCGTTCTTGCTATAGTAGCTCAAAAATAGATAATGAAAAATGTGTATATTGAAAAGTCTTGATTATCCATTTGATTTTTAAATCTAATCCATTTAAATCTCTGTCATCTGATAGGCTAGAATTGTTATAGGCTTGTCATGTTAATAAACGGCTAAATAATAGTTTATTTAATATTGAAATCCAAAATAAAGACCTGCAATAAGCAGATTTAACTCTTACATAATGCATCTTTAATCAACCTCATTTCTTCTGTTAGTTAATACATGATAAATTTTTCTCTGGAACATTGCAATAAATCTATGTAGAAAACATTATTTTGATATATCTTTTATCTTATGTGCAATCAATTTATCTGTAATAATTTGTTTACTTTTGGGCTGGACCCTATTCTTGTGTGATAAAGTAATATATTCTAATAAAAATCAAAAATTGTCTTTATAAATTAATTGAAGTTGTGTCCACTATCCACTACAAACACTTTTTGTGCGTTGAATAAAAAAAAAAAAGCCAGCTAAATGTGGAAAGAAATATAGCCATAGACACCAGCTTATAGGAAAGCTTTTTTGGACACATAATTGTCATAGTGGTATATGATTGAAATTCTAACATTGATCAGTTGTTTTCCCTTTCTCCCACATTAGTTTAACACCCCAGGATTTGAGAATCTGAATATAATATTATACTCTTCAAAAAAAGTAGGGGATATTAAAATGCAAATACCTATGCAGGTTGTGATATGATAAATAGTCATGGACATTTGACATGCTTTGAGAGTTTGTTCACAGATGAAGAACTTATCCCCCCAACAGAAACACTGAGCTGCACATGCGACACGCAATAGCTGCATACATCTGTGAGGGGTTCATTGTCAAATTTGACACTTCAAGGAAGAGTTGATGAAAACTGCCGCATGCTGGTTTATCCTATCCATTTTAGCATTCCTATCGGTTCTTGCATAAGATTTACTGTTTAGTGTATCTTTGCTTTAGTGTGTTATGTTTAATTTGATCGGGAGACCTGTTCGTCGACGTCAGCCTCAACCGACAACACTGCAAGAATTGGCCGTGGCACTGCCCCAAATCATGATTGGACGGTTGATTAGGAGCATGCCATGACAAATTGCTGAGGATCGGTGGAGCAATTACTCATTATTAAGACAAAAATCAAAAACGTCAATTTTCACTTTTGAGGTGTATCCCATTGCGAGTGAAATGGGGCAGTCAGATAAACCGCCCATATGAACTGTTTATGTTCATGTGTAGGCAATTGGCCTGTTAATAACATACACTGGTTACCTCTAATAAAAACAGCAATGCATTTCCGCAGTTTTGTATTGTTTCTGAATATCCCCTACTTTTTTTGAAGAGTATATATATCCTCCTAGTTCTAATGTTTCACGCCAAATTTGAACAACCCATTTTTCCAAGGTTATGCTATCACTTTTTCGATCTTAAAGGTCACTTAACCATGTAAAATGCTTAGTTTATTTTCTTTGTATTTTGTTGCATACTTGCATATAAGTGTCACTTGTTCGTAAGTAGTTCTTTGCGTGGAAATGGAAAGAAACAATATTGCCATCAAAATAAATAAGATGACTAATCATCACCATTCCACGCCCTTGCACTTGTTTGGAAGGAATAAGGAAAAACAACTTCTTGGAATATCAATGAGACTAGTCAGAAGATTCCTTCTCTGATCACAGTAGCTGGGCTGGGCAAGGCAGTGTTGCTAATCCCTGCAACGTTTGCACAATAACCTTTGCCTACCTCAATCAGCTGCTGTATGTTAAACAAGCTTACATCAGAAAATAATAGGTTGATGTTTGTACAAAGTTTCCAAAAGATTTCTTGAACGGATAATGAAATATGCTCCGGAAATGAGATTGGGACTATTATCAGAAATTAAAATAATAGGTAGATGAATGTGAAAGTGTTACAAAGGTATCTTGAACAGTTTCCGAGATATGCTCTGGAATAATAATTGTATATGGTATAAAAACTAAGTCAAATGTGTAGTAAAAATTCATTCAACAGAGAAATTTGTTTTCATGTACAAAGTTTCATGAAGATATCGTGAATGGTTTATGAGATAGGCTAGGCTCAAGAAACAAAATTGTATACCTATACCAAAACCCAAGTTAAATTTGTTTCCATGGAAACAACAATTATTAAATCTGAGAAATTCCAAATTAGCAAAAGGCACAACTATAATAATAGGTTGATGTTTATACAAAGTTTCATGAAGATATTTTGAATGGTTTTTGAGATAAATTAAGTCATATTTGTCTACATGGAAACAAAAAAATATAAATAAAAAAAATTCCTAAATAGCAAAAGTCGTAGCTACTGTAATTAGGTTGATGTGTGTGAAAAGTTTCAAAAAGATATCTTGAACAGTTTATGAGATATGCTCCGGAAACAAAATTGAACACCAAAAACTAAGTCAAATTTGTTTCCATGGAAACACAAAAAAAATAAATCCCAGAAATTCCTAAGTAGAAAAAATACACAACTACTGTAATGTGTTGATGTGTGTACATAGATATCTTGAACGGTTTATGAAATATGCTCCGAAAACAAAATTTTGCGCAAAAACTAAATCAAATTTGTTTCCATGGAAACAAAAAAATATAACTCCCAGAAATTCCTAAATAGCAAATGGCACAACTACTGTAATAGGTTGAGGTGTGTACAAAGTTTCAAAAAGATATCTTGAACATTTTATGAGATATGCTCTGGAAACTAAATCTGAACGGACCCCAATTCAATATCGTTCCGAGTGGGATAATACATTGTCATATGTATTTGTACTTTTCTCCAAAAAACAAAACTGCATCTACAAAACACTGAACAGACCAGAGAATGTTTACTGGTAAGAGTTAATAAGCAATACTAAACAATTTTCCAAATTTATTTACTAAAACAAGACCCAAATGACAGATTGATAAACGATAACAAAAATAACATTTCATAATGACAGTGAAAAAAAACATACAAGCAGGAATATATAATTTACTGCATGGATTTATTATAATGTATTCACCAGAAAGTTCTTTAAATAAAAATTGTGCACCACCATTATTTTATTTATTTTTTGTGTTTTTTAAAGATGGCAATAACATCTTCCACATCTTCCTTTGATCCCATGAATATAGGACTACGTTCATGTATGTTTTTGGGTTGAATATCTAGTATACGATTCATACCATCCACAGCTAGTCCACCAGCTTGTTCAATTATAAATGCCATTGGGTTACATTCATATAATAAACGCAACTGAAAGATAAAAATATTTAAATTATTTATTCTAATATAATTACATTGACAAAATCTTTGAAATGAACTGATATAACAAGTTAATGATACAATTTACAACCCAGCACATTTTTCTCAGTGACTACTAAAATGATTAAAGGACAATATTGGTGCCAGTCATTATCACATATGTGATAGAGCTGGTTAAACACATTCCAAATATAATTTTAACACAGAGATCATTGCTTCGATAGCTGAGTAATACAGTTTTCCGGAATCGGAAATATAGATCTGTATTTAAATCAAATTAATTTATCTTTTTATAAAGTATCAAGCAATCAAATTGCGTATTCTACTAATCTGAGCAGAAAAAGACCATTATCGAACTGAGTAAGGTACTGATGCATTAAAACTATTCAACAAATTTCGTCAATCAAAAGTCCATGTCATGTCAAATTGCTTGAACATTTTACCTCAATTAGAGGCAGAGTTATTGTGTTCTGAAAGGTGTGACAGATTGACATCTCTATTTTAATAGCCCTATACTTTCTCTGAAATGCAAGGGATGAAAATTCACTAAGAACAAAGATTTTATTACCTTTCCAGCAGGAGCTAGTGAAGTTGATGGATACATGAATATACCTCCATAAACTAATGTTCTGTGCACATCGGCTACCATAGATCCAACATATCTTCCACCATACGGTTTACCAGACTACATAAATCAAAATGATATTCAAATAAAATTATATACATAACATCACTGATTTATAAAAGCCACAGTATCTATTCATCACTGCTAAATCCAAGCTAAAATGTGCTCAAATTAATTATCTTTAAGAAATCTAAATATCAACATTAGATAATCTCCTGGATTGGAATCATTGAATTACAAGACAGTCCATCAACAGATTTATGCAAAGGATGCCAAATGCTGGCAAATACTCAATTTATATATATATCTTTGTAAATGCTGAACAGAATTAAACCATTTTTGGACTGATATCCTTTTACTAACTTTTAGGGATTAAACCTTTATAATACATGTGTTGTATTGTAGTTTGCAAGGGATTAAAATATCTCAAAGTTAAATAATAAAATTAGTCACAAAAACAGAACTGAGACTGATGCATGGACAGAGAGAAAACCTATAAGGCCCCCTCTCCTTATTATGATCAGTTGCAGTCGGTTGGTGCATATTTTTGCTATTGACTCTTTGTCTTACTCACTGTAGGGAATTTCTTGCTCTTGACATATTCTCTTGTTGGTTCATCCCAATACTGTTCATAGCCTTCATTTAATGAATAGATTTTACCTCTTGGCTTGATTTTTATATCTTTTTCTGTTAATAAAAACTCGCCTATAGACTGAAAGTATAATGTTTAACATGATGATAGATAAAATTATTCCTAAATTTCTAAAACTTAATTTATTACTGTTTAAGTGTTCCAACTACACCAGAAAGTATTTCTTTTACTGGACGACGTCCATTTTGGATGATGAATTTGACACATACGACTACACAGGCTGCAATTGTAAATAGACATAGGTATAAAAGCCTTTGTTTAAGTTGATGTTGGTTCCCCTTGTCAGTGATGCAGGATGGAGGGCCTGACAAAAAAACGAGGTCCCGTGTAGACAATGGCATGCACATAAAAGATCCCTTGTCAAGTTGGAATTCGGTATAAGAGTAGGCCGTAATGCTGCTGTCCGGGCAAAATTTCCCTCAAGCACACTGTATGGCGTATGCCGGTCTTCATTAGCCCAGTTTGGAGCAGAACAGTAGGATGTTAAACCCCATTTCATTTAAGTTGATACATCATAAGTGTTGAGTTATGTGTATTGTTAACAGTTGTTACCAGTTGAATTGGAATTTAATATGTTTACATGTACCCTGCATTATATTTCATTACAGCAGGGATCAGAGTGTAGATAAAAACTTACTGGATCTAATGTAAAGCCATTAACACTACCCCCTCCTAATCCTAAAACCACCATTGTAGCACTACCATACAAAGCATAACCTGCCACAACTAATTTATTTCCTTGTTGTAGGGCATCATTTACACCTGGAGTTTGAGGACTTGTCTGTAATACAACACATTACAGAATTAAAAGTAACAATAAAACAAATGTCACATTGTAGTCATTTGTTTGGTATATCTTTTCTGGTCAACTGTGTAACAAATTACTTGGTATACTTTCTCTGGTCAATTGTGTAAGAAATAGGCTGTTTAAAGGAGATAAATCGCTATTCTTTGGCAACTAGAAATGGACACAAATTGGTTGCAAAGTAACACATATCATAATGTAATATGAATGTATATAAGCGGATTTACATTCAATCGTTTGTTTTTATTGTAATTTCTAATCAGTTATGTTCGACGAAAAATGCGAATAGTCCAAATTGAATGGCAGTCTTCAGCATCTCGTTATTCCAGAAGTATTCTCCAATGACGTCATTGGCATTCTCCTGTGGGATATGTTTAGCCTCGCTCATCAAATTGCTTCATTACAAATGGTGTTCGAGAGCATTCTGGCACACCATTCGTGTGCCAATTTTAAAATATTCATTTTGTCTTAAATATTGGTGGATATCAGAAGCCCGTCTGAGTAATATAACAACATAAATCTTGATTTAAATTGATCTAAGTCGTGTTTGCAATGTCGAAGACTGTGGATGATATTGAGTTAGCAACTTGACCCATGGGTTAAACAAAAGCATTTTAAAACTACAATTCAATGTGTGTACAATGCAGGCCATTATTTCTTTTAAAAAAAGAGAGAGAATAAAACTGTTTAATTTTATCCTAGACATGTGAATTCTGTTAGTATCTACATGAACGTATGACCAATCTGGATTGAATAATGTAAAATGAAATAAATGTAATAGATACTTACCTTTTTATACACACCAAATATAGATCCAATAGACACGAGACAATCAATATTAGATGAACCGTCCAATGGATCAAACATCACAATATACTTTCCCTATTAATTTAATATCTCTTATTAACAAATAATTTCATAATTTGTATTAATTTCTGGTAGCTTTCTGTAATCATTTTGGGTCAGAAGAGACTGATGTGCCATGAGGAGACCAGTGCTGTTTGTGGAATCCTTCTCCATTTTTGTAACATTCTGGTATGCAACCCTTTTCAATCAGTGTTCTGATGTCATCCTTTGCAACTTCAACAGAACTGTGGGAATTGTACTGACTCTAGCTATTTAAAAGCCACATTTTATACCAATGTGTGCACTAACATTCCCATTCACTCAAATTCAATTTTCCATATTTGAGAGAATTGATCTCTGGTGCGTTAACACAATTGTAAAATATAATATCACCATTTTATCGATGCAATCTGATGTTGTTATATCAAAAGAGATTTACAATCATTCATTTATAAGTGGTGTATTTCCATCATGCCTCGGTATATAATTAAACTGTACTACCTGTTTCTCAGTTTCAACTTCAATAACATTTTCATTTTCCTCTGATACCATTAGACAAGTTGTAAAAGATGATTTTAACATATTTATGAATAAGTCATTGGACAAAACATCTAATTTCTTCACTTCATCACCAGTTACATTGGTAGAACCAGCAATACCATATCTACAAATATTTAAGGGAGCTTGTTATCACGATTCAACAAACCACAAAATGTCCATGAGAGCCATAAAACCACTGTCGACAAATCCTGCAGCGCTGGGTTTTTTTTTTTTTACAGGGCTTTCTATTCTTTCTGCTCCAATGAAAAATCCTAAATTTAAAATTATGTTGAGAACTCTGGTTCACAAGATTTCATAAATTGGACTGTTTATGGGGAAAGAATTATGTGATTTGCAATCGAAAAATTCTGAATTTCAAAACACTGATTGCTAAAATCAAGACAGGTTGCCAGACAATGAAACATACACTCACATAGCAGCTAAGTTGTCTAAGCAGTCCCTAATCACTATTACATTTTCTTACGCCCACAAATAGTTTGGGCATATACAGTAAACCTCGCATAAATCGGATTCGTACAAGTCAGATTTTTGCCTAACTCGGATAAAATTGTTTGGACCCTTTGATTCTGCACATTTTTCTTATTAAATTTCTGCGGGTAAGTCAGATTTCCTAACTTGGATCTTTGCTTAACTCGGATCAAAATGTTCGGTCCATTTGATATTAAGTCGGATAAGCAGTATGTTCACAATATGTCCCCCTCCCCCAATGCCCTGGCAGATGCCATTGAAATCCAAATACAGGGCAACGCATAAATTTAAACAACTCGGCCATATAAGACGAAAAGAAATTGGAATTTTTGAAAAATTTGATTGTAATTGGACTAGGCAAAGCAATAATTGACTGAAGTTTCTCAGATTTTCAAAGATTCTGATTTTTCCCCACCCCAGCTTACCTGTGTGCCACCCCACATCTAGACACTGTTGTGTTGCACATACTGATTAGCGAGGTAAGCAAGGTCTTATTTTCTCACTTAAATGTCACTTTACATTGTTCAGGCGTTCACAGACTGACACACGACTGTTTAGCAGTAAAAAGTTGCCCAGTAAAATTGACTGGGAACAGATTTTATTTTGACAAGGATTCAATAAGACGGTTACGAAAACGTACAGGGCGATAATGAGACCTACGTTCAGAGCTGAACTAGGTCTTCGGGTAACTCGGATCTTCGCTTAACTCGGATAAAATTGGTCAGTCCACTTAGATCTGACTTATGCAGAGTTTACTGTATGTAGTTGTCACCTTTCCACCAGTCCTTCCATCTGTCACAGTCTGAGGCTATAGCTTTTAACATATCTTGTTCAAATTTAAAGGGCCAATCCCGATAATATTTTGGAGAATAAAACTGCTTAATTTTGTGTTAAAATCCCTTAAAATCCTCTACCTAAGAGCCGAGCAACTAACTCAATATTTGTCATACATTTTCAAACAACTTAAACCCACCAGTCTTCATCTGCAGTTTAGTCTCAAGGTGTCCATAACACTATTCAAACTGATCAAGTCACTACATAGATAATAACATAGACCAGACGGACAATAAAAAAACAACCACTTTCAGTATTCATGTACATATAAAAATCAAGGTTAGTAACACAAATGTGGATTATAGACATATAGGTACATAATATTAACTGGGTTGTGAAGAGTATCAATAAATGATAAGATATGTCTCAAAAAAATATTAAATAGTGGATCAAAGTCCATGTTTTAAAGTGACACTTCAGGGTATCATCTATCACAACACAATAAACTATCATAACATGAGAATACTCTGAGCAGAGAGAAATAATTGTCAGCGGTACTTATCTACATTGATTTCATTTAGTTATTTCAAAACAAGTTCCAATATTGTCGATGACTGAAAGTGACAATCGACACATAGCTATAATATTGAATTGTTCATTGCACTATATATACCATAATAATTTCATGCCTTTTTTGCCTGCATATTACTGTTTAATAAACTAGTAATCAATCACTAATTACAATACATTACAACGAATTGCAAGGAAAGTAGGCTATACATAGTTTGTTGGCAACAGAAATCACAAACACAAGTTATCTCTCATGAACCTTCAATTTGGGTCTAAAGCAGTGAGGCACCTTAAACTGGACGACCTGCTCTAAATGAAGTCAGAAAAGGAGTGACGTAGGAGCGAGTCTGACGTATTAGAGCAGGTTATCCAGTCTACCTTAAACTCAACTAAATTTTTATTTTGTGTTTCCAGTCAACATTTTTGGAGTTACTGGGTGTTGTTTTGGAGTTTTTGGGTAATTCGACGCGCCCTACATTATGACGTTATCATAATCATGATGCATATATATATTATTTGAAATGAATTCTGGTAGTCTTTCAAATAAATACACCTACAGCGCCTTCATCTGGCCTGTGGAGAGATCAAAATAGTTATTCGTTATATTATAATGTTAAATGTATTATGCATTTAAAATAAATTAGTTTTGTGGGAGAAATCATGGTTTTTCGAAGTGAATTCCGGTGATTATATGTGAATTCTGGTGATTAGTCGGGCCATAGATAATACCATTATTATCTATGGTCGGGCCCAAAAATTGTAAACTTACGTTACGGTACTATAATATTACATAAATTGGAAAACTTACAAAGAATGAATTCCAGCTTTTCGAACAGCAGACGATACAGCTTTGATTGCCGTCAACAATGCATTCAATAACTGTGTCAAATCCCCAGTAGCTTCAGGATGTTTTCTCTGTTGGGCAAGTACATAACGAGTAAGTGTGATGCAGTCAGTATCTATTGCATCGTTTGACATTTTGAAAAAATATCAACACTGTTCGTCAGACTATTTTAACCTAAATATAAACAACCCAATGTCCTGTAGTCTAGTTCAACAGCTAACCGTCTAAGATATTAGGAACGCTTTAACCGAGCATGTAGACTTCATGGGACCCTTCTTCACGGCCTTGACCAATGACTGCGACGTTGCACCCAAAAGCTGATTGGCTGAAAGAAAGACACCCACAAACGTCATTCGCCTTTATCAGCTGTAAACGTAAACAAGACCTGGTTAAGTTGCATCAGATGTAAACAAATATCTGTATCTATTATTATTACACCAGTCGACATAAAAAAAAAAGATTCACAGACAATTTGCAACGAGGCATACACCCACAGTCAACCAAGAATCTGTAGGTAATTAAAGTGATTCTACACGATCCGCCCCCACACCCCCAAGTCTACAAAAATTAATACTCTATAATAATGACAAAGCGAAAATATGTTTTTGTATGAAAAAACAGGATATACAGGTATATATATATTTACAACAACCGGTAATATTCTTTATACCCCTTCCTCTGTAATGACAAAGCAAAAATACTTTTACACAAAACTTCCCTTTCCATTTTCTGACAAATAAGTGAAAGCAAATATTGAGCACAGATGCGAGCTTTATTAAGATCATACAACAATTCAATAATACATCTTGATAACAATAGATCCATCAATTTGAAAACTGACACATTCACAAGATAGATCCAATTGTGTCTGACCTGATAACAATATTACAATGATCGTTAACATTGGCAAGAACTTGTTTTTAAAAGAAGTTCTCCTCTTGGCACTTTAACTGTTGTTACATGTGTTGGTATGTAACATAATGAAAGACTGTTCTGTTTAGGATGCTATCACACATATACAATCAGATCGTTACTGCACAGCAGCTAACATACTACTAATAGATATCACATAATACACATTTCATCATTTCAAACACCAGGTTAGACTTCAAATACAAGATATATTCATTTTTCATCAACATTAAATAGAATAGGGACCTTTATTATATGGTGCATGCTTGAGCACATTATTTAATGACATTTATATTGTTTAAGGAATTAAGACATATCTCTTTCATTTTTCAAATTATTTCGTATTGCATAGGGTATAAATTAAGTACATCATTTCTTACCAATTTCAAAATGTGATATGTTGGTTATGAAATCAGTCTTTGTCAATATAGGCAAGACTTTCATATTATTTTGCAAAGTCATTCTATTTCACATACATGTTCCTGGATATTCCTGGATTTCATATTAACTGCACACAATGTCAAAATTCTATTTATAAAACAAATGTTTTGATGACATATACCCGTTTTATAAGATTTTAATAAATTGATAGAACAGGTCATTTGTAACAATATATACATATAATATCGAAATATTCAATTATGATGGAAGATACATATGTTTCATCAGATCAGAAAATATTTCTGTTTTCAGTTTTTATTTTCTCTAATCTTATTTCCTGAGCATTCTTATTTTTTTTAAACAGGACAACTTTAAAATATCATTTATTTATTTATTCATTTACTAAAGAATTTAGAGGTAATCACTAGTAGAGTAGTTGTATATGTATGTTACACATATAACTACAGTACATGTATTGTCAATCACAGTTGTGGCACCTGACAATCAGCAATATCTATATAATATTCTGCCGAAAAAGTATAAATTAACATGTTGCATTTAGAAAATACTCTAAAGAATACAATATAATATTAAATACTTTCTTTGTAACTTTTGATAGATGTAAATCTGTTGATTATTAAAATGTCTTGTCTTTAATAAAGAAAAGATAGGTTGCCAGGCAATGAAACATACGCCCATTGCAGCTAAATTGTGCAAGCAGTTGACTAGGGTTGTCACATATTTATGCTTTTGTAGATAATAGGAGCATTTACAAGACAATGGTATCAATTTCATACAGATCGAATGTTCACAAGGTTCAACTAAGTGGAAACAGGGTCATAACTTTATAAGTTATTAACAGAAATTGCTTAAATTCAATAGGCTTCTTCATTTTCCTAATCTCAATAATGCACTTAAATTTAATATAGATAAGATTGGATGATAAATTTTGTCATTAGAACAATCATAAGGGGTTAAACAAAGTGAAACAAGGACAATAACTCTATTTATGGAAATTGTTGAAAATCAATAGGCCTATTCGTTTTACTGAGCTAAATAATGCATATAAATTTCACGCAGATCTGATGATAACTGTTGTTGATAGTGCATTCAAAAGGATCCACAGAGTCAAACAAGAGCCAAAAGTCTATTAATTAAGTAATTAACAAAAATTCATTGATCTAAACAATGCATATAAATTTCATATGTATCGGATGATAAATTTTGTTGATTGAGCTTTCACAAGGTTCAACAGAAGTAAAACGAGTGCCACAACTCTAGATTTAATTAACGGAAATTGTTGAAATTCAGTCGACTTCTTTGATTTAGTGATCTAAATAATGCATATAAATTTCATACAGTTTTGGGTGATAACTTAAGTCCTTAGCATTCACATGGTTCAACAAAGTGAATCAAGGGCTATAACTCTAGAAGTTATTAACGGAAATTGCTGAAATTGACTAATTTAAATAATGCATGTAAATTGAACCAAGGACCATAACTCTAGAAGTAATTAATGGAAATTGTTGAAATTAAATAGGATTCTTCTTCTCACTAATATAAACAATATAATATATATATATATTTAAAAGTGATCAGATAAAAAATGTAGTCTGTAGAGTGTTCATAAGAAATTGTGGATGACAGACGGACGGACAGCAATATACAACCACATTTCCATGTGGGCATATAAAAATCATGATCCTATCTTTGTATAGAAAGTACAGTATTATAAATAATTCAGTGTTACACACAAGCTGACTAGATGTATCTAAAACTTTACAAGACTGACTGATCCCTCTATTATAGACTTTTTTTAAAACATAATTTATCTACAAATTCTGAACACGTTCAATCACTCCACGAAAACGCAAAAATAAGCTGCTGTGCCACCTCTTAAATAAGTAACAATCTGGGAATGGTAAATCACAATAATATCATTGATCGATTTTTCTTTAATTGATATCTTATCTAGTCAAATCCTAACTATAGTACAATTGAAATTTTTGCAAATAAAATCTCTGTTTATTAGAAAGTATATATCATTATATAGTACAGTAATTGACTAGATAATATATAATTGACTTAATGCCCAAAAGACATACATAAGGTTGAATATTACTGTACATAACTTCAAAAAGGCTGCTGTTAAAATTTATACATGTACATCATATTTATAACGATCCTTGAGACCCTTTTTCCGATATATAACCTCTATTTACAAATCATACATTAATAGCATTATTTGATGTTTCAATTCATGCATCTAAGTGCTCTTAGATTAACATAACACCCACACCATAATAACACCAATACAATAATCTAAGACTACAATTAAGAAACAGTGCACAAACTAAAATATAAGACAAAGGGTGAATATATGCTGTTAAAAGATAGACAAATAAAACATCATTTAGGATATATGATTATATAATTAATAAGAGGCGACAAAAATAAGTGAAAAAATATGGCTCAAATAAATAATGTATCTTAAAAAGTCAGATATAATCTTTTTGTGACAAATTTAGAATTATATTTCAATATCATGAAAGAGTTAATAGTAGCTTTAGTATAATTTGAGAGTATTATTTATTTTTAACATTTGTAATATTATTGCTCACACAAAAATCCAAGACAGGCAACTGTGATTCTTAATAGCTTGTATCAATGGCATTTATTAGTAATTGAACTAGAAATACACAGACCACAATTACCATAATAAAAGTTAATTGTATTCAATAAAATTCTATCTGGTGTACTTCTTGATAGCTTGTAGTGTATATGTTTTGAAACTATCCTTTAAACAGATTTATCATAATACAGATCATGAACAAAATTATTCCTACAGACAAAGATCAACTCCTGTCAGTTTCTCTTGAAGAATTTGATTTTGTTTGGAAGCCAATTATTGATGTTAAAAATGATTATTTACAACTATGTTTATCCTGAATTACATTCACTGGAAATTACTGATGATGACATTTTTTTTTTAAGATCTTTTAAATCGTTCATATCCAATCAATTTGAACTATTTTAAGAGCTCCAAATTGGTTCACTCTAAATCAATGTCAACGCATTCAGAGGCGTAAAAATCGTACAACAGTATGTTATGAAATCAAGCTAATTCAGTACGCTGATGGCCAGGAAACACAGAATAAAGAAAACACAGGTATCCAAATTGATAGAATTAAAGAGAATACACCAACAATGTTACTTTTACTTGTTAACTTAAATCATTTTTTTTATGGTATTTGTTAGGATTAGAATATGCAGAATCAATTTCAGATTTAGTTAATAGGCTGTACTAGGGATTATGTTAAGTTAAATTCTTGTTACAATAGAACCCATTGGCATTATTTTAATCCTGAAAAAGGGCCAGAGTCAACCTGTTAAGGTCAGTAACTGTGCAGTACAGCGAATAAACCCATAATACATGCAAATCAATTCCACTCGACTTGTTATCCATGTTTCTACATAATATAACACAGTACATCATCAAAATACATAGCATCAGTAGTACACAACCAATTGTAAACATTCATATTATTCAGTAATATCCTCTGTTTATTTATCAATTAAAGCAATGATTTATGAGCATAAAACCTTTATTTTAGAATGGTATTACTATCATCTGTCATTATTAGCCTCAAATATCACAATATTCATTTCTATTTATCTATGTAACATAACAGACAAATTTATATAACAATTATGTTTTAACGAACTTATATAACAAGCACTTATATATCAATGTAAAATATTGGTTACAGCACTACATTTACATATATATATATATATATGGAAAGAGTGTAATATAGTTTTAACAAATACAACAAGCACATGAATAATGCTGTTAAGCACGTAAGATACAGATTTTTTGTCAGCATAGCCAACAGCTTCAAATTTAGACATGTCAAAAAATTTGCCCCAGTTCTTGGTGTTTCATTTACCAAATATTGCCTTTCTACACTAAATATAAAGCAATTAGGTGCTTCAACAAAATATCCTGTAATAATAGACAATAATCTGGTTTATCATATTAAATATTGTTATATATTTTATGTTCTAATAATCTTATAATATCCTCTCTCAGCTTGTACAAATTTCTATTAAAATTATAAAAGATATTAACATTTCACAAGTTTGATTTAGAGAAAAAAAATCCAATAGAAGATGACTTTCTATCAAATCACTAACTAAATATTGGCTGTGTAATAGCATTAGTATCTTCAAATAGTTCATCATAATTAATTTGATAAAACTGTCACTCATTGATTCTATGTACTAATTCTAGTACCAGTATACTAATCCATTTATTTTTCGACACCGGACAGGGCTTCAACTCAACATCTCGATTTCACTGAGATTCAATGGATTTCACTTGATGTGGCAATACAATTGGCAATAAGTTCAATATCTATGTTACATTATGGTACAGAGTGGTTGTCGAACACTGCTGATGGCACATACTAGTATCATCCTAAAATTGACTTTTGTTATCACATTTTGCTTGTACTCCAATAAAAACAACCATGGATGGTTTCAAGTTTATGTCATGATGTTAAGATTAAAATATGGCAGCCATAATAATTACAGAAGCTTAGTTCTTGGCTTTGTCACACACAAAAGATCTTCGATTGTTCAATAAAAATTTACAAAGGCCATACAAATCCATGCGAAAACAGGGTGATATCACATTTCAACTATACCTGAGTAATCCTGAGTACCAATATTTGGCGATGGTAATGGAATGTTATATACAGTTTTGATACGAGCAGCTGCAGATTTTCTATTATAATAGAATGTTAAAATATAACTGCTATATCAATTCAAACTTCACTTGTTATTTGTTGTTCCCATGTTCACAATTATTCAAAAGTTAGTTATAACAGTAGATCTTTAGACCAGTATAAATAATCAACCAATTATATAAGATGGAAACAGATTATTCAAGTTGTAAAGCACACATTGCAGTCTTGTACTTTGAATGTACACTAGACAAATTAACTATAAAGAATACTGTTCTATGGATGGAATAAAATATCAATATGGCTAAATGCTAGTTGTATCAATCTTCTCTGTGTTTTTGTTCATATTAAAACTACAAATGGTCTAGTCTACAGTATTTTGTATATTCCATACACAATATACAGATCAAATTCACGTCCATATGCTTCCACCAATACACTGTTCACATAATGCAGTAATTCTAATTTACACTCTCTGATGAAGCTTTCTCCTCACTTTAATGTAAAAATAAGATATTTCACAACTTGTTATTTATATATCTACAGGATTGATATTAAAAGTTGACTTCTTTGCTTCACACACAGCACATTGTAAAATTATCAACAGTATGACATGCAAATATAAATATGTTTCAAAAGATCATTAATCCCAACAAAACAGTCATTTATATAATAATAAGTAGGGATACACAGTCTAAAATATAAGTTTTGTGAGATAATGCAGTATTAAAGATTAAAATTCAAAAAAAAATAATGAAAAGATGTGAAGATGCATTGAAGCTGAGAGAGGTCGGAGAATTAGAATTGATAGTTTAGTAATTATAATAATATAGGTACTGTATATCATATATCGATTTACATGTATTTCACAAGAATTAAATATATCAGAAAACAAATATTATAAGATTAAATTAACCCCCATCATCAAATCTATGTAATGAATAAGTAATAAATAAATAAGATAAAGATAAGTATTTACAAAAAAATCATTCCTGTATTTCAAGAAAATCTCCAATGACCCATATTACCATCAACATTTTCATAAATATTTTTCTAGTTCATTTCTTATTTTTATGTAATTTTTTTCAAATTTTCAAAATTAAAAATAAATGAATTTGTTAAAAGATGTTCTCACAATTGTTCTCTTCTTTTTTTTACATGAAATAAATTAAAAATCTATAGATGTTAAAGATTTCTATCCCCCAACAAACATGATACATGGTGTTTATGAATTGTACAAAATATGCATGTTAAATATTGGATATAAATACCATTTATTTAAATAAATTATAAGAATCTTTAAAACACTGTTCTATAGTTTTGGTCTAATTGTTTAAAATTGGGGAGATATAAAATACATTAAACTTTTTGGTCGTCTAATAGAGTTTCCATGTATGCATCTTCTGCATCGGCCATATGATCAAAAACAGCCTCTGGTAATTCATGATCATCTACTGGCCACCACGACCTATTTAATGATTTAGACACCTGAAAATAAATAATAATATAACAAGTATGATTAATACTTTTATTTTTATCTCACTTTAAAATTTCCTTTTTGCACAAGTGTGCCAATGTTTTAAACCTTTATTATTATTCTTAAAAAGATTACAGCTGTGAAATGAAAATGTTCAACTACATGTACATGTTCAAAGCAGGGTTGGGGTTTTTTTTGTCTTTTTAGAATAAATATATCATCATTTTTTTATTTGAACAGGATTGTTGTTTCCATAAATATTACTTGTTTTTAATGTCATTATATAAGGATTCAAGAAATTCAACATTGGTTTTAAACCTACATGTAGGGTCACTAATTGTGACTGGTCATACTTTTTGCCGAAATTAGTTTTCGCTTGGTTGCACCAAGACACACGAGTTTAACAACTTTGCAAGCTGTTCGCATGAAACCGAAATCTAAGGCCTTTAAAATCTGGGGGTTCTCGGTTTCAAAATCAGTTGCACATGCACATGCGACATCCGAACGAAGACCGATGCAACAATGCTATCGGTTGCTTACAAGCAGGTGAATCCCAGATAGATATAGCCAGACTGCTGAATGCTTCCCAGAGTACCATCTCTCACCTTTGGGATAGGTATGGAAAGCGAAGGTCAAAACCTGACCGCCCAAGCTAAGGCTAAACAAGAGTGACCATGTCTGCCCTGGATCGTCACATACGGTTATGTCATTTATGGAAACAGTTCACAACAGCGACCTCTACTGCAGCAGCAATTCCTGGACGACGTAGGATCTCAGACCAGACAGTCTGTAATTGTAAACGCCTACATGAAACCGGATTACGAGCCAGACGTCCTGTTAGAGCTGCTGTTTTGAAATTCGCCAACATTGTCAAATCCGACTTAAATGGGTTCAGACACACAGGGTATGGCTACCGCAACGCTGGAGAACAGTTTGGTTTAGCGATAAGTCACGTGTTGCAACAAGGCGATGGTAGATCGAGGGTATACAGAGGATGAAATGTCACTATGCATTCTTTTTTTGAAGAGTGTATGATGATGAATACTTAAAATAAATTTACAAATTCTGTGCTAAGACACACTCAGTTACTTACTTTATCAAAAAAGTCATCACTGATACATCTTACTGGTATTATTTCAGTAGCATCATCTTCACTATCATTAGAAGTATAAATGCAAGACAAAGGAACAACCAGCTTCTTTAAGGTGTCACCTCTCAATCTAGCTATAGCAATGACATCCCCATCTGCTATACCATAACCTGAAAAGGGATATGATTATAAACTGAATTTCAAGGAGTCAGAGCTGTCTTCTACTTCCATTAGCATCCTTGTGAATTCCTAGCTCCATGGCATGTCAAAATTTCCCTACCTGTATTCTACAGGATATTTCAGAGAAATAACAATACTAACAAGTACATACTACATGTAACAACACTTCACTAAATCTTTTTTTACCACTCAAGTAACAATTATATTAATTACCAATATCAACAGGAACCAAGATCTGCAGGTTATAAAGATATATTTCAAGTTTCATCAAAATCGGATCAAAATTGTAACTTCTAGAGGGTCCACAACCTTGATATACCATATATTTATACTATTTGCATACAAGGGGCTGCCATTATTAAGGCTGTGCAAAAATATCGATATAATCGATAATCGGTAGAAGTTATTTAGCGATACGATAATCGATATTGAAATTCAAATATCGATTATCGGTATATTTACCTTCTGACGGCAAGTTACGGTCACTTTCACATGACTGAACTTGCCGTAGTCTGGCATTATCAGACGAATGAATGAATACACAACGTCAACACAACTATTTCCCCCCTCTGCTTACAAACTGGCACATTTTAAATATATATTATTGTAAAAAACTGAACTTTAAGATTAAATATATTATTTTAATATTTTCGTTGTTTTTGTTGTTATTACTAGTTGAAACTAAAATAGGTCACGCAATTTGTGAACAATGACAATTGCACATGATTTAATAGTAAAATTAGAATTATCTCCCTTCTTTGCTCTTGATTGCTTTGTAGAGAAATCGTCTGTTTTCACGATAAAACTAATTGTATTATTAATGATCAATTCAGCTTTTATTACTAAATCATGTCAGATACAGCCCATACAAAACACGTTTTTGACTTCCCGGGAAAGGCAAAAAGCGAGATATGGAATTGTTTTGGTTTTTACGGAACCGACGACCGTATATGTAACAGTTATCTAACTTCATGGAATCTCTCTAGTAATGAAGATAAATAACTTCAATTTACTTTCGTTTGTTTTTTTTATTACGATTGAGTATTGACAGATTGTATAATAATATTAATAAATATAATGTGTTTAAATAAACAGTAATAAAGACTGAAGATGTTTTGGAATATTTTTATTATACAATACTATTATTAAACAGGACTGTTAAACAAATACAACAAAATAGTGGTGGTAGCCTGTGTCGACCAACACAAATAACAGGTCGGTAAAGTTCGGATTTTTGCGGAAAAATGATAATCGATTATTATCGATAATCGCTGACAAATTCTTGCCGATAATCGATATTGAAATTTCATATCGATTCCCAGCCTTAGCCATTATCCAGCAGTTTTGGTCCCATATTCACGAAATTCAAACTCAGTTATTATACTATTCAAAAAAAGTAGGGGATATTTGATTTTGGGGGCATAATACTAAAATATGCAAATGACTACGAAAAAAGTCACTATAGAACCTAACAGAAGAAACATTTCCAGTTACATGTGACGCCCAAACGCACCAATAGCTACCGCATGGAATGCAGGTGATGCTTGGGATCATCATGGGGGTCCAACCCAAGATTTGCACGACTCTGACTTTGAATGTTACAGTCATTGTGGCATTGAATTCCAGGGTGGAAACATCAGTTTAATTGTTTTAGTGACCAGAAAACAAATTTTGATATGCGTCGGCTTACCCAAAATGAAAGGTTACGTGCCCTTGGCATGCTACAGATCGGCACAACACAGGCGGTTGTGGCGCGGACGATGAATGTTTCTCAGTCTGTCATAAGCAGGCTATGGTCCAGATACCGTGATACACAATCTGTACAGGACAGACCACGCTCAGGTCGACCAAGGGCGACAACTCAAGCCCAGGATCGATTTATCCGTACCTTGGCCTTGAGAAATCGTGTCATCACAGCAAATCAGATCAGCGCTCGTCTTCAAACAGACACTGGTGTGAGAGTGAGTGGCCAGACGATTCGGAATCGACTGCATAGGGGTCACCTTCGCGCCCGACGTCCTCGCGTGATCCCTTGTTTGAGAGATCATCACATTCAGGATGACAACGCAAGATGTCACAGGGCCAGGATCGTTACAGGTTACCTCCAACAACAGAACATCACCACATTACCTTGGCCAGCACTGAGTCCCGACCTCTCCCCCATCGAGCATGTCTGGGACATGCTTGGACAGAGGTTACGTCAACGTCAACAAAGTCCTGCCAATGTCCAAGAACTTGCTGCTGCGTTGCAACAGGAATGGGACAATCTGGACCAAAATGACCTTAGACGTCTCATTAGGAGTATGCCACGTCGGATCAATGCTTGTTTGGCAAACAGAGGAGGATTTACCCGTTACTGACTTGGTTGTGATGCTGTGGTAACTTTGCTGTTTGACCCCGGCTATCATTTTACCCTTATAATGGTCAGTCTGTGCCTTACTTAGTCTAACGATCATTTGGAATAAATCGATGAATGTGAACTTCATTTCATTTTGTCATTTGTTTCTTCGTCAGTTTCATTAGGTGACTTTAATAACACTTAAAAATCAAATATCCCCTACTTTTTTTGAATAGTATATTAATGTGTAACGGTGATATATGCAAATGTTGTTTTTTTCAATCAATCAGGGACCACAAGCTAAAAACGTGATTTCTCGAACAATCAAGGGACATAATTCAGGAAGTTACAATCCGATATGCATGAATATCAAAAGGAACCAAGATCTTTTGGTTATAAACATGCATTTCCAGTTTCATCAAAATCAGATGAAAATTGTGATCTGTGGAGTGTCCACAAGCTAAAACATGCTTTTTCGTACAATCAGGGGCCATAATCCATGAAGTTATGGTCAGATTTATGCCAATATCTAAAGGAACCGAGATCTTTGGGAGATAGACCTTCATGTATATCAAATAAAAATTGTGACCTGTAGAGTGTCCACAAACAAATTGAATATTTGAATATTTTAAAAGCTTACCTATGATACTTAGTTCCTGCAACTCAATGCAACGCCATGCTAACATTACAAATGGGTCTGGATACACATCAGTTCTTTCATCATAAAGCATGGGTTGATCTTGAATATCATCCATTATAATTACTGTCTTGAGTGTATCATTGAAGTGTGTCGAAATAAAATCTATCGCTGCCACATTGATATGTGAGCAGAAATATTGTCGAAAATGTGTTAACGGCATACATGGCTGGAGGACATCAAGTAGGGCGGCAACTCCATGATGTGAATGTGTGAGGTTTACTGTTACTTCAAAGGAGGGACTATAATTCCTTAACCTTCTCCATGTTGCATTTGTTACAATTTCATGTTCTGGACTGATACCGTGAATGTGGATGCATAGTTTCTCTAGCTTGGATTTTCTGATATCAGTAAAATTGTGGAGTAATTCATTTGTAAGATAATCATAATCAATGCTCAATTTGGTAAGACACTGGAATGAACAGATCAGGGAAGTGTCAAATTCAATAATTCCATAGTGCTCTGAATCTTCTTTTACACTGGCCAGATGCAAGGATTTCAAATTCTTACTATGATGTTGCACCATCAATTGAACTAGACTGTTGGAATGAACTAGGAGTTCTTCTACACATCCCAAGGAAAAGTGGCTTAGTCGGCGAGCATTTCTGATCAATTCTTCAATGTTATCCAAATAACTGAAAATAGAGAACAGAAAATTAAACATATATTTGGATTCTACAATATGACACATAAGCTTAACCTTATTTATAACTTACAGTTAAAGGAGTTAACCCGCTAACTCAATATTTTCCATTATTCAATATCGTCTATTTCAATCAATGTTGATGTTATTATCTTGCTGAGAAATTATGGGATCCTAATATTGAATATTTAAGACACAATGAACACTTTAAAATCAGCACACAAGTCGTGTACTCTATACAGTAGTTTCGGGTGACATTTGTAATGAACAAAGAAGAACATATACGACAAGACAATGTGATAGTAATGGCTAATTCACAAAAGACAAAATAATGATATAAAAAAATACAACTGTGGAAGGGCGTAAGCAGGAAGACTGCCATTGAACATAGACTGTTTGTGTACATGTATGTCACGGAACATAATTAGAAATTACAATTTTAGATAGATTCGTATTACCGTGTAACTGAATAATATGTCCCAATCTTTATTCTGGTCAACAAATTGTACTATTTTAGAATATTTCAATTAATTGATGATACAAATTTCATCTTGACACACCTTATTTAAAAATTTTGAAAAATTCAACATAATGGTTTGAAACGTCTAACGTAAACCTTTTCAAATGAAACTTCGATTTAAAAATATTTTCGAACCCTCTGGACAAGTAAAATAGGATGTAATGGATAATTTACACAACAGATAGGACACTTAAACATCTAGTACTTAGATAGAGATATTATTTATTTTCTGGAGCTTTCAAGATAGCAAGAGTGTTATTGTCCCTTTAAAATAGTGCCAAATTTATTCATGAAAAATTATATTATACATAATAACAATTAAGTTTTAAATGAGTGATTATCTGAATGCTTTACTGAATAATCTTATAATGCATAGTAATAAATTTATCAATTTTTAAAGAACTCTTAGTCACAGAAAATCTTCCAGAATTATTATATTTTAAAAAACATTTTAATTTTCGATAAAATATTTGAAAATACATGTATCGCTGACTGCGCAAAATAAAAACTTGGCTAAGTGCAAGGTGTCCTAAAACTGATGTTTACGTTCTATTTTTAGTAACATTACAATCTATGGCACCAATGCGGTTGGTGGTGTAAACAAATTTAAAAGCTGCTTACTTGTCAATTATGTGTTCAGTTTCTTGTTCAGACCAAACGATGTGACAACTTGATGGTTGTAGAGAAAATCTTTCTAAGTTTTTGTTTTTCGAAAGAATGTCAAGCAATTTAGCACATTCCCTCACCTCTGTTGCGTCTCGCGAGTTAAATTTGACAACTGCTTCCCGAATAAATCGGCCGCAGTTTGCAGCAAGAAAATTTGACTTCTTGCGGTCCTTTTTATCGAACGAAAATAACACATTTTGCCATAGTGTTGGGTGAAACAAGCAAGATCGCCATCGCTTGCATATCGAAGAACTCTTTAATCTATCTTCCAGTGATAAATATGAAACGATATCAACAATTATTACACTAGGTAGTCCTGCCCAATTTGTTCCAGCTGCCATTTCTACATGTCTGACGTCAACACTCCAATAAATAATCATGCGCGCGTACCACGTGCTAGAAAATTTACTCGGATATCAAGTCTCTTTTTTTATAAGTCATTAATACTAATCTCAACCAGTCTCGTGGTTAAAAGTCGCTACTTTAATTTTTTTTAACTGTCAAAAAATATAAGACGGTGATGTATTTAGATCTTTGCCTAAGTCAATAAAACCTGTGACAAGGAGTGGCTGAGAGGGGGGAGAAAACATATCAGGACAATTATAACATCAGATAGAAAAACAGTTCAGAAATCCAAGCAAAACAACTAGTACAATGATAACATTAAAACCAGCCCCACGAAGACAAATATAGGCTAATGGCAATATTGTCAAACTGTCAAAGCCTCTCGAGTAGTTAATGCTAAAAATTTAATTGATCTTCCGCCAAATTCCACAACAAATGTGAATCCATATAAACCTCTAAACATTGATCCAGCGAGCACTTACATTAATCATAGAAATCTCACCCGCTCACCATTCGGGTTTAACGTCCACTCGACACAAACTAGGTCATTTCGGGACTAACATATGGTTTAATTTTTTATTTCAATAATTCGCTTGCGCGTAGGGGTCTTTAGCAGTGGGAAGAAACCGGAGAAAACCCACGAGGTTGGACAGGCGACCCGACTGTGTACTCCTTGTCACATACAACCGGGGATTCGAAACCACGCCAGTTGGGCCAGAGAGGGAATTTTGCCCCGACAGCGGCACTATCGCCTACTCTTATATCTAATTCCAACTGTCAGGGGATCTTTTACGTGCAATTCCAATATATACACGGGACCTCGGTTTTTAGTCTCATCCGAAGGACTAGACAGCTGTCCTTGTCAGGCCGTGCGTCCTCACTGATAAGGGGAAACCACGCCGGAAATCTGGATGAACTTTCTCGGCCAATGCAGGGATCGAACACCCGACCTCCAGGCCAGCGTCTTACCCACTTAGCCACGTGATCACCAGGAATAAAACAACAATTTTATCTGATTATATTGTTGAAAATTTAATTGATGTTTATGGAATAGAAGCGTGTCTGAATAATGTCTGTTTGAATTCATCGACAATCGCAGCTTTAGTACCCGATGGATATTCTGTAGGCCTACCAGGCGCGGATCCAGGGGGGGGGGGTGTCCAGGGGTCCGCACCCCCCCCCCCCCCCCCTGCTCAGGCTTGAAAATTTGAAGGGTCCGAGAAACTTAAATCTAAAAGCCTGAATCTGACCCAAAAATTGCGAGTTTGTATACATTGAGTTGAGTCATGACTTTCATTCCATTGTGGGCAAAAACAAATAGTCGCATACAGCTCTGGCAACTAGCCAAAAACGTCGACAGCATAAATTGCTGTCGGGACCAAAATTGACTCCACGGCAAATCGCCTATTGACGACGGCAATTTTTTAATACTGTACTGTATGAAAATATAAGTTTATTGAAATTTAAAGAGTTTTATTAACGCTGTTCGCCTGTTGACGTTGAATATTGTTGTGTTTGCTTTTTAATTTTATCGGCAGCGTTGATAAGAAAAAAACCTGGTCATTTATGTGTGAAAATTCCCTTTAAACCTCTACATTTATGATTAAGCCTGTGCAACTATTGTAAGCTATATTATTTATTTTTATGCGCTGAAAGTAAAAACAGTAATCCAAGTCTATAGACTTTTCGTCTGTGAAAGTTTGTGCTCTGGAAAACACCGACCAACTTTCCTATACTTAAAGGACAATATTGGTGCCAGTCATTATCACATATGTGATAGAGCTGGTTAAACACATTCCAAATATACTTTTAACACAGAGATCATTGCTACGATAGCTGAGTATTTGGAACGTGTTTAACCAGCTCTATCACATTATGTGATAATGACTGGCACCAATATTGTCCTTTAGATGGACTTACTCTAATAGTAAATTGATACTGCTAATATTAAGCCTGTTAAGAACAACCATAATATGGTATCTGAAGATATTTTGTTCCTCACCTGTAAAGGGAGCATCCCCCATCAACATTTTAAGGACATTTAATGCCATTTTATTGGAGATTTTTAGACCTGTAATTTTGGAATTTACCTTCCGGAAATACGTCAGAATGCACCAAATTGAATCTAATTTACCAAATTTTTCAGGGGGAGGGCCCCCAGACCCCCCCTTACAACGTTTAGCGCCTTCGGTGCTCGCGGCGGTGGGCTACGCCCACCGCAATTAGTTAAGCAATTATCTAACCTAGACCCCCCCCCCTGCAAAAAATCATGGATCCGTGCCTGCCTACAGCGTATCCCTAGAGGTTCACGCGCAGAAGATGTAGCACTTATTTAAGTCATATCTATTTAGTATAAGAAAATCCGTCAGGAATGCTTTGATTCTTTAGAAATTTTGGATTGCTCCCATAATTTTTCTTTTAAGGAAACTAGAATTATTACAATGTATCGCCCACCCAATAGCAAATTATGTCAAAAATTTATGGAAGAATTTGGATTATGACTTAGAAATGCACTATTATTTGGGAGGGGGGGGGGGATTTCCTTTTTGACGATTCCAGTGACTCTACTGCGGTTGACCTGAGTTTTGTGAAATGTTGAATAACAGTTCTCTCACACATGTTTCTGCTTCAACTCAAAACGGCGGTAGAGAGGTTGGATGGGCGAATGGTTAGCGCTTGCGCGTTGTATCATAAAAGGTCTGTCATTGAGTCAATTGGCGTGGTTTCGATTCCACGGTTGTACGTGACAAGGAGTAGGGTCGCCTGTCCAACCTCGTGGCTTTCTCCTGGTCCTCCGGTTTCCTCCCATTGAACCATACGTTAGTCCTGAAATTACCTAGTTTGTGTCGAGTGGACGTTAAACCCCATTCCTCTCTTATAACGGTGGATATAATCTCAATTTTCTGATAACTAATCCACGTGATCTTAAATTGGATAATCTCTGTGTGTCTGACAAATTAGTATCAGATTATTTTCTGATAATTTTTAATCTTAATGTCCAGAAACCACAACCGACAAGAAAGACTTTAACATATAGGTTTAAATTACTTGGCACTAATAAATCGTTAACTCGGATTTCAATGAGATTCAACATATCGAATATATATACAAGAGAAAGCAACCATGTATCACTCTAAACTTGATGAAATTTTGGACTCACTTTTGCCCCAGAAAACATTTACTACTCCTTCCAACACGCAGTGATTTAATGACTATTTTAGAAACCGAAAGGGGTTGAACAAGACTGAACATGTGTTGCGGAAAGAAGCCTACATGTTCATAAACAGATTTATATATCTTTAAAAAAAAAACAATGCGAAGAAATTAAAGATACATTATGGGAGATAAGATAAAGAGATAGCAGTTCTCGCTATAATAGTTAAAAACTAGATAGTGTAAAGGTAATTTGCTGAAAATTTCAGTCAAATTGATCCACTATGAGCCGAGAACGAAGCGGGTGAAATTTTCGCATAGTCTCGGTCATCATTACTAAAATCATCAATATAAACAGCATAGTCTCGATTATCCACTGTTTTGATTTAATTATCAATGGACGTTAAGCGGCATATAGGAATCTAATCCAGCCAACATCGAAGGCTAGCCATGACATCAAGAGTTTATTATGGTTTGGATAAGTTAATTAATGTCTAATTGATAATTTAGATAACATTTCAGGCCTAAAGAAAGACTTGTAGGCCTAATAAGCAGATTTTGCTCATAATGCATGTTTAATTAAAGATGCTAAGGTTAAATTTCACTCTGATAAAATTGGAAATGGTGAGAACAGACAAAAAGACCTATATAAAGTTGTGACTATTCTCCCGGATAATAACAATGAACTCGCGAATATAGTATCGGATTACTTTCAAATAAAAATCCAGCAAATAAGGATTGAATTTGATGTTTTTAATAATACTATTGACTGTAATGCTCATGAGTTTGATAAGTTAGAAAATTCTGATTATTTAGAAAATGTGGTCGCGGCTTTCGTTTGTATGCAGATGGTACTCAATTATATATTTATTTTACGCCTCTGTCCATCTTCTTTCAATTTATCAAAACTGCAGCTCGATAAGTGTATTAGTGAAATTGGAAATGGATGCCAAAGAACTGGTGGTAACTGTGATATATTTCGTCTTATTCTGCTCGTAACATCGGCGCAATTTTTGATAGTTTCATACTTATAGAAGCTCACGTAAATAATATTTGTAAACTGTGCTATTTTAATATCGAAACGGGGTTTACGTCCTACTCCAACTGGGCTAATCAAGACGGGCATACACCATACAGTGTGCTATGAGGGACATTTTGCCCGGACAGCGACACTACGACCTACTTTTAATCGAATTCCAACTGCAAAGGGAACTTTAACGTGCACGCCAATGGGTACACGGGACCTTGATTTTTCGTCCCATCTGAACGACTATACGTTGTTGCTTGCCAGAGCCCCTTTTCTGCACCAACTGACAAGGGGGAACCACTCCAGAAAATCCCGATGAACTTTCTCGGCCAACACAGGGACCCCCAGGTTAGCTATTTTAATATAAGAAGTATAGGAAAAATACGTAAATATTTCTAACTATAGACGCCATTTAGTCACTTGTTAATTCTCTTCCATGGTCACTTCACGATTAAATAATTTTAATACACTCTTCGTTGGTATACCTGTAAAGCTTATAGATAAATTACAAAAAGTACAGAATACTGCAGCGAGCCTTGTTACTTTAACTAAGAAATGTGATCACATAACTCCAGTTTTATATAATTTACACAGCTCCTGATTACCTCTCTGACTTTTCAGAACTTTAAACACCTGGTCTGACATTACGTACATCAGATAAACTACTTTTGAACCCCACATCAGCTGTTAACTTAAAGTCTCTTATATGGTCAGCGCTCTTTTAGTTTTCAAGCCCCAGTTTTATGTAATAATCTACGTTTTAGTTTAAGATGTTGTACATCTCTATATTCTTTTAAAAAAAACAACATTTATTTAAACAAGCTTTTAACCGACACTGTATCCATAATTTTGGTTTTATGATCATATTGACACTTTGTAAAGTGCTCATGAACACGTCGTGTGAAAGAGTGCACTATAAATAACAAAATCACTAGTATTGAATTGTAATCTGGTCAAATAAAATTGAAAACGTTTATAATACATTGGTCGTACTTATTGGCTGGCGAAGAAAACGTTTATAATCGTTTTAGAAACGTTGAATACATTTATTCGTTTGTGAATACACATTTAACGTTTCACCTGTGTTGCACAATAGCAGTCCATACATATATAAACACACACACACACACACCCTAACTCAACATTTCTAAATGACAGTTATTCATGCCGACGGATATATAGTAAGCTTCGTACAGAGCTCCATCGCGCTATGGAAATATCACGATCGATATCAGGTTTGTCGAATGGAAAGTACTATTGTAGAACATGTAAAACAACCAGTAAAAATCATGAAGAGTTTCTAATTCATATGTACAGTGAAAAACATAAAAATCAAAGGTTTTTACAAAGTCGTTACATGGACACTCTAACCGAGGTTAATTCGAACGAATATCTGAATGGATTTTTGGAATCTTTGTCTAGTTTTTGCAGGAGAAAAGTTCCACCAGTTGTGGTTCAAGAAGAATATTTAAAACGAGTGAATAATCCAGTATCAGTTGATAAGACTCGATGGGGAGACTTTGAAAGTTTCATATGCTGGATGAAAATATATAGAAGCTCTCTTTTTGACCAAAATCTGATGTTTGTTCAAGAAACGTCTATGCGTGGTCCCATTAAACGAGCAATTTTACCCCATTCTATAAAAAGACTGATAAAGCGAAGTGGAAATGGTTGCGAAAAAAAGTCCCCTCAAACAGAATGTACAATTTCTCGACGTAAGATTTCTTTTCCTTTGCAAAAGGCACACATGGGTTATAACCGTGTTTCCGGCAATAATTCCCTGATTAATGCACTTAATGGCGTTAAAAAGCAAAAGTCGGGAGATATTTTGGAATCTTCTGTTTTACTTTCAGGAACAAATATGAGCAAACAGAAAATAAACCATAAGAAGTCTGCACTGGATGAGGTTAAATCGGATATAGAAAGGGAGCGTGAAGCTTCCAACAGATCACAGAGCTGGTTAGCTAAAGGATTAGTCGTGCAAGTAATCACAGACAGACTGGGTGAGTCAGTGAAAAACAAAACAGGTACTATTTTATATAATTCTTTCAATGATACTGCTGTGGTTAAATTAAACCATACAGAGAAGTTAACTCCTGTTCATCAGAATGACCTTCAATCTGTTATTCCACCACTAGGTCAAGTTGTCCGAGTGGTAAATGGAGGATACAGAGGAATGGAGGCCAGGTTAGAATCAATTGATAATGAAGAACATAAAGCTCGTGTAGAGGTTAAAACAGGCCTGTTCAGTGGGCGAATCTTGAATATTCATCTTAATGATATATGTGAATTTAAAGACGTGTCATAAAAACAGAGATGTAGGATTCTGATGAAGATCATCTTGTTAGAAAAATATTGATTCTGTTTGTAGCAAACTTTAACCGAGTGGTATGTGATGAATCTAGAGAGATGTGTCTTAAAAACAAAGATCAGAAATTCTGATGAAGATCATATTATTGTCAGCAAACATTTGGTCCTAACCAGTCCCTTTACTTCGTTTTCTACAGTCGGGGAAATACTAAACCAGAACATTTATAGAGATCAGAAATTTATAATTTTAAACTTATACTGGAAATTAGACGATTTTAATATTAATATTCCACAATCTGAATGTGTGTACCTAGTGGCGTGGGTAGGATTAGAATCAGATTCTGTCAGTCCACTTATTTTTGAAAAGATTGTTGAATTTGAAACTATAAACCACCTCCCCGGGCCTTCACGCCTGTTTAAGGCTCTCGTCAATATCAGGGTATCCGGACCCCGGCAGGTAATCGGGGCTTAGTACAGGCCCGTAGAACGCTACAATGATGGTATTGGTAAGCGAACTAGTGTCACGCTCTGCCGCCAGTGATCATGCATGCGATTATCGATCGCTTATGTAAGCTGACTGGTATCCGATTATTAAAAACGAAACTGAAAGAGAAACTAATGTATTACTTTCATCTTCGTTTTGTCAGGTGCTAAAAAGCTTGATGTTTTAAACATGTAAATGTATTTGGTATGTCATATGATATGTTGTTGTGTTAAATGTGAGTTACTATAGGTATACGCCAAAATGATGCTAGAGACCTTGTATCTTCAAACAATTCGAGCCCCCCTCCCTCCTTGCCGAGTTGTTTATTATCTTGTGTTTAGTACTCGATTGAAATGATTATATATAGGCGTAAACACAGTGTATAAATATAAAATCATGACCTGAAACACAGTGTATAAATTTAAAGTCAATCGGATATCTTGAAAATCATTCTTCGTCTCATGACCTTAAACACTGTGTATAAATTTAGAGTCAAGGGCCTATTCTGCCAGTAATTATCTGAAATCGTTAAAATCAATAGGCTTCTTCATCTCATGAGCTTAAACACTGTGTATAAATTTAAAGTCAATCAGAGATTAACTTTAGCCTTGAGAGCATCCATGAGATTTTTCAAAGTGAACAAGGGCCATAACTCTGGTAGTAATTATCAATCGATAGGCTTTTTCGGCTCATGGCCTTTAACACTGTGTATAAATTTAAAGTCAATCGGATATTAACTTTAGCCTCTAGAGTGTCCTCGAGCAATGAAAATATACATTTCAATGTTGGCGTATCAAAAGTATTTATCTTCAGCAGATAAATATATGAAAGAAAGGACTCAATGTTCAATTCCATGCATAACTTGAGAAATTGAATGGAGTTAAATGTCTTATCAACGGAATACTTCATCCGTGTTCGGATGGGGCAAAAATCCGAAGTCCCATGTATATACGTAAAAGATCCCTCGGCAGTTGGAATTCGATATAAGAGTAGGCCAAAGTGCCACTGCCCGGGCAAAATTTCCCTCGTAGCACATAGAGAGAGAGATAGAGAAATGGGGTTTATCGTCCACTCGACACAAACTAGGTTATTTTGGGACTAACATATGGTTCATTTTTATTTCCATAATTCGCTTGCGCGTACGGTTCTTTAGTAGTTTTAGGAATATGAGGCCCCGGAGAAAACCCACGAGGTTGGATAGGCGACCCTACTCCTTGTCACGTACAACCGGGGAATCGAAACCCCGCCAGTTGACTCAATGACAGACTATATGATACAGCGCGCACGTGCTAACCATTCAGCCATCCATCCCAGTCGGAGCAAAACAGTAAGACGTTAAACCTCCTTCCATTTTCTGTCAATGGCAGACCTTTCCACTGTGATCCAGACACCAACCCTAAAGGCCAGGCTTGATAAATCCTGAGACCTACTTGGTGAGTGCCCAGATTGCTTGACTACTGCAGCCAGGACATAGATTCAGACAGAAGAAAAAGAGAAATGGGGCTTAACATTTGCTAGGTTATTTTGGGACCAACATGTCATTCAATTTTATTGCAATAATTTGCAATAGTAGTCCATTTATTCATCCTTAATTGAATATGATGTATGTACATATATGTATGTATGATGTCACATGTGAAAACACTCCATTACTCTATGCATATTGTTTATAAAGGTTTTCACATTTGAAAGCAATGATCACTATATAACACGTTTAGTTCAATCAATAACATAAAATTATACAGGATTCATCCATTACTGTCCATAGTTATTGAGAAACACTTTTAACTTTATTTTCATTTAGTTCTAATTTTCACACAAATGTCTAGATAGCCTTTCTGTGATATTCCGGGGGAGCCACTGTATAATCTTTGATGTTGAATAATGTTGATGAATTTTTATGTAAATATCTGAAAATAAAAAGGTATAAATATTAACATAATTTTTTTATTCAAATCTATACAGCATAGGCAAGAAGAAGTGGTTATTTTGAAAAGAAGAAATATAAAGATTTAGATTTGCTCTCAAAAATTCACACTAGATTTAAAGAGAGTGAGAGAAATGGGGTTTAATGTCCAATTTACACAAAGTAGGTCATTTCTGGACTAACATATGGTTCCATTTTATTTCAATAATTCGCTAGCATGTAGGGGTCTTAACAGTGGGAGGAAAGTGGAGGACCCGGAAAAAACCCATGATGTTGGACAGGCGACCCTGCTCCTTGTCATGTACAAGCGGGGAATCGAAACTTGACTCAATGAAAAACCTTATGATCAAACGCGAACCATTCGGCCACCCAACCCCCCCAGATTTAAAATAGACAAAGCCACACAACAAGATGAGTTAACACTGGATCATCATGATATATTAACATAGACACAAGTCATAAATATATTGAACTAGCCTTGAAAATGAAAGCAAGCCCAAATAAATTTTCTGTTTTACGTTTGTTTAACCTCATAGCCTGTAAACAGATTTACTTACTTTAGAAAATCATGTATATGTGTAAGAAGTAATTGCACACTTTTTTCATCTAAAGCTGTATAGGCCAACATTCCTCCTAGTTTTACTGAAATATACAACAACAGTCAACTAATATAGTGCTTAAATGATCAAATCGAATGTAATTTTTCTATACTTATCCTGAAATGCCTGGATGACAGTACATTTACATGAACAAATTGCAGAAACTACAGCACATACGGTAGTGAAAATTTCACTGACTTAATTTTATAAATGACATAATTTACCTAGTGATTTCCAAAGAATTAGGCCCTACAGAGTGGACACTAGCTTATATTTTTACCATGTTTGAAGGCATATCATTAATAGTATAATATAAAATTCCAAAGCTATCAAAAGTTAGTCTGGATCTCACTGAGATCTATACTTACTTGTACAGTTATAGGGATTCTTCCACCCTTCTACTACTTCCAGTGATAGGTTTATTTGTCACTACATTGGAATTTTTATGGCACCAGTTGATGAAGAGCTCGAAACATGTCCTCAATTAACCCACTTTACGATATGCAGTCATGTTTGTTGCTCAGGGGTTCATTTATTTGGAATAGCATAAAATGTTAAAAATTTCATTTTAATATAGGCATATGGAAAACGGCGATCAGATTATAACCCTCTCTTTTGAGCTATAAAAGGGCTATTTCAAAAAATGTTCCGGTTAATTCCTGGAATTAACTTACCAAATAATCTAAGCAGATGTGTAGCACCATATATGTTTGTTACTGGCATGTCAGCATGGTCTGTAAGAATCTACAAAAGTTTAATAATGTTTCATAAAACTTTCAACATAGGAAGATGATTAGGTTTCAAACACACCTGGCCATAATTAATGTCATGTAGTAGACAGGCTATGCTTACTCCTTCCCGAACAGCTGACACTAAATATCATTTGAGAAGTTCACAAAGCTAAGATTTCTTTTGTTGTACTTTTGCACATAAAATGAAATTGAAGTCAATAAATAAATATATGTCTGTTACATACCTCTCTATATTGTGGTCTTTCAAATTTATATAATAGATGTGTTCCTAACATGACAGTGAAATATTCACGAATACCTTTTGTTACTTCTAATATTGCATCTCTACAAACATAAAATAACACACAATGTATTTAAACTCACATTTAATAGTTATGTGCAGACAAACAGACGGGCAATGATTTATGGCATCATTTATTAATAGAAATGAAATAGAAGATTTAATGTTTTTGGTCATTTATATTTCCATTGATTCCACATACTCTTCAATTTGCCAACTGTGTGATAAGTGATAAGTAGAACCATTTGGAGAGTATGTTCAGGCCAGCAGAGCTGAGCGATATTTATATAAATAATGCCAACTATATTGAGAGTTCCGGTAGACTGATTATCATTCAGCGTTGGACGTGTCATTGCTGTCTGTGATACAGAAAAATGTATTTGACTAAATCAGTGGACACTTTTTTTATAGTATAATTTTTGCATTTTCAAGAAGGTATGTACTTGAAAGTTGAATGAGAAAAAACAAGATTGTTCTGGTAAATTTATAGCATCCAATCGTACCTGTAGTTATAAAAAAACATGCACAGCCGAAAGAACACAAATTTTTTTTTAAATGTTTTTTGGGGTGCCTCATTCATGTAAATATTCTTAATTTAAATAAAATATCATAATTAATATACTAGAAATAAAAATTTAAATAAACAACATAGACCAATATATTTAGCAAGTCTTCGTGGCTTAAGACAGATCTGTGTTTGAACCAGCTCATTAAATTTTGTTTATAAATTCTGTACTGTATTTAAGCTAAAAACTTTTAATAATATTGACTAGAAAGTGCCAAATGAATACTCCAGGGGTATTTCCAACTTTTTATGCATGTTTTTCTTTTACATTTAAAAAGTGATAAACTGAAATTATTGACATTGTATAAAATATTGCGATATAGTGATTATATCGCGATATTTTAAAAATATCGGGATATCTAGTTCCAGGGATACCGCCCAGCTCAACAGGCCAGTCACATTAATTAATTAGGATTGGGCCAGTCTTGTCATAAAATTTCTCAAAATGATTTCTTCATCACCATCATTGAAAAACAGTTTTAAAAAAATAATTAGTAGAAAATAAAGCAGATGTTTACTACTGATACCGAAATAGGCACTGCCATATTGAACAGACTGTGGTCTGAAGCATTTGCTGTTCCAATAATAGTTGTGACCATAATCTGTAGTTCAATATGGATGCTACATTACTTTATTACTTACTTATTTGGATTATTTCCTTTGGTCGTTTTTGCTTTGATGTAATCATCTAAAATTTGATCCACTGTCAATTTACATGGTAATGAGACCAACTGTAAATATAACACAAATATTACAAAATCAACCTATATATTCTTACAATATATTATTTTTCATGTACTCGAATTGAATATTTCACATTTAATTAAGAAAATCAAATCAAATCAAACCATAAATAGCAGATAATCTGCAGACTTGGATTTAATTTGATTAAAAATAGGGTCCATCAAAATATTTTACCAAGAATACAGGTGGTGCTGAACAGAACTGGACCATTTTAGGGCCCATATTCCTTTTCAACTTTTAGAGAATCAACTTTTATAATATTGTTATTGGCAAGGGATTCTCAATCCTTCAAATGATGTTCAGGCAAAAATACTTTTGATTAATGATAAAGAAGATGTCAACAATGGCTCTTCATTGCATACCGGACTGGTATGAACCGTCTTGTGCTGTTATGTCGCTTATCCTGAAATAGTTCCAAATCTTACTACTTCTGGCATGCATTTTTTTCCTGCGTTTTATCTAGTTCACTGCTGGTATTGTCTGGACACTATCAAAATGAGTATGGGTAAAAGTTTTGGAAAAGGCGGGAAAATATCACACGGTTTATGGTGACTGGAATGAAAGATGAGAGGGGGTATACCCCTTTGATGTCACGTGATTGCTGTCAGACATTCCGACTTCTAGAGTAGATGCCGATAAAAATTTAGAAATAATTTAGTGATTTGTATTTTTATGCTAGGCTACTTTAAAAATTTAGACATAATTTGTATCAATAAATAATAACTTATAATATAGATCATACTACCAACAAATGAGTTTTCATTAGATGGTTTTATTTTTAACTATAGTTCTAGAAATGGCGGGATAATGTCATGTGATTGCCACTGTTGACAGACAGGTCTAGAAGCTATCGCTTTGATGTTTCATTCATTACCACATGAACCATTCCGACATCTATTATTGACATACAGGTGCCGATCACTTTAGGGAATTATATCGTAATCAACACTTAAAAATGATAATCTCGACTTTATTCATTAATGATACAGCAAATAATTAAGTTCGTAATAGATGGACTGTATTTGTGATTGGGTAGGAAGCGTGACCCAATTTTATTACTTCCAAAAACACAGCGTTCGTGTTTGATTCCCGAGGTAAAATAGTACCATGCGTTTCCTGACTAACAATGACATATCTACATAGATTATCATGCCATTTGAGGCATTTTAATGTGTAATAGTTTTATATCCACCACTATCGGTAATTGTATCTGTATCGGCAGATATATTTCGCGGTCAATATCTGATATCGGTAAAACCGATAGGTGCCATATCGGACCATCACTAATAAATTCTAATTATTTATTAACTATAAATAAATCACCTACCATTTTTTGTCTTGAGATTAAATCCCAATCATCAACTAACCAAGGTTTTAATTCATCTGGTATTTTTATCTTTACTTCTATTTTTGATAAATAAGCTTCTTCCTGTAATATATATTACATTTCAAAAATTAGAGTACAGGTCACCATTTTAAAATAAATATGCCCTTAAAGACATGGGATTATATACTGTCTTGAAATGACACAGGGAAGCATGTGACACTTTCCACAAAATTGTTTTTCTGCCCATCCATCTTTCAGATACCAATAAAAATCAATTTTTGTGAGATAAATCAAAAAACATAGGATAATAAACGGACAAAAAGTTCCTTTTTAGATTTTTTACAAAATTATTGCCACTTTCAAATGTGTGTTTTAAATTATAAATTCATTAATAATTATAATTAAGTGATCAAAAAATTTACATGGTTTTGGTTTGGTGACAGGGGCAGTGCAAATTTGATATACAATTCTGACCAAAATTTGTATGAACAGACAATGCTGACCACAAGAAATATGGAGGTATAAAAATTGTAACATTAACAATTCAAACTGATCCGAAAGAAGTTTTCATAGCTTCAAACTTTAAATCATAATTGCTAAAAATTTCTTGAAAAGAAAAAAAATATACGATATATTGTAAGGAGGACAAAAATACAAAATTTAGTACCGGTATCATCTTATTGCAAAATAAAATGATTTAAAATAAGTCACTTGTAACCTTCTTTCTCTGAAGCAAGGATGTATTTTTTTATATGAAATGTATTAAATGTGTGATAGTAACATAACATGGTGCTCATTAATTTATATTCTTTATAGTCCTCCTACATTTACTTTTCGTGGTCTTACAGATTCTACTGTAGATTCAGCAGCTGTTCTCACACGCTTCCTCTTGGAGTCAGTCGAACTAGAAGACTCTGGAACAGGTGTTGAAGCTCGAACTGGGGCACCTGTATTTATAAATTAAACAATAAAGTTAAAATAATACACTATAAAGTTAATTTAACTGGTGCACAAAGAAAGTATTTTTGAAAAAGAATTAATAATTTAAATAATACTAACAACAGCTAGATGATATTTTCAAGCACAGTTGAACATAAAGTCGACAAGACATGTAAATTTGAACAAGCCAACGGTGAGACTGATGTCCCCTGCCGAAATCCCGAAAGAAAATAGATAGACACATATTAATTGCACGTTTATCTTTTTCAAAAGTATGTGGCAATCAAACTGATTATCAAGTATACACTAAGTTTCATCACTCTCTATCAGATAGAATCAAAGTCAAAGAAATTGCTTAGCTTTAGCGGGAAATGTTAATCATTGAACTCAGTCAAGACAATCACCTAATGAACATCAACATCAAGTTCAAGCATTCTACCTAAATTAAAAGCAATGTTGTTATGTTCCAAAGTCTTGACCAATCAAATTGTTTATCGCTCCTTAGCCTAAGCAGAAAATTCTCATCAAACTTAGTCAAGGTAATGATATAATGAATCTATACTCAGAGTTTCATAGCTCTCACTTAATTATAACCAAAGTTATCGTGCCCAAAAGCATCAACCAATCAGATATCTGCGTACTGTAAGCAGACAATGTTCATCATTGAACTCCATTAAACCATTGACCTAATGAGCACCTACACCAAGTTTGAACATTCTACCTCAGTAAGAAGGAGAGTTATTGTGTCTCAAAGTCTTGACCAATCAAATTGCTTATCGCTCCACTTACCCTCAGTAGAAAATGTTCATTATCGAAGTTAGTCATGGTATTGATGTGATGAAACTATACACCATAACTTTAGTTCTAATTAAAATTAGAACTAAAGTTATTGTATCCCAAAGCATCAACCAATCAAATTGCTTATCTCTGCTTACCCGTAGCAGAAAATTCTTATCTTCGAACTCCATCAAGGCATTCACCTAATAAACACCTACACAAAGTGTGAACAGACAGACGAACCCATTTTAATAGTCCCCTGCTTCTTTGAAAGGCGGGGGATAAAAAAAAAATGAAATAAGAAATGTAGTATGTAAAGCGTAGAGAGGAAAAGATGGAAAAATTTTCTTACAACAAATATCCAGTATCAATCAATTTGTATGACCCCTCGGCCGACATCAAATTTGACTTTTATTGATATCGAGGCAAAGTCCATTAATCTAGGTACCATTTACAACTCACAGATGTAAACTTGACAACTGTGATCATGTTTAATATATGATACCATTTATATTTGTTATAACTTTAACTAGTGAGATGAAGTCAAGTCATCCTGGTGCCATTTAAACAGTTTGGGAAGTTTTTGGAACATTAAATGGACTCTTAATCAGAGAACTCCTGTGGTATTTCAGTAATTATCCTTACTATGGACAGATATTTAGTAATTACTCAATCATTGAACTCAGTCAAGACATTCACCTAATGAACATCTACATCAAGTTTAAACATTCTACCTAAATTAAAAGCAGAGTTGTTATGTTCCAACGTCTTGACCAATCAAATTGCTTATCGCTCATTAGCCTAAGCAGAAAATTCTCACCATCGAAATTAGTCAAGGTAATGATATAATGAATCTATATTTGAAGTTCCATCGCTCTCACTTCATTATAACCAAAGTTATCGTGCCTCAAAGCATCAACCAATCAGATTGCTTATTTCTGCTTAACTCAAGCAGACAATGTTCATCATAGAACTCCATAAAGGCATTCACCTAATATGAACGCCTACACCAAGTTTAAACATTCTACCTCAATTAGAAGGAGAGTTATTGTGTTCCAAAGTCTCGACCAATCAAATTGTTTATCGCTCTGCTTACTCTGAAACTATTACACCAAGTTTCATCACTCTCACTTAATTAGAACTAAAGTTATCATGTCCAAAAGCATCAACCAATCAAATTGCTTATTTCTGCTTACCCTAAGCAGAAAATGCTCATCTTCGAACCCCATCAAGGCAATGACCTAATAAACACCTACACCAAGTTTGAAGATTTTAGCTCAATTAGAAGGAGAGTTATTGTGTTCTAAGGTCTCGACCAATCAAATTGCTTATGGGTGTGCTTACCCTGAGCAGAAAATGCTCATTATCAAACTTAGTCAAGGTATTGATGTAATGAAACTATACACCAAGTTTCATCACTCTCACTTAATAAGAACTAAAGTTATCGTGTCCCAAAGCATCAACCAATCAAATTGCTTATCTCTGCTTACTCTAAGCCGAAAATGCTCATCTTCAAAATCCATCAAGGCATTGACCTAATAAACACCTACACCAAGTTTGAACATTGTAGCTCAATTAGAAAGAGAGTTATTGTGTCCCAAAAAGTGTGACGGACAGACAGACGGACGGACAGCCAGACAAACCCATTTTAATAGTCCTCTGCTTTCTTCGAAAGGCGGTGGACAATAATACATCAGATCAACCCAAATTAATACTTTATTTTGATGTAACTAGGAGATGTTGTAAAAAGAAATGTTGTATAAGTAATAAGTTATAGCAGGTGAATGTATAATATATTTAAAAAGTTTTACAACTTAATGATCACAATATAAATTTACCTCTGGGCTTTTTCACTACAGGTTCTTTTTCTGTCGCAGACGTATTTGTGTCCTTTTCCTTGTCCTTATCCTTTTCTTTAGCTTTGTCTTTATCATTGTCTTTTTCTTTCTTTGTTGCTTTAGCTCTCTTAGTATTTCTATAAATAGAATATTCAAGATAATATTTCACAACAATTATGGTCCAAATATTAGTCTTGGATCAAAAACTTTCTTACTGTATTTTGTGTTTAGTTACAACCGTTTTTTTTTTTACAGAGAACTAAGACAGAATGTTATAGTTATAGAATGCAATGGTTGCTTCCTTATTTGTGACTTTGTTTGGCCAAATGAGACAAACATACCTGAAAATATCAACCCACAACTTTGCATCTTGATAATTCAAAGGCTATTTATCTCTAAAAAATATCTGACATGTGATGTTGGTTTACAACACTAGCCATAACATTAATTTTCAGAAAACAGGGATTGAAAATTACTAAAATAAAGCCAAACTCTATGGTATCCAAAAACAGCAAATTTTTACTTTGAGTGGTGGCGAAATAACAATAAAATAAGGTCTTCTTTTAAAAAGATAAATATGCTTTTTTTTAAAAAAGATAAATATGCTTTTTTAAAAAGATAAATATGCTTATACAAGAAAGACTGTGCATTCACTTTCAGTGCAAATGAACCCATTTTACCTTTGACCCCGAATATCTCGAAAACGCCCCAACGGCGGACTGATTACCACTCAGCATCGTATTCTACGCAAAATTTTTTGTGCCCATTTGGTGGACCCTCCCCCCGTGTTGAGCCTCCAGACTATTAATATTTGCACTTTAGGTTATGCATACATGTATACTGAAACTAATTTAACATGGTACCACATGTATATAATGAATCCAAAATTTCACATGTTTTGTATTAGGCCGTGTTGAATTGATTCCTTGTTTCTCCTGCCACCACTCTGGCAATCATGTGCGGTAGTGCGGTAAACACAACACAAAGTGGGTTTCAAAACACAAAGTGGTCTGGCATAATACCTATATAGTCTGAGGGTTGTGTACCATTTTTAATAATATTATAAATAATCTAGTTATATTATTGGTTAGAATAAAAACACAGATAATATTTAATTAAATAAATTTAATAACAAACTAAAATTTGGTAACAAGTGGCTTCTTTGTTTAACTTTTTAAAAAATGAAATAACCATATTTTGATATAAATTTTCCGTATTCTTGTGTTAAAATACAATGGTAACATTCCAGTTATAATTTGATTCGCTTGTTGAGTTATAGATGGTTTCGATAATATCATCGAACGTGAAAGTGCTGGGAATAACCACCAAAGTCGAGTCGAGATAAGTAAATTCGCGTACCGGTCGGCCTAATTTATTTATTGATGTTCAAGGAAATAATAGTGGTCTCGTTTGTTCGTTCGTTTGTTAAACTCCAGAAACGAGCGAACGGGGCCACTATTATTTCCTTGAACATCAATAAATTAGGCCGACCGGTACGCGAATTTACCTATGTCCCGGCTAGCTCACCATTTTGTAAGGCGTGCGTTATTTATTACACAAGATATGATTGGGTAATACTTGAATAATAATGACACGAGTTATAATTTTAGCCAATGAAAAAATTGATTATTCAGGTTCGCGGTTGAATATTAGCGATTGTCTTACAGTTTATAATATGCTTTCTCATTAGCCGAAATGACTGCTACACGCGCCATTTTGCGGAATTCATCCAATCATATACAGTGTGACTTATTCCATAGTATGCGGGCCCCTACATGTGTATTATCAACCGGATCCATTCACTTGATTTGATATTTGTTTATTCGGTGCAATGCCTATTTTCTGTCTTGTCCGCAGGTTTATCTTGTAGATTTTTGTTTTGCGTGTAGTGCGGCCCCCTGCACTTACTTATTTAGTTCGTAACGAGGAATAAACAACGAGAATTGACTTCTGATGTTTGGTAGAATTTTATTTAGATGTTATTAACGTAATTTTTTGAATATTTTTTTGTGTGTTAAAAACGTAAGCGCACGATTTTCGGGGTCCTCGACCCAAGCGCGCGGGCGAGGAGAAACAAGGAATCAATTCAACACGGCCTTAGGTCTTACCCAGCATGTGCTTTTTGAAGTTCTTTTTGTTTCTGGTGACCAGCTTCATTACATTTTAAAACTCTTCCTTCTGGTACCCATTCATCCCAGCTAAAAAATTACATGTTTAAAACTTTGATCATATTATCCCTATAAAATAATGTTTTCTTGACACCAATTAAAACAAACTATATTACCTTTCTAAATAGTTAGATTTTTTTTTATATTCACAGCAAAAGTACTGTAAAACAATGGGGATACTCGACTGAACATTCCGGAATTGAATTATCTCAATCCCCAAAATAGTGACAATCAAGTGAAAGGGGAATTTTGCACAACAAGGCAGGCGTTGAATGCAGAACATAATATTTCAACCAACCATGACAATTGAAACATATTCATTCTGTTTAATTATGTCACGATTCTACTCACACCACCTCTGTTGTTGGGATTGACAGAACGGTGATAGGACTGAATTCCACCCTACTCAATTGTAATTCTATCAGTCCCGAACGTTACGTACTGACAATCGAGCATCCCCAAGATTTTGTAACAAAGGGGTATAACTCCAGCAGTTATCCCTGCACAGAACTTCAAAAGGTCCTGATAATCAGTAGGATTATTTTCCGTGATCAGTTGGGTCTCTTCATTTTTCTGTATGTATTGTAAGAACGGAGTTATTGAAAACCAATGTTTTAGAAAGACTGATGGGTCACTTTACACTAGCCTCTAGAATTACAGAAATTACATACATGTTTGTGAAGTTTTGACTGACCTAGATGTTATGTTTTTGATTTTTTTCAATGTGGGTGTATAAAAAAGATTTACTTACTTTTTGTTCCATCCATTATAATGGATAAAATACCTAATAAGTTTGTCCTTCACCTCATATTTTACACACTGTAAAAGAAAAAAGTTACATTATCATACAGACAGACTCTCCTAAAGCGGTCAGATGCGATTGTGTGCAATTGTGTGTCATTGGGTTTGATGCAACTGGATACAAGTGAGAGTCTTGCGATCTGATGCGACTGTGAAAAATGCATGTTGCAGCTAGTTGCACATATTCTACTTTCCTGCAATTAGTCACACTACCGGTAGTTGCAGCCAAATAAGCTGTTGAGCAAATGAATACAAATACAATGTAGTTAGGAGGGGATGTTTAGGCATTCAATGTCTTTCATAGTTTACCTCAGATCTGAATTACATGATTTGTGTAGATAAAAATGACCAACAATGCTATCAAGAGAGTTTGATAGCTCTTCGGAAAAAAAGACCCTATCTTTAAGTCATGTCCTCAAAGATATATTACAATCATGTTTTTAGAAAAAAAGAAAAGACAAAAAATCAATTATGTACCAAGTTAGAGATATCTAGTAAGCCAAATTGTCTTGATTACGACAGTGAAATGTAGATCTACCGTATCAAAATGATTTTATTTTCTCATACGGAGACATTTTGCCTAGGATATTCTCAGAGTGGTATGAGGGAACTGTGTTAATAAGTGAAAATGGCTCTAAGGGATTGTATTCAATGCAAATAAACCCTTCAAATAGGTTAACATACCTTGGCTTCATAAAGTAATGGCCCGTGAAAACATAACACTTTCTCCCCTACAATAAATATTCAGATGATTTATTAAAACAGGTATAATAAAAAAAAGTATATATATATATATATAAATATTGGAGCAGACAATAATATATAGATGAATGAACAAGAAAACATCAATGAATTGATCATCATTTGAGGGGATTTTGAATCCCTTGAAAATTACAATATTGGATTGCAAAAGTTGAATCTCAGAAAGAAATATCAGTCCAAAACTGATTCCATTCTGTTCAGTATAACTATAATACAAAGTTATGATGAATGCAAAATTTCACAACATTCCGCATCCTCTGCACTAATTCCTTTAGGAACAGTCTCTGACCGTTCCCATACTTGAAAATAGTGTTGAATCATTATAAATTTGTGTCAGATGATGCAAGAAAGATTCCTTTTGGCGAAAAAAGAAGAATCACGGAGAAAAAAGAAGGTAAAAATTCCAAAATAGCCTTAGAACAGAGGTGTAGGTACACGTAGAGATTACATGTCATTTTGGTCCCACGTCATTTTGAACTAAAAAAAATATGGCCTCGATGTTACGGTCTCGGGCAGGTGACATTTCGGACTCGGGAATAAGTTGAAAGGGAAGGTTGAACACAACTGTCAACGTTTCCTGTAAAAGTAATTTACAGAATAATATGCAGTAGAATTTATTTCAAAATGACCTACACAAAAAACAAGATTGCGGTACACTACCAATTGATAAATTAGTGCATACAAAGAAAACTCTTTTTGGAAAATATTAGAAATGGCAACAATCCAAGTGGGATAATTAAAGCTGATTAACCGATAATCCCTATGTTATTGTAGTATGCGCAAAGAAACCTTACAGTTCTTTAGCAGACGAAGAAAAACGTGATTTGACATGGTTTAACTTTTTTATTTCAATAATTCGCTTGTGTGTAGGGCTCTTTAGCAGTGGGAGAAAACCGGAGGACTCTGAGAAAACCCATGAGGTTGGACAGGCGACCCTATTCCTTGTCACGTACAACCGGGGAATCGACCCCCCCCCCCCCAGACCGTATGATGCAGCGCACGCGTGCTAACCATTCGGCCATCCAACCCCCCAATATTGGATAGAAGCCCATCTTTTCACGGTACGATAACAACATCAATGTTGATTTAACCTGACCAATAAGTTGTGTTTGCAATGTCAAAGACTGTGGATGATATTGAGTTAAGGACTTGCCTCCTTTATTAAATACATGTACTCAATTTGAGTACATTTTAGCATGTAATAAAGGTCGTGACAAAATTGGATATTGTCCCCAGAAAAATATAAGTATCTATAAACTTGCCTGTAGTTGTCTAAGAACTGAACTAGACAGCCAAACCCCAAAATGAAATTTTTCCAATGCCAAAGAAGGGAGGCCATAATTTCATATTTTACTTACTGCTTTTTTGACAACCTTTTATATTCTAAATGACAGAAATAGTCACCTACCTTCCTGGAATTTCATTTTCGGTGGCATAACGAAGTATTAATTTAAAAAAATATAGCAATTATGAGACGACAAAGCAAAAAATTAAAAGCGCCAAGTTCTTTATCGGGAACGAGAGACTCAGAGATATAGTATAATTCTATGCTCGGGAAGTACGTCATTGAAATATGTGTTCAAGGGACATAACTACATGGCATCTGGTCACAGATCACTAATATTTTCCCCCATTGACTTTAATGTTAATTCTCGTCTCTTAGACCGGCTCTAACTTTTTCCCAAATTTTCGTTGGGTAGAACGCTTTCTACCACAGATAGAGCAACATGTGGCAACCTCTTGCCCAAAAGCACATATGAGGTTCACCATGCAAAACTTGAGATACACAAGCTGGAAGTAGAGACAACAAAACATGCAATTTTTGAGCCTACATTTCAACCTAACCAACCTCTCAACTCTTGAATCCTTCCGCCTCAAAATCATGAATATTCACCAAAACCTGGCAGAAAATGTATTTTCAAACCCTTTTCTTCGATGCAAAAGGGGGAAAAAGGGAAAGGGAGAGAAAGACTAAAAATAACTTTCGACCTACCGGCGTAGAAATATTTCGTCCTGTGTCCATATTAACATTCGGAGTACCACGTCTCTATTACCTACTTTTGTTATAAATTGTTCTATCTGGAATCGCAGATATTACATTACTCCTGGTAATTCTACTAGGTTACTGTGGTAAATTCCATATTATCGAATAGATCATACGTCGGTTAACTGTTTGTTTTTTTGGGGGGGTTTTTGTTGGGTTTTTTAAATTATATATTTTAGACATACATGTATATCACCTCTATGATCATTTATATATTATTTATACTCTTCAAAAAAAGTAGGGGATATATTTATTCAGAAACAATACAAAACTGCGGAAATGCACTGCTGTTTTTATTAGAGGTAACCAGTGCATGTTAATAACAGGCCAATTGCCTACACATGAACATTTAACAGTTCATAATTATGGGCGGCTTATCTGACGGCCCTATTTCACTCGCAAAGAGATACACTGTCAAAAGTGAAAATGGACGTTTTTAACTCTTGTCTTAATAATGGGTAATTGCTACAACAATCCTCAGACATTCAGCAGTTCGTCGTGGCATGCTCTTTAATCAACCGTCAAATCACGATTTGGGGCAATGTGGCCCACTCCTCTTACTGTGCCACGGCCAATTGTGCCAGTGTTGTCGGTTGACGTTGACGTCGACGAACACGTCTCCCGATCATGTCCCAGACATGCTTTATAATAGGGGAAAGGTCAATACCCATGGCTGGCCAAGGCATATGGACAATATGGTGACGCTGGAAGAAGTCATTCACGACAAGAGCGCGGTGGGCACGGGCATTATCATCTTGAAAGATGAAACGTCGAACTGCACATTGAGCAAAGGGTAGAACTATCGGTGCCAGGATGTGGTCACGGTGGTACACACCAGTGATCATTCCTTGAACAATATGCAAGTCCGTTCTGCCAGTCATGGTGATTCCTCCCAACACCATAACAGACCCACGCCCGAATCTGTCATGCTGTCTAATGATAACGTTAGCATGACGCTCATTTACACGCCTCCAAACGCGAGCACGCCTATCGGTGAAATCCAGAGTAAATCTGGACTCGTCGGAGAACATTACACGCACCCATCGACGATTACCCAATTTCTACGCTGCCTGCACCATTGACGCTTGTTTGCCATGTGCTGGCGAGTTAATGGAGACACAACACGCGGTCGTCGCGCATGCAAATGGGCTGCATGTAGATGATTTCTAATCGTTTGGGGTGTAAGTCGAATTCCTGTAACTTGGTACAAGTTTACAGAAAGATGATTGGCCGTTTGTCCTCGTTTTCGCAGGACCTGTGTACGAATGTATCGATCCTGGGCTTGTGTAGTGGCTCTAGGACGACCTGAACGAGGTCTACCATCAACATTGTGTTTGTTGGTACCGGTTCCACAATCTGCTGATCACAGACTGTGACACATTACGCATGTTGGCTACAGCTCGCTGTGTAGAACCCATTTGAAGCATGCCAATAGCACGTAGACGCTCATCATGTTGAAGACGTCTCACTGCAAATTAAACGTAACTCACTAAAGCAAAGATACGCTAAACAGTAAATCTGATGCAAGAACCGATAGGAAAGCAAACATGGATAGGATAAACCAGCACGCGGCAGTTTTCATCAAACCTTCCTTGAAGTGTCAAATTTTACAATGAACCCCTCCCACGTGGATGGCGCTATTGCGTGTCGCACGTGCAGCTCAGTGGTTTTGTTGGGGCGATAAGTTCTTCATCTGTGAACATTCTCTCAAAGCATGTCAAGTGTCTATGACTATTTATCATATCACAACCTGCATAGGTATTTGCAATTGAATTTTCCCTACTTTTTTTGAAGAGTGTATATATAGGGATATATAACGTCATAACGGCCCTATGTCATAAGGGCCAAACACCGATTTGGTCAAAACGGCCCTAATTTAGTCATAAAGGCCAAACAGTTTGGTTATAACGGCCAAAATATTCTTAATTTAATGAAAAACAATATATTAAAACAAAACATCGATGTGATGCGACAGTTATACAAAACATGTGTCCTGAAGTACAGACTTCTGGCGTATTTCGCCGAACTTAACTGATGACAATTCACAGTAAAACGGACACGATTGAATGTAAAACAGTTTATATAAATTCATATTACATTAATATATGTCTTGCGACCCATTTGTGCCAATTTCTAGGTGCAAAATATTAACGATGTAGCTCCTTTAAGTCTCTCACTTTTGCCACGCCCGCCCACCATCATGTTTATCAACATATACATCAAGCGCTCCCTAACGCCAAAAGTTTAGACAATCTACGCATGCAACCTTGATTGTCACTCGAGCAGACACCCCTTAATCGTCAGGCTGTCAATTAGTGACACCCTTTCATTTTTGCCCTGTGCGCGGGTCATGAGTTTTTTTCAAGGAATCCAGTAGTTTTCTAGTAAGATTGGGTGTCTCTTACACACCAAATTTGCCATACTTTTATTGGAAATAACCACCCGATAAATAATTTTGTGGGAAAGTATCTTTAAAGAATTTCACCAGATTTAGTTAACACGCCATGTACTAGGGCCTACTTTACGGTGTCATTTGCCAGGCCTTCCGCCCCGATGAACTTTCTCGGCCAACACTGAGATCGAATACCGGACCCAAATGCAGGTTAGCGAGCCAACGTCTTACTCTCCGAGCTCCCACGGCTCCCATGTTTTAACGGATTATTTTTGAAAAATTGCTGTGAAGCACTGGGGTCACGAAAGGCCGAATTCTAACGATATTCACCGTTCTACAACATTCAGTTCTGGACCTATCCCGTTTGTCGAAAACTTTTTTAACGCGGTAGAGCCTACAGTTTTTAGTGTCCAGCGACCTTTCGTTCAGGAATTCACCACCCTTCCAAAAACCTTATCAACGTTATATACGCTGCGGTTTTTAACTTACCTTTCTCTAGTTTGGTGTGAAGGAGCAGATGTCACAGTTTTTAATGGTTTTGTTTCAAATCGGGTGTCAATCATTGGATGAACGCTACCGATATTCAGTGTTCCGCGATCTTACCCTAACCCAGGAACGAGATACGAGGCCTCGAATAGCGCCGCTGATCCGCCGATTTCTTTTTCAATTCTACTGATATTTTCGACCATAAAAATAGTCAAGATGATATTTGGGGGCAAGGATTGGCGCCGGTCTGGGATCTATCTGCGCCGGTCTGGGGTCCAGCAGCGGCACCCGTCTGTAGCTTATTAGTGTGGGTATGGGGTCCAGCGGGGCACTGGTATTTCTAATGGCGGTGATCCTGGGTCTATAATCGCCGATGTCCGGTTTGTTTTTCTGGTTCGCAAAGAGCGGCGCCGGTTTGGGTGGTTCGCCAAGACCGGCGCCGGTTTTTTAGTTGGTCTTCTCGCCCCTGCCCTAACCCACTTGCGGTTGGCAGTCCCTGAGTAATGTTGCCAGGTTCTTTAGTAAATCTAAAAGCATCAACTTTCACCGTCCGACAAGCTATGTTATAACGGGGAAGGGAGGCTCGTAAAATCAGCCTGACAAGATGACGTGATCAGAACCAGAATCATTGCATTCGCGAACGCAAGCCCGTTGCCGGGGTGGGGGGGGGGGATGCCCCCATGAAAAAAATGTTTAACCCCCCCCCTCCCCGAAAAAAATTTGCCGACCATAGCTCTAAAATACCTACTGTAGACTGTGCCGGGTGTCCTCCCCCCCCCCCCCCCCAAAAAAAACTTCACTGCCCCTCCGCAACCAGCAAGCTAGCTACGGGCCTGCACGAACGTATCGGTGCGGAACCGTGTTGTAATTGGCGGTATTGGGTAAACCACCCTGCCGCATTACGATTGCCCTATCGACTTGTGTTTTTTTTTTGTTTTTTTTGATTATTGAGTAATATCCTTGATTACGTTATATAATACTATTTACGCCAGAACGCGCCAGTGGTATTATACTATATATTGATTTTGCTATATGTTTGCATAAAAATTTACAATGCAATAACCTTTTATGAACTGCTGGGCGATATTGCTTCTGTTATTACTCGCCTGGTAGTCTATCAATTAAACTTTTTTTCTTATGCTTCCTCCAATGTTTGATCTACTCCAAATTTTGATACCTTTCCAGAGGGTCTGTGATCCTAGGGCAGCGAATATTCGTCTAACAGTACCTATTCTATACTCAATAAGATATGTCCGTTCATGTCCAATTGGTTTGATGTGCTACCCTCAATATTTGATCCAACCCATTTTCGGGGACTTTTTTTGAGCACCCTGGGTCACACACAGCAGGGGTTCCCTGGCAGACATCCATATCTGAATATATTAGATTACACAATAAATGTTCCTGTACTCGGATACTGGTATCTTGGTCGCTTGCCCAACATGCTCTCATGGGCTGCTGATCTACAGACTAGAGAGAGAGAAATGGGATCCAACGTCCACTCAACACAAACTAGGCCATTTCGGGACTAACATATGGTCAATTTTATTTTAATTATTCGCTTGCGCGTAGGGGTCTTTAGCTGTGGAGGAAACCGGAGGACCCGGAGATAACTCACGAAGTTGGACAGGCGACCCTACTCCTTGTCACGTACAACCGGGGAAATGAAACTACAGATCTTATGATACAGCGTGCACGCGCTAACCATTCCGCCATCCAACCCCACTCTACAGACTAGAACTAACACTGTTCTAGCGGCCCAATTGCAAATTCACGAACATATGTCTTCATTGTATAAAACCTATTTGTCAAGCATATGACGACAACTCGTAAGTGTTATTAAATGCCGTATTTATTTCAAACTTGCGAATTTGAACTAGTACGTTTTAAAATCCCTGGTCGTTATGTACAAAATAAAATATTGTGAAATTTGTCAGTCAAAAAAATGGTTCAATTCATTTCAGTATTAATACAGATTATTATTACGAATTACAAATTTGTCAGCACACGGCATCCACTGCAGACGATGTATATTTTTTAGCCAAAATAAGCACCTGTATTCTTCTGATAAATCTCCTGATTTGCCATTTTTTAATTCTACTGAATCCAAGCCTCGAGATTAATTACCGTTGATATTTTGATTTTGTTTTCTTAACTAAATATAAAATAATCAATTTGAGTACATTATAACGTTGACAAATCCGAGAAAAAATGAGATATTATCCGAAAAATGCAGATGACGTCCAGCGACTTTAAGCTGCCCCTCTAAACATTTGTTATAAACAGTAGATATAAATTTCATATAGGTATATTTTGTAAAGCAAGCTTGGGGCATCTTAACCAATAATCAAGAGTTACATACAAGAGCTTGACATTCCGAATAGAATTATTCTTATGGAATAATCCTCATGGTTCTATTAACACGCACCACCATCTTATAAAATCAACACCAAATTTTAGAACCACTCCTGAATCAACATTATCGATTGCTACCATTGTTCAAATATGATCTTGGTCATATTCAAATTAACTGCATGGGGTTTGAAGTCCTACTTTTCAGCACCAAGTGAGCAAATGAAGACGGACATACGCCTTGTATGCGTTTCATCGACATCCAACGACCAATTGTTCTTTTTGGCACGCCAACGTGTCCACGTGTCATCGGTTTTTCGTTCCACCCGAACAACTACCACAATTACCTCCTTCCACAAAAATGATCGTGATATTGATGAAAATGACGATAGCTACGACGATTGTAATATCACTGACAATGACGACAATACTCCGTAACAGTAAACTGACGATTCCATTGGTACCGTATTGAAAACTGGTACAGTAAAGATGTTAAAGAAAGTGAAATTAATATACTTTGTACGAATAGAAGTCTGACTAATGTGACATGCGGTAACCAGTATATAATGGTTCGAACAATATAGGTCAATGTAGATTATATATATATATATATATATATATATATATATATATATATATATATATATCCCGGACAATAAAACCTGAACTGGGAAACACACTGTGAGCAATAATTCCACTTTATATAAGAACAAAAAATTACAATTTGATGACACATCACTTATAAATCTTCATTACTGACTTTTGGCGCCAACTTCTCTTCCTCTGCCTGTACGGGTACTGTACCTACAATTATTCCTATACAAACTTCTATAGAGTCACAATTACACCCCGACGGCTCCAGAGTATACTGAAATTTGAAAGCAAAAATATCAATTATTTAGACTATTGTCAAAATATACAAGCATTAAACGATACGACCAGTACCAGATCGACAGTGGGGTCCATCGCATCCTCCCTCCACAACACATGTCGGTCGCGTAAAGTAATGTTCAAAAGGTCGGTGGATCATAACTAACAGCCCTTGAGCCGATTCAAGGCATAAGTTACCTGTCACTATTGCCAAAATATACGCCCTGCAGTCACAAAGCATTAGACGATACGACCAGTAGCAGATCGGCAGTGGGGCACAGACCACAGGGCCCATCGCATCCTCCCTCCACAAAATTCAGTATATAGTCTTGATCTGCCAAGCAATGTTTCAAAGGTCGGTGCATCATAACTAAAAGCCCTTCAGTCGGTTCAAATGTTCAGACTTCTTTTCATTCATTAGTAGAGGGAAGACTGCATCCTCAAATGCGGAATGTGATGGGTTCCCCACAGAGGTTAAGGTTAATATGACCCTGGATACGACCAGGAAGTACTGAGGGTTATACTAGTTTACACGCCTCATAAGTATTTAAACAAAATAAATTAACTAATTCGCGATTGGCATTGAATCATGAGTTTTATTTTCACCACTGTTATTTTGCGAAAAACCTTTCATCTGTAATCTTAATTAACCGCCCATCCTAAAGCCAAGACCAGGGGCAAATCCCTAGTCGCATTTTTACCCAAGAATAATTAGACCGTATTGTGATTGCTGTTAATAGACTAAGTATTGTGCTGGAAATGTCTGATCTTGTACATATTGACCCGTACCCACGCATTTCGTTTAGGTTATATCTCTAACCTGGAGGTTATATTTGGGGTCGATTATTCCGCAACCAGCCAGACCGGAAGGAGGTACATCTGGAATCTGCAATGGACTTATCCAGGTATCAGTGACACCGGGATGTGTCACGTGAGATGCTTGACCAATAATCACTTCCTCTGTTTTCACTTTATCAGATGAACGTAAATTTATTGTCTACAAGAAAAAACAACAACAAAGATAGTCATGCGGAGCGTGGAAATATACCCTCCCATCGATTTTGTCTCAACTGCGTCTTATAACTAAGACAGGAAAACCTGGATGCTGATCAAAATATTGAAAAGAAATCTGTTAAAAAGTATAACATCTACCGTGTTACCAATGTTTTCGGAGAAGGGGAAGGGGGATAGGGTTCGTCCTCTCATGACCAAATTTGAAATAAATCCGTTAAGAATAACATTAACAGGGTTTTCGAAAATGTTTTTTTTTTTTTTTTTAGGGGATGGGCGTGGGGGGTTACCAAGGACCAACTGGTCATTTACAGCTGAAAATCGATAGGGTTCGTCTTCTCACGACACCAATGCTTCAAGGACAGTAACTCCAACGAGAACAATCGGAGACAGCTGACAATCGATAGAGATCATCTTTGAAAAAAATCCGTTAAAAACTCTAGTATCTATCACGTTAACGAGAAATTGCGATGTCAGAATGACAAGGTCAGTAAGTCCAATACGGAAAACCGTAGAACGCTGACAATCAACATGGAACATCTTTTCGTGGTGCCCATGCTTTATGCAAGTTCGAAAATAATTCTCCAAAAACTCTAACCCCTATCGCGTTAACAAGAAATTTTCCTGTCGGTATGTAAGGCGGAAGAACTCTGGAACAAAATGCCCGTCAAGACAGGGACGAAGACTATTTACGTCCAAACTGCGTGCGGCCGTATAAAAGTAAAGCAAGTAAAACAGAAAACATTTAGATTTAACGTGTATAATTTAGTTTACCATTAGTGTCCAAAGAGCATATTTATTTTCTGCATTCATCGAAATAACGTTTTACAAACAAAATGTGCGAATCATTGCCGCCGTTTTGGTATCACTCCACTCTACTCATTATACATGTAGGCTTATGAGCAGAAATATTGTCACAGAGCTTATGATTTTATCAAACTTTCGGGTAATCCCCAGAACTTACGCCAAACATGACTTTGTCTCCACTTTGTACCCCCCGCTGCTCAAATTCCTGAAACCCTAATAATGGGATTACGTGTATTAGAGAAATGATGTACTGGGCAAATAAATGGAAGAATGTAAGAGACGGCTATAGCAATTTGTATAGTTAATAATTAATTTATGATTTGTTGTGTTTTTGTATTACCATTTTCATCAATAGGTGTGAAACACAAGCAGTACGTGTATGATTGTTAATCCGAGCAGTTAATTCTATTTCATCGCCAACAACGAAACCTCGTTTAGCCATTGACAATTCTAAACCGAACACACCCATTCTACAGCACCCACAACACACAGTTTCTTCTGCATTATGATCAAATCTTCCCTGGAAAAAATTATATTAAAATATTGAAGAGGCGAGGGACAATTATTACGGCTGTATATTACTCATGCTCTTGTTAAGACAACGGTTGTCATTTGCAGTGGCGCATCTAGAGTTTGTGCCGCCCAGAGTGGTCCTTACACCCACCCTCCACCACCACCACCACCACCACACGAAAATCAACATAATACACTTTAAAAGCGAGGTATTTTCGTTGGAAATAAAATTGTGCCAGGCGCCATGTGTCCTTCTGCTGTCCCAACCAAAGGTACTGCTCCCAAAAAGTGCCGCTATCCCAGGATCCCTTTCCTCAACAGTTTCTTCACATGTTATAGTTTATTGGTGAGTTTATCGCCCACAGAGATTGTGATATATTTTTGTTAACTTTCCAGAAAAAAAACAATATAGACCACGCTGTACTCACTCACCGTGGCCAGTGCTGCTTTATTAAGATCGTGATGACCAAGAACTATGAATGGTTTCTGAACATGGTCATCTTTTTTCCATGCTTTGTCAATAGTAGCTCGTGCATAATATCTAACGTAACCATAACGGCTTTCAAATGATGATGGCAAGCCTTCTGGTAACTGGAAGTTGAATGGGAAGTTGTGTTTTCCAGCAGCAAGGATTTCATTATGTTCGCTATCTACATCTGAAAAGTTCACCATAACATAAGTTTGGATTTAGGACTTTTTAAATGTACATTATGAAAAGTTTGAAAAAACAATATGTAGAAGTCTTATATATACAGTGAGATCACTCAAAATATTAAAAATTCGGATGAAAAATTATTCACATAATATACGTCTAAAATCGTAATTTCGACAATTAAATTGCAGGACCAATGCGCAGACCACGATTCGACACGTAACCACAACCAGATAGACTGCAATCAAGATAATATAGAGCTTTATACTACTCTTTTGGTTCACCTGAAACCACTGCTCATTAAACTATCAACAGGAATCATTTCACAATACATTATTTCCCTGTTTCTACAAAGTAATCGAAAAACTAACCTTCTCCCCATATTAACAATCTCTCGTTAAAATAAACTTCTTCCGCTGTCTGTTCAACTGTTTCAGTCTCTTTACGTTCTCCATCCTCAGTCTTTAATCTTTCTGTCCATTTTACATGAGCTTTTCCAAAGAAGGTAACCCGTATTCCTGCCAAATTAATAATAACTAGACCTGTGATGCAGATATGATAGGTTTCACCCGTGCCCTTTAACTTCCAAACCATTACTACCACTTTGTTTTAGAATTAAACTGACAAGGTATAAAAAGACTAAAAACAATTCTAGATGTATAAATGATGCATATTTGAAACAGAATTGCACTAGTTTCATAAAGATATCTTGAATAGCGTGTCTAAGATGTGCTATGAAACAATAATTGCTTACCAACCAAAACCTTATGCAAACTGACAAAATGTTGATGTGTGTACAAAGTTTCATAAAGATATTGAACGGTTTATGAGATATGATCAAGACCATAAGTTTACTAAAAAAAAACTAAGTTATTCAAGGATATTTTGAATAGCAAAAGGCATAATTAATATAACAGGCACATTTTCAAAAATCAAAATTCTGAAATTAAAAATATTCAATGCGATCCCCGTGTCGTCAATGCCGTGCAGTAAGATAGTAGTTTACGGTGGGTAGATTGTTTATTGCATTGTTGTAGGCATCTTAATATAAGGAGCAATACAAAGACAGTGGCTATTTAGACATATGGGGTTACCACACAATATTCAACCGATTTCCACGAAACGTACAGGTTATGATATATGATAACATTAGCGATACCCCAGAGTAGCCACTTCCGGTTAGGGGTTTCCAAGATATCTGGTTAGCACATATTTCATATTGAACGACTGCAGCTCGCAATTATCAACCGATTTCCATGAAACTTACAGATAATGATATATGATAATATTAGCAATAGCTCAGAGTAGCCACTTCCGGATGGGGGTTTCCGAGATATCTGGTTAGCACATATTTCATATTGCACGACTGTAGCCCGCAATTATCAACCGATTCCCATGACATTTACGGAATATGATAACATTAATAATATCTCAGAAGTGGCCAAAATTTCGGCCGCTTCGGTTAGCGGTTTCCGATATCATGTTACCAAATATTTCATGTGGCACCACTGCCGATCACAATTATCTTAGCCTTCCGATGGTCTCGAGGGATAATTGGGGAATTGTCATGTGACAATTGCAAAAGCAAAACAATATTTTTCAATTCTGAAAAAACTAAGATCTTTAAATTAAGATCGAACCCTGTCTTGTTTAACAATGAGATTCTAGAAGCAAAGAGGCCCCGTAATAAAGCTGAATGTGTGTGGCGTAAAACAAAACTTACAGTACATAAACAAATTTAAAAAAATCAGAAAATTACAGTGGATAATCTTATTTATGAAGCTAAAAAGGCATTTTATTCAAATAAAATTGATAATAGTCAAAATAAGCAAAATGAACTGTTCCAGATTACAAAATCTCTATTAGATCCTGATCATAATGTTATTAAATTACCCAACGATGTGACTGCTGAACAACTGCCTGAACGTTTTTCACTATATTTCACAAAGAAAATTGCCAATATTAGAGATGATCTCGTTGCAAACAGTGATAAGGACATCTTTGGCATGTATCATTCCCTACCGCCAACACTCTGTAATTTTTCTTGTGTTTCCGAATCAGAATTATCGAAAATTATAATCCGAGCAGCTTCAAAATCGTGTGTTCTGGATCCTATTCCAATATCATTCTTGAAAAAGTGCCTTTCAGACATCTTGCCTTTCATGGCAAATATCATCAATAGTGCCGTTACTGAAAATACTGTTCCAGATGCATTTAAATCGGCTATTGTATTTCCATTAATAAAAAAATCGAATCTAGACCCTAACCTTGAGAAAAAAAACTATCGCCCAGTATCTAACTTAAGCTTCCTTTCAAAAACATTGGAACGGATAATCGCTAGTCAAATTATAAATCATATCTGTGATAATAATCTTATGGAGCAACTACAAAGTGCCTATCGTAGGTTCCACAGCACCGAAACAGCTCTAGTTTGTGTTCATAATGACATAAACCTCAGTCTGGACAATCGTGATTGTGTTTTATTAGTACTTCTAGATCTGTCTGCCGCGTTTGACACTGTGGGTCATGATATTATGCTTCACAGATTGGAAACAGAATTTGGAATTTCAGGAAACGCACTAAAGCTTTTGGAATCATATACCAAAGGAAGGTCACAACGTGTTGTTGTGAATGGTATTGTCTTCTGCTCCTCGGACCGTGCCATCTGGGGTACCCCAAGGCTCCGTCCCTGGCCCCATTCTTTTCAGCCTATATACTAAACCGCTTGGGAACATTGTTAGAAAACATGGTTTATCTTTTCATTCATATGCTGATGACACTCAACTTTACATATCTATTAAACCGTCTCAAAGTTATTTTGAGTTTTCTAAACTCAATATGTAAAATTGTATATCAGATATTAAAATGTGGATGTCCAACAACCTTTTAAAGCTCGATGGTGATAAAACCGAGTATTTAATTATTGGATCTAACACAAATTTAAATAAATTAAGTGATACTCCTGTGCTAGTTGGTCATAATTATATAACTCCTTCTAAATCAGCCAGAATATTGGCGTAATTTTGGATTATCAGATGTCTATGGAATCGCACATTAACAGAATTTGTAAAACTGGTTATTTTAATCTCCGTAACATCAGTAAAATTAAAAAATATATTTCAATTGATGCAATGAAAACCTTAATAAACTCCCTTGTTACTTCTAACTCACTTTTATACGGCACTCCAGCTAAACATCTTGATAAGTTACAAAAACTACAGAATTCTGCAGCCCGTCTTATTTCAGGATTATCTTATCGAGACCATATTATTACACCTGTACTTTGTGAGCTGCATTGGTTACCAATTGTTTTTAGAATAGAATATAAGATTTTACTTTTAACCTATAAGTGTTTAAATAATTTGATCCCTTCCTATATAAGGAAGTTTATTCCACAGTTTAGGTGAAGCAACTGAAATGGCTTTATCACCAAAAGACACAAGATTTGCTTTTTTCTCAACAAGGAGGTAACAATCTTCAGAAGATCTTAATTGATGACTCGGTTTAAGAAAGCTTTTAACTAGCTCCTGATGCTGTCTGTTGTTATATATATTTTAGATCAAATCTATTTTATATTCTATATTTAACAGATTTTAACTTTTGTCATTTCTATTTCTATATTTTAGATTAAATTTATTTTATATTTAACAGATCTTAACTTTTGTTATTTCTATTTTTTTTTTAATTTTATCACATCTTTGTGTTTATCATATTGTAAAGCGCTTCTGAACACTGCTGTGGAACTAGCGCTATGGAAATGTATGTATAATAATAATAATAATAATAATAATAGTTTATATAGCATTTGAAACCAGAAAAAGACCTGCAATAGGCATTGGAGAATTAAAACGTGTAACAGTTTACTTTCATAATAATAAACCCAATGCATGTTGGGCATCTAAGTAAATATATATACTGCGACCATATGAAATACTTAAAGGTGTTAGTATGACCTTGAATCTCAGTTGTTTCTATTACCAAACTTGTTAACCTAAAATTACCTCTAATTTTCATTGGATCTTCCAGGATAAGAGACACTTGTCCCGTAACACTTTCACCAGATGAATATGTAGAGTTACTACTTGAATAAATCAGTTCAAAATTCTCCTGTTTCACCATCCTGTGCTATTTATATCCGTATTATTATTCTACTCCATACGTTTAATTCCTATAATTATAATACCATGTAACACACACACAATGTCAATAACCTATATAGTTCATAGGATCGATTGTGACCACAATTCCTTGACGATGTCCACAGCCCACAATATTCTTAACTAATATACGAACGCATTTTGATGCTGCCCTTGAAACGTAATCCACATCCAAGCTACAATGAATGTTGTGTCAAACCACTGGTTTAAATAGTGTTAAATAAATTTCCAGATGAAATGAAAATTCTGCAACATGAAAGACAAATAAACAAAATATTTTCTAAACTGAAACACCCTTCCGCTAACACGTATATTTTTTTTACCAATGTTGATCCTATGATGATATACTCGAATTCGAACCATTGAAAGCCTTGCATTTGATAGTACCGGATGCACAATTAAATTTAGAGGTAAACTAGATACATGTCCACTTTAACACTTTAGAACTACTAGCCTACAGTAGCAAGCAATATCACTATTATATATTACATCAAAACTGTCTATAGTTTAAAATATATCCAGTTTTCCAACACCTATCACATTCCGATTTTGAGATTCAAGCCTATCAATATGTAAACGCGTGATATTATACCATTTAATGACGTTAGTGTTTGAACTAAAGTTTCTCTGATCATTAAATGAAATTGAAGTAAATGTCACAGCGTCATCCTTTTAACTCGATTACCATTGAAAAACCATTAATCATGGTTTGAAATAATTTTAAGAACATCATCTACTATAAAAGTATGAGCGACCGTCTTTAAAAGAGATGAACGGCTTTTAAAACGCGCCCATCTCAGTCCTCTCATCTATTAGCAGCTATAAATGATATACATTATGGCGTAATAGCCTGAATATGCCAGTCAAATTTAATTCCTGTGTCAGTTTCCTAAACAACAAACGGTTACATATATTCTAATTGGGAAGCAAATGTATCCAATTGGGTTAGCAGATAAACAATAAAATATTGCCACAATCCAATTAATTTATCATTTAAATTCCAATAGCTGGAGTCAACAACAGGTTTACACTACCTTCATTATTCCATTACAACAAAAACCAGCGACTGTGTATTCCTGGTAATTATTTGCAAAGAACAATATGGAATCACTCTGGCAGACAGTCAGCAGTTCTGCAGATATTATAAATGGATATTAATCTATTTAATGTACACGGTGGGTCATGTGATGTCATTAATGGTGACGAATCAGTTCAGGTAATAAATAGCTATTAAACATCCCTCATGTGCCATTATTGTAATTATATATTATGTCGGCCAATATATGGCTTTCCATGACTGTCATAAATTATTGATAACCATTGCCAATACGTATAGTTTCATATTAAAATGTCACACTGTTATTCAGACAAGACTTTACATCAATCTAAGAGAGGTATCTTCGTGAACAAATGCAAGTAGAGTAAGGAACACCGTTTTTTTTTCTTCGTGATCTAATCTGAATAAAGAGATATCAAGTTTTATCTATAAGCTAATCTGAATAAAGAGATATCAAGTTATCTTTGTAATTAAATTTAAATAATCTAAAGAAATGGATGTATTTGAATAAAGATATAATGAAATGCCGCTACCTAATCTGAAGAAAAAGATATATTACATTTCTTAATCTATTCTGAATAAAAAGATGCACCACGATTTTTTTAGTAATCTAATCTGAATAAAGAGATACCACACCATTCCTTTACTAATCTCATGTGAATAACGTGATACCACACTATTCCTTTAGTAATCTAATCTGAATAGAAAGATACCACACTGTTCCTTTTAGCAGGCTAATCTAATGTGAATAAAGGGGTACCACTCTACTCCTTTCGTGATCTAATCTGAAAACAAACACATTTACCTCATGGTCTAATCTGAATAACAAAACATAACAATAATCCTTTCCTCAATCTGATTAAAATACAGATCTATATTTCGTTTCGGTTTTTTTATACTTTCGATGGCCTGCACTACACTACATAGTAAAGACAAGTAAAACGAAATTTTGAACTATAAAAACGAAACGAAATAGGATCTGTGTTTTAACCAAATTGTCCTTTCCTGATCTATTATTTATAATGTAGCGATGTCAAGTCGACACGCCTTGTATAGTTTAGTTCTGGTTATCATGTTTTATATCATAAATTTTTGGGTTCTGTAGCACATGCTAGAATCGATTTGACGTATTTCTAAACCATGGCATACCATACACTGACGCTTGGTTGAAGGACTAAGTCCTAAATATTTAAACATGAACATAGTTAACGCAATCAAGAACTAGACGACATGCGTGTAAAGAAAAACAAGTTGACTGGTATTCCTTACAATGGGTACCTGCCACGTTTCATTCGATTACTTTTTTAATTAACTGACACAGCCCCAAGAACGAGAAGGTGGTCAAGATTTGGATACTGGCTGCGGCACCGGTATATAAATTTACTTTAAGACTGGCCAAGGACGTTACTGGCGAAAGAATAAATGTCAGTAGGGTTCGTGGTAACGGTTAGCGTATTGGCTGGCCCGTGTTGCAATTCCCGATTTATTTTCATTTTCCTAAATTAATTTAGCGAAATAGATAAAGTAAAGACAGATTAATTGATTCTGAATATTATGGAAATATTAATTTGGAAGCAATCAGTGAAATTCAGGGCCCAATAAAGCCTACAATCGTCCCCTTGGCTTAAAATGTCTATGGGGCCATTGTATCTGAGCAATGTCCGTCGCACACGCAAATGCATTTGTATGTCAGCATGGTTGATAAATAGATTTATTTGGCACAACATAATAATCAAATCATAAATGTTTATTTTAGAACTAATTTTGGTACTCCTTTAACATTGGGACTTCTTCCTGCAGTCTGGTCACCGCCCCGCTTAATCTGGGCCTTGTGGAGTTTGGTTTAATGTTGGATCCCGAAATAAAATGGAAAACCTCTCAAAATATTAACCCAGGGTCCATCGTACATAACTTTACAAAAATGTTGCTTTTTTTCCAAAATAACTGGGAGGCGATATTAAATTGAACCATATGTTAGTACTGAAATGACCTAGTGCGTGTCGAGTGGACATTAAACTCTCCTTTATGGGGGCAATCAGACAGAGTTTGGCCACAAACTCAACTCTTTCTAGAAAGTTGTTTTGTTGGGATTTTATATTTGAAAGAAATCCTAGTGTGGCCCTACAGACAATCCTGATGATCTTTTACACAACAGTAAACCTTTTCATTATTCATAACATTTTCACCGCAACACCATTCTGATCATACGGTTTCTGAATTTGCATATGGCTACAGGATAGGGGCGAGAGGGAGGAGTTGGTGGGTGGGGGCAGTTGACCCGGGCCCAGGATCTGGAGATGCATCAATTATCCCCTGGGCCCTGGCCTGTAATGCCATTAATTAATCATTATTTTTTGAATTTATATATCCGCTCAAATATAAGCGACAATATAAAACAATTATGCTTGCTTTGCCATTTAATCCATACAATTATTACATATATCTCATTTAATTGCTTTTTCTTCCTTTAACAAGATTTAGTAAAGAAGACCGAAATTATGACTACTCGTATGGGGGTCATTCCTTTCCAGCGGTGAGAATCTTTTTTACGCCACCGTATGGAATACCAGAATCGAAGAAAATGTGGCCGGTATAAATACTTATACTTTACATTTCTAATTCTAATTGGTTCTGTCTACTTTTTGCGTCATACAGAGTAATAGGCTATATATTTTGCCAGATGATTATCGGATCAATGTATCTGTAGAAGTAGATAATATATCTGTTGATAAATATTTTCTCCAGTCTGCTAAAGTAATTGAACAGGATTTTTCTTAAAGGAGATTTTATTTCATTTCATTTCATATCACAATTTATCACAAAATATTTATAAATATCGTTTGACTTAGAGTTTACAATAGAAGTATAAAAGTATAAAATTATAAAAAAAAAAGGCAGTGAATTTGAGTATTGAAAACATGAGAATATCTTTTATACATATATATACACAAACTATATTTGGAATGAACTTCCTTCGTTTTATGACATCGCCCTCTTTCTGGGCACGTTTATTATTCTAGTTATATATACAAAACATATATGATGCATTTGCAACACACTTGAGTCATTTACCACGATTTGCGTTATCTATTATGTACACATAAATTAATGACGTATGATATTTATGTCTGGCGTCTCAGACAGGACGGAATATTAGATTATATTAGGACTATTGCACTTCCCTGCCAAATCATCTTCTTGGAATGAGCATTGTATCAAAAGCCGTTTGGTCATCAACACGTTGGTTTGGATGTTTTAAAATCCTGAAAAAGGAATTAAGAAATTGATTGAGAATACAGACACATAAACATAGCCTACGTGTAGTAAATATTTGTGTGATTATGGGAGTACTTATTAATGTCCTGGTGGATAAATACTATGTATCTCAAGCGGCTTAACGAAACTAATTACTAAAACCAATAAGTTTTGAGGTGGAATCATCGGCATGGTGGCATGAAATAAATGGGATCACGTAATCTTGTCATTTGCAGCAGTGAAGATTATGATGACGGACGGGAATGTGAGTCGTATGGACAAAGACAGACAGTTCAGATGTTTTGGGCATGGAAAAGTTTCACCCTTCTGATTTCTCGTTTGAAGACCATGTAAGCTGAAAGGAATGGACTTTAAAAAAAAACCATATGCATACCTCGACAAATAGCTTTTAGAATCATTTCTTTGCTATCTAACAGGTCAGCATAGCTAGGTATTATTAGAACATTTAAACCGTCAGCCCCATTAGCAATCATCTCTAATTCAGGTTTATTATAATCTTCTCCAATGTAAATTACATATGTTTCTATCTTCATGAACTTGTTTCGTTTGGCTTCGATCAGAGCTTTCTTTGTCAGATCCATATTGTTATCGATGAAAACGACGGCGGTTTTCTGGACGTCTTTCTTGCCTCTAATAAGTGTTCGTCGAATTTTCTTCAATAGGTGACTCATTTCAGGAAATATCATACTTGCTAATTTGGCTTGGACATCGCTGATCTTTTGTACTTTCTTTCCAAAATTAATGTAATTGGGTGATTTGCTCAGAATCACTGCTGTGTTGATTTCGGTGTTGGAATCAAATTCTCCAAGGATCTCGTATACGAAACTAATTATATCTGTAGCGTGTCTGGTACCAAGACCTAATTGTTCAACACCGAAAACAATATCGACAGGACGATTGGGTGCGCATACTGAAAAAAGTAAACAAATACCAATAAGTGAACCGCCTTTTGCCTTGACGTATTAAGTTTAATCTTTACGTGGCAGAATAAGATTACTTTCCAAAAACTGTCTGGATAAAATTTTGATTGGAAAAACATTGAGATATACTTTTAAATTTAAATGAACTTGTATTTAATATCGTTTGGCATTGTTTTGATTCCCGTGATAATCATCGTTTGGCACTATAGACAAAATAAAATAACAATAAAAGTAAATATTAACAAAAATGAAACTTACTTTTTGTTTCTCCTTCAAATGGAGGACTGACTTGATCTGAAAAATATGAATTATCACAGATATAAGGCAATGTTTTAAGATTCTTCTATACTTTGCAATTGATATATTTTGAATTTGACTCCTCCCAATGACCAATGAATAATCCCACCAAAGTTTTAAAAATTTTCAATGAGAAAATTGTCCCAGTATCACGTTAACAAGCTTAAAAACATTACAATGTGAGCAGAAATTCGTTTGAAAATTGAGATCTAAATAATTTGATATTTTGTCCCGCTGACAAAAGGAACTGTTCTTTATTGCGTTTGCAAGATTTAGTAAATTTGAACCATTTAAGATCGGATAACCCACAAGAACATGAAATTGCGAACTGGCAAATGTATAAAACATTTTTAAAGATGAGAATTATAGTTATGTACTTACAGTCACATTCCTTGATATGTAGAAGCTTTATCAGGGATTCAGCCAGTTGTGGATTTTCATGTGAAAAGACGAAATTCTGAGCGGGGGGAGATGCGATGCTTTCTAGCTCACTCGTGTCCACGGTTGGTCCAACACTGACAGTGTATACATAAACTCCTTTACTTCTTAATAAAATTGCGTTCATCGCAGTAGATTTAGCATTAGTTGAGAAGCCGTTGGTCAACATAATCACAACGTGTCCAACTTCAGGTCTGACTGAACTCGGAGTAAAAACCTTGTTTCTCAAATAGTTGAGGGCCCCGGCGTTGTCCCGCTTTCCTCCAATTCTGGGGATGATATCAATGACGTCTCGGATCTGATGATGTTTGTTATATTCGCCAGCCTCCGTAACCATATCAACTTTTCCACCATAAGAAATGATCCCAATACGAACTGTATCTTGGTTCATGTAAAAGATCGTGACTAGTTCTTTTGCAAAATCTGTCTGCTTCTGAAGTTGTTCTGACGACACGTCATCTGATGTGTCAATAACGAAATAAACGTCTGCTTGTTTACCTCCACATCCTGAAAAGAAGTAGAATAGTTGAAATATCCTATGACACTTTAAAGAATAACAAAGTATTTCTTGTATTTTTGAATACTGACCTAATCAATGTTTATTTCTAAAGTCGTCTGTATGTACAATATATACAATCGCTAAGATACTATGATATAAAGTCATAAATAGGAACTATTATATAAATTATTATAATACTTACCCCGTGGAATACTTCTCTGGGTATAATCTACCATATCACCATACCATGAATGTGAGTCAGACTGCATACCATCAAACCATTTATCTATTAATACAAATTACATAGACGTGATATTATAATTATAGACGTAAAATAAAATATGGTGATATTAATTGAAAGTTCAATTCGAATTCACGGTTAATGATTATATAGAAATTTATTTATAAATCCTAAGATCAAAATTTTGCTAGAAGGCAATGTTGCTTAATGGTCTAAAAAGTAAGAGGCATTTATTGTTCTGGCTGATATTATTGTTTTTCGACAGGACATTCATATTAAATACTATTTTAATAGACCAATTTTGTGTGGTGATAAACGTGTCCTCCCAGGAAACATTATGATTATAATTTACGTTAGTTAAGATCACTTCATATTTAGCCACAGTACTAGACCGATGTTAAAGGTGGAGTCGTGCAACACAATTAGATCAAATCTATTTCTTTCATAAAAAATGAACGGGTATAAATTATTTTAGTAAATGACGCTGTATTGCTTGACATTTTAAATGAAGTTTTTGTGTCTACAAAACAGTGATTGACCTTTATATTAAAGGGTAACGGGGTTCGTGATATGCGAAATTTACTGTGCATACTGAAAAGCTAATATCTCGAAGTGACGGGAGGTAATACCGATTAGAATTCATGGCACGGTTTCGAAGTTCGATTTCACATCCATTCGAAGGCTTCTTCGAAAGAGTTGACGACTTAATGATTTCTGTCCTAAATGATAAATGTCACCTTCTTAAAGTGAAAATAATGTTGTTTAGCAACAAATTAATGACTTCTCAACAAAACATGTCGTTTAAACATCAAAGGCATTTTCTATTTGTACTCACCCAAAGATTTACTGTTTCCTCTCACAATCTGAAACATTAATAGAAAAATATGTTGTAGAAATCTTTTTGGTAATGTTTTATTATATCCTACGTTCAAGAAATGGCCCTAAAATATTTTTAAGTACAGTATAAAGCTTTGATCCACATCTGAATAAATTTGTTTTCAAGTCCGCAACCATAGGTTTCAAATTAATACCAAAACGCTTTATGCATATGAGATTTTTTTTTTTTAAATAAAAAAAAGGGATACATTATCAGAGACTCGAATTCTATAATTTAGCCAAGATATGTGAACATATTGTAATAATTATATGTACTTACCAGGAGTGACATCAAACATAACACAATAAACTGATTCATCTTCATTCCTTATTTAAATAAACCGTATCCTAAGCAAACTCAAAGTATATTATATAGCGTTACAATTTCTTTCACTTTGTTAGCCGTTTCTCGTTAAGAATGATTCTTACTGAAACCCCGCTTATATTTATACCCAAAGTACCAATGCAAGGGGGCGGAAAATAAATTTTCCCGACTGTGAATATAATGTCTTTTCCATTCATGAATTTCTAGGGCATAGTAGACGTAACCATATAAGGAATACCAAGTTCCGTCGAAACATAATGATTGAAAGGAACGTCAACGAATGGGAAGATGAATATATGTGTTCGGTACATTCCGTAATAATAACGAGAATACTCCCCCAACGGAAAAGGGCGAAGATTGCCGAAGATTAACAACGAAGTTGTATGCCAGATGGAGATGTTGAATATAGGAGCGGATGACACGCGTCAGTAACGGAAACTTACATTCAATATCTCGTAATTCTTATAAAATATTTCAGATATTTAACCCGGCCTTGCCTTTACACCCATTGAGCAATTGTAATTAATTGCAGTCGTTGACAGCATTCCTTCCAAAAATAGAAAGAAAGTTATCTACTCTTGTTGCCATTAACGCTCCTTCTTATTTTTTTTCTTTTATTAAGAGACATTTGGAAATGATTGTCATTTCTATGGCACTTCATGACGTTTATAGTAAATATATTTTATTACTAAACAATCTTGTGTTTCACTAGAAAATAATTTTGAGTGAATCAAGAATTTATTTTTAGCCATCACGTTAAAATATATTATGAGTGAGTGTGGAATCATTTCTGGTGCGACTCAACTGATTTACTGCCAACGTTTTTTTTTTATATAGACTCGTAAGTTATTTATAGAGCGACGACCTTGTGTATTACGATGTTTGTAAACAGCAAGCAGAAGTTTCGAGTTATGAATCATTTAACCATACACAAAATACTACTCATAGTTATTCTTTATATGGAAGAATCTGATACTATAGTTGGAATCCGAAGATGGGCTAGGGGAAACGCTAAAGTCGGGGTAGTATCGTAAATTTATGCGATAGATATAGGTGAATGAGCCAGGGGAGCTGCTCCCCCCCCCCCCCCTAACTTTCGGGCAATCCGACTTTTCGGGCAGACGGGTAAAGTGAAAAATAATAATTATTATTTCATCTAGATGGCAAAATAAAGTGCCAAAATCTAATAAAACACTAATTTTACTTTACTTTTAATTGAATACAACGATATCGTTCTGAATTGTCTATGGGTTAAAACATTTTGTCTGAAGCCACTCTACTTTGTGCGACAATTTTCGGGCATCGATTATTAATTATGAATGCAGCTGCAACAGTCTGGTTAGATGGTTGGAATTCAGGTCGGCATAGGGTGGGATTTCGGTTACAAAACCATTGACAACTTAGGAGTTGCTTAACTCGTGGGCTAAAATAGCAGAAAAACGCATTTGCGGCGGTTAGATTTCCAAAATTTTGTCCGGGAAGGTCCTCGAGGAACCCATACCCCACGACGATTGATTAGTTGTTTGGGATTTAGGTCAGTCACCTATAGGATAGGCTATATTGGACCACACTGCAGTTGCTGGAATAGCAGAAAAACACGTTTGCGGCAGTTAAATATTCAAAATTTTCTCCCGACGGTACCATTTCCGTGGACTGTAAACGATTGATTGGTTGATTGGAATTCTAGTCAGTCATATTAATTAGGCTATATTAGACCACTTTGAAATTGATGTATTCACGGGCTAGAATAGCAGGAAATGCGTTTGCGGTCGTCAAATTCTCTAAAATTTGCTTGGGGGTCTCTACACAGTAAGGCCCGCTCTCACAGAAGACCGGTGCTTCCGCCTTTAACCCGAATATTTTTCGGGCATTTCGGGTTCTCCCCCCCCCCCAACCGTCATTGTACCCGTACGCCTCTGTACATACAAGGATACATACTCTGCTACATACTTTTTGTTTCATTGCGTGGGGTGGGGGGACTTTGTATTTTAGTACTTGCTTTTACAAAGATTGGGCAATTGAAGAGCATCACCCTTTTTCAGTCAATAGTAATTTAACGACAAACACTATAATATAATGTTTTATACAATTGATTTGAATTCGGAGTAAACTATTTGTGAATAAAATAAATTTTACACAAAATATATTTACTCTTTTAACAACAATGGAATGGGATTGAACGTCTCGTCAACAAATTATTCGGCCACATTGACAAGAACATAGGGTATTTTCTGTTGTTATGCAAGGACTGCCAAGGATTCTTTTTCGTACTATCCAGTCTCTGGAGCCACGGTGGCTCAGTGACCAGGAGTTCCGGGGTTCGATCCTAGTGATGACCGAGAAAGTTCCTAAGGATTTTCTAGCCTGGTTTCCCCTTGTCAGTTGCGTAGGAAGCAAGCGACTAGTCGTTCTATAAGAATGGTAAATCCTTGACGGATGGAATTCAATTAAGAGTAGGTTGAAACACCGCATTCCTAGCAAAATTTCCCTCACACTGCATTAGGAATGTCTGTCCTCACCGTATATCCCTATTCGTGCAGAAAAGTAGGACGTTAAACCTCATATCCTTTCATTTCATTTCATTTCCTATTCAAGCTTTCTATAACAACCAATTACACTTTGAGGAATTCGCATAGAGTCAACGTTGTAATTTTATATTTGGAAACAATTGTGGAGAATGTTCGGTAATGAATGATTAATTCTGTATTTATAAATACCCCCCCTCCCCCAATAAAACTGGCATCACGTATTCAAATATTCTCATCATGAATCATGTAATATAATAATGATGTAATACGATATCCTCCATGAATAACATAATGTAAATGCCATTTACAAAAAAAATAAATAAATAAATAAAAAATAGAAATCAGTTGAGGTTTAAAAAGGAATTTCTGTTATTAATCTAAAAACAGATAATGTTAAATAAGTCTTGTTGCTTTCAACATTATGGATGCACTGTGTGGAGAATATTCCTAGGGTTAAATAAAAGGCCTAAGTTAAAATAGAGCTGTTGTCGGGATGTCACGTGTATATACACCCGTTGTACCCGTCTTTGCCTCATCTGGTTCAAATAGCTGACCCCATCTCCACTTGCTGATCATGCTATATTATCATTAGGTCTATTTGTATTATTTTTATTAAAATAAAATTGAACTATGTTAGTCCCGAAATGACCTATTTTGTGTCGAGTGGAGGTTAAACCACATTTTTCTCTCTCTGTGTATTATTATAATGTAATAATATAAAGGTCAGTAGGTCAATATCTATGATTATATTAAACCCTGAGTTGAATAATTATTATAACATGTACATATTCACTCAGCAATAAACAATGTTAGTTATTATATTAATAAATAAACGGATTACATATAATTAAGCCAGTTAAGTAATTCAGAAGCAGTTTATCTTTGAACGAACTAGATGGGTAGATAGGAATACTGAATAGATCATGGATGAAAAGATGGATGAGCGTCAGTGTATTAGATAGTCCCAGGAAAGAGTACAAACTTTGGCCATTTCTTTCTTCGAACCTTCAAAGATTCTAAAGTTATAAAGCTATAACACAACACATAATATAAAGTTTTAGTCACCATGTGATATTTAGTCACCATGTGATCTCTTTTTTACAGCTTTCCTATAAATTTTAAAAATGTACATGACTGCCATCGATATAGATATACAAATTAAGGGCTGATTCGAATTATTTTAGAAAGAGATAATTTTTTTTTGTAATTTAGTTCTTTTCAGTTAATTTTTCTCGAAATATTGGAAATTTTTGTAAGACTGACCAAACCTGCAGCGAAATATCGAACAATATACATTGTATGATTTATTACGTTTCGCCAATATTCAAAATGTGGGCGTAGAACATTAGAATTTGGTTCAAATTCAGGTCAAATTACTGACTAGAAATGTAGGTTAAATAACCGACTTTAACGAACACGGATTTAAATTTCTGGACATCTAATTACATATAGACATTTGCAATTTACTTATTCGTTCAAATGGACGGAAGTCGACATACTTTATAAAACATTATGCAAGTTTTGACGTAGTTCCGTTAGGTGCAGTCTGTCCATTTTGTATCTGCAGCCCCAGGCATTTTCGTGAACTAGACTGACCACAACATTATGTCAAATAATTTGCAATCTCCAAAAACTGGGATAGACCTTACTTTAAATATATTTTCCGTACCTTTAAACCAAATTAATTTTGATAAAATATAGGAATATTTCTAAATTACCGGTAATTAGAATCCTGGAGAGTGGGAGGGGGGGGGGCTGACGCACCGTTGTCCACCATTTCACACGTAAAATCGTATTTCGGGTAAAGTGGTTACGAGCGCTTTTATTTTGATTTATTATCTTGCCCTTAGTTTGATTGTTGGTTACTACATGTTCTAAGAGGCAGGCCTTACAAGAAAAATATTTTTTACCTAAGAACTATAGTGTTTAATGATATTGCGACTTAATAGAGTCGCCTCGAATATTTCAATTCGCAATTTCTCTGCCAATGACGCCCGGGATGAAATAACTATATAGACACTAGTTTCGAGTTTGATCGATGAACACAAGTATAACTGTGGAGTGGAGATCATGGTTAATGGCTTCGGGGGGTTGGATGGCCGAATGGTTAGCACGTGCGCGCTGTATCATAAAGCCTGTCATTGAGTCAACTGGCGTGGTTTCGAATCCCCGGTTGTACGTGACAAGGGGTAGGGTCGCCTGTCCAACCTCGTGGGTTTTCACCGGGTCCTCCGGTTTCCTCTCACTGCTAAAGACCAGTACGCCCAAACGAATTATTGAAATAAAATTATAGAAATAAAGATAGATTACCAGGCAACGAAACTTACGTCCACTTGAGCTAAGTCGCCCAGTTAGTCGACAAAGGTTGAATTAAACTGTTTCAATGGCATTTAGTAATTGAACTAGAGTATACAGGTCACAATTCTATGGAATACAATTACTGCTTTTTACTGAGCGACGTTTCAACTAGTCTTCTCTAGTCATTATCAAGCTATGATAAAAAATGAAAATATGACAGGACAATATATACATGTACACAACAATGCTTAGTTAATGCTGACAAACCAGGGATCTCCCTTAATTAC